TACTCATCTCATATGTATATACTGTATTCTATACTATTCTACACTATCTTAGTCACTTTAATAATGTTTTCATATCTTGCATTACTCATCTCATATGTATAGACTGTATTCTATACTATTCTACTGTATCTTAGTCCATGCCGCTCTGCCATCGCTCGTCCATATATGTATATATTCTTAATTCATTCCTTACTTAGATTTGTGTGTATTGGGTATATGTTGTGAAATTGTTAGATATTACTTGTTAGATATTACTACACAGTCGAAGCTAGAAGCACAAGCATTTTGCTACACCCGCAATAACATCTGCTAAACACGTGTATGTGACCAATAACATTTGATTTGATTTGATGAAGACCAGACATCATAATCAAATTACCACACTCAGGTGTGATTCTAAAGACCTTGATTAGCTCAATCAGGTGTGTTAAAACAGGGCTGGAACTAAAGCTTGCACACCCAGATCAGCTCTCCAGATTGGGGTTGGTCACCCCTGCACCCATCAATCAAAAACAACATTTATTTTCCCTCGTTTTATCTGGGGGACATCATTTTTCAATGACAGCTTTTTTTTCCAGAGAGGAAAGTGTTTCAAATCAGGGCATAAAAATGGGTGTAACTTCATTTAATTTTAGTTATTGTCCACCAAAGCAACATAGCAAAGCCATATTATCCCCCAGCTTTAAGGCTAATCTGTAAGCCCATGTGTTTTACAGGCGTGCAGAAAACATTGATTCAGTATAATTACCTCCTTCTCATCCCATATTTCACTCTTTGCCCCTAACCTCTCATTTCTCATTCTCTCTCCTCTCCTCTCCTCTGCTCTGCTCTCCCCTCTCCTTTTCTCCTCTCCTCTGCTCTGCCCTCCTCTCAGTCAGTCCACAATGGTCACCTCTGAATTCTCCCAATCTCTTTTCACTTTCGATACTCTGAGCCCTTCTCCTAGCCATGTAGGGGCCTAACTCATTTTTCCCCTCTCCCCTCATCCCTCACTCCTCTGGCCAATGTTATGTCTAGATTTGGTCACTCTTCCCTCTCCTCATATTGTCCCTCACTTTCTTTGTCCCGGCCTTGTCCTTTACTCCTCTCTATTATTTTTTCCACTCCACTCATCTCACCCTGTCCTGAGGTTGTCTGTGGGTCTGTGTCTAGGATAATGGAGTTCATAGTTGTCTGATATTAGCTCATTGGCAGCACTCATTAAACTGAGCCAGAGCTTAGAGTGATTATTTATCCATGAGGGAGGAGATCAGGACTACCATGCTCTCTCTAGTCTCTCTCTCAATTCAATTCAAAGGGCTTTATTGGCATGGGAAACATATGTTTACATTGCCAAAGCAAGTGAAATAGATACACAAAAAAGGGAAATAAACAAGGGAAATAAACAATAAAAAATGAACAGTAAACATTACACTCACAAAAGTTTTAAAAGAATATAGACATTTCAAATGTTATATTATTGGCTATGTACAGTGTTGTAACAATGTGCAGATAGTTGAAGTATGAAAGGGAAAATAAATAAACAGATAAATAAAGGTTGTATTTACAATGGTGTTTGTGCTACACTGGTTGTCCTTTTCTTGTGGCAACAGGTCACAAATCTTGCTGCTGTGGTGGCACACTGTGGTATTTCACCTAATAGAGATGGGAGTTTATCAAATTATTTGTCTCTCTCTGTTACTCTCTCTCATCTATCTATCTATCTATCTAAAGTATTCACCCCCTCTTGGCATTTTTCCTATTTTGTTGCCTTACATCCTGGAATTTAAATTGATTTTGGGGGGTTTGTATCATTTGATTTACACAACATGCCTACCACTTTGAAGATGCAAAATATTTTTGGTGTGTGAAACAAACATTAAATAAGACAAAAAAACTTAACTTTAGCATGCATAACTATTCACCCCCCCAAAGTCAATAGTTTGTAGAGCCACCTTTTGCAGCAATTACAGCTGCAAGTCTCTTGGGGTATGTCTCTATAAGCTTGGCACATCTAGCCACTGGTATTTTTGCCCATTCTTCAAGGCAAAACTGCTCCAGCTCCTTCAAGTTGGATGGGTTCTGCTGGTGTACAGCAATCTTTAAGTCATACCACAGATTCTCAATTGGATTGAGGTCTGGGCTTTAACTAGGCCATTCCAAGACATTTAAATGGTTCCCCTTAAAGCTCTGAGTGTTACTTTAGCAGTATGCTTAGGGTCATTGTCCTGCTGGAAGGTGAACCTCTGTCCCAGTCTCAAATCTCTGGAAGACTGAAACAGGTTTCCCTCAAGAATTTCCTTGTATTTAACGCCATCCATCATTCCTTCAATTCTGACCAGTTTCCCAGTCCCTGCCGATGAAAAACATCCCCACAGCATGATGCTGCCACCACCATGCTTCACTGTGGGGATGGTGTTCTCGGGGTGATGAGAGGTGTTGGGTTTGCGCCAGACATTTTCCTTGATGGCCAAAAAGCTCAATTTTAGTCTCATCTGACCAGAGTACCTTCTTCCATATGTTTGGGGAGTCTCTCACATGCCTTTTGGCGAACACCAAACGTGTTTGCTTATTTTTTTCATTAAGCAATGGATTTTTTCTGGCCACTCTTCCGTAAAGCCCAGCTCTGTGGAGTGTACGGCTTAAAGTGGTCCTATGGACAGATACTCCAATCTCAGCTGTGGAGCTTTGCAGCTCCTTCAGGGTTATCTTTGGTCTCTTTGTTTGCGTTTCTGATTAATACCCTCCTTGCCTGGTCCGTGAGTTTTGGTGGGCGGCCCTCTCTTGGCAGGTTTGTTGTGGTGCCATATTCTTTCCATGTTTTAATAATGGATTTAATGGTGCTCTGTGGGATGTTAAAAGTTTCTGATATTTTTTTATAACCCAACCGTGATCTGTACTTCTCCACAACTTTGTCCCTGAGCTGTTTGGAGAGCTCCTTGGTCTTCATGGTGCCCCTTGCTTAGTGGTGTTGCAGACTCTGGGGCCTTTCAGAACAGGTGTATATATACTGAGATCATGTAACAGATCATGTGATACTTAGATTGCACACAGGTGGACTTTATTTAACTAATTATGTGACTTCTGAAGGTAATTGGTTGCACCAGATCTTATTTAGGGGCTTCATAGCAAAGGGGGTGAATACATATGCACACACCACTTTTCCGCTTGTCACGGATTCCGCCGAGGCTGCTCCTCCTCCTTGCTCGGGCAGGCTTCGGCGTTCGTCGTCCCCGGAGTACTAGCTACTGCCGATCGATGTTTCGGTGTTTGTCTTGTGTTGTCTAGTTTGTACACCTGTTACTTAGTTTGTGTTGATTATGTGACATATAAGTTCCCTTGTTTTACGTTTGGCCTTTGTGTGTTATTGTCATTTTGTCCTGTCTGAGGTTCAGCATTTCTAGTTCGCCTATTACGCACAGCGCGTGTTACTCCTCCAGTGTTGTGGAGACCTTTTGTTTGGTGCGTGTTTACTGGAATTAAAGTAGTCATCCTGATCCTCTGTGTCCTGCGCCTGACTTCACCGCCGCATACACATCACCCCAGTCTGACACCGCTATTTATTTTGTATAATTTTTTGAAACAAGTAATTTTTTGAAACAAGTTATTTGGACTATTTTGTGTATGTCCATTACATGAAATCCAATCAAAATCAATTTACATTACAGGTTGTAATGCAACAAAATAGGAAAAACGCCAAGGTGGATGAATACTTTTGCAAGGCACTGTATCTACAGACCCCCTGGTTCGATTCCAGGCTGTATCACAACCGGCCGTGATTGGGAGTCCCATAGGGCGGCGCACAATTGGCCCAGCGTCGTCCGGGTTTGGTCGGTGTAGGCCGTCATTGTAAATAAGAATTTGTTCTTAACTGACTTGCCTAGTTAAATAAAGGTAAAATCTATCTATCTCTCTCACTCTCTCTCTCTCTGGTTTCTCTCACTCACCCTGTCACTACTTCTCTTTCTGTTGCTACCTTCTCTCTCCATTGTCCCCTGTCTCTCTCCCCCTCTCTTTCTCTTTCTCCCACACCCTTCCCCTATTCTCTCACTCCCATGTCTCTCTCTCTCTCTCTTTCTCTCTCTCGCTCTCTCTCCCCGTCAGCCCAGTGGTAATTAAGAGTGTATCTGGTAATGGAGCTCAGAGGAGCTGATAACACCGTTAGCTTAATTAAACCCATTTATGGGATGTAAGACATTTAGCCCAGGGGTTCCACTGCTCCCACTATAACCCAAACCCTTTATCTCTCTAACTTCCTTGTTACCTCTCTGTCTTTCTCCCTCACTTTCATTCTGTCCATCTCTTCCTGTCTCTCTCTCTTTATTGGTATTTTTCCCTTTCTCACTTTCACATATACTGTACGTGTGTACATGTTTGTTCCTTTTGTCATTCTCCAACCCCAGTATTGAGGTCATCGTATGGATTTTATCCCAAGTGAAGTTCTTCTCTCTGTTTAAGAACATACACAGTACAGTGACTAAGCTGCAGCATGAGTTTACATCAGCATGTAGCCCGGTGTGTTATATTGTGTGTGTATGTGTATTGGTGTGAATGTGCGTGTGAGCGTGCGTGCGTGTGTGTGTGTGTGTGTGTTTCTGTGTTGGCCTTTTTCCCTTGTGCCAGTCCTATAAGTGTTTATCAGTCACCAACAGACTACCAGTCAGTGAACACAGTGACACTCTCTTCCTGAACACTATCAAGGTTTTGGACGGGTTATATCCTGTTCAAAGCAAAGGCACAAGTTTGGCCCCAAATTGCACCATATTCCCTATATAGTGCACTACTTTTGACCAGTCCTATGGGCCCTGGTCAAAAGTAGTGCACTAAATAGGGTATAGGATGCCATTTGGAACTCAACCCCATTCCCTGTTAATGACAATTATAGAATACAGAGATATTGCTAGTAAACTGGACATGAGAAGGGTGTTGTTGTTTGTGGTGGTGGTGGGTGCTAGTGGAGAGTGTGTGTGGGTCTGTGTGTGAGTTGACTTTACACCTGCTCGGCTGCCTCTGCTTGGACCATGGAGTTTAGATGTCTCCTCTTTGTTCTTATTTCTTCTTCGGTGGTGCTCATCACTCAATCTGACACGACCACTAAAGGTATGGTGAAATTTTAACCATTGATAGATGACATCGCACAAATTGCCTTCACTTCACACAGTATTTTCCCGCACAAGTGTTATGACTGGTTTACTCAATCGTTTTGAAGCTGAAAACGAATGTGAGATTCTTCTGTTGGTGTTCAGTGGATCTTTTATCAGAAAGTATATGGAAAACATAACATAAAGCATAATCAAGGTAGTATTTTATAAATAAGGTAGTATTTCAGTAGAGATTTAGAAATATTCCTGTCATTTGGAGGTCAAACCAGGGATACACATCTCTAATCCTTCCAGTCTGGCTGGCTCTCAACTCTCCTTGGCGTTTAATTGGTCCATTAATAATAATAATAATAATAATATGCCATTTAGCAGACGCTTTTATCCAAAGCGACTTACAGTCATTCGTGCATACATTTTTGTGTATGGGTTAATGACATTGATTGGGCTTAAAGAGTCCACAACACACTGGGTCTTCCTGATCTAAATCAGTTACTGATTAAAAAGGAAGGATAAAAGCCTGGGTACGTTCCAAATGGCACCCTATTCCCTATATAGTGCACTTCTTTTGACCAGGGCTCTAAGAAATAGGGTGCCATTTGAGAGTCCTCTAGAAGCAGAGCTGTGCGTCTCTGGGTTAAGTCTGAGTGTTGATTGTGGGTCCAGCACTAGTCACCTCTTATCTCCTCAGGTCTAATCTATCAGTGGTGAGGCCAGAGCCTGATCCAACTGCAACCCCTTCTACTAGCACCTTTAGTTTTTACAGAGCACATAGAGCTGGATAGGTGTGAGCAGCCATGGCAGAAGGTCCCCTGTAAGCCCATTGGAAGGTTAGACCTATCACTATTTCACTCACTTGTTTTTGTGTGTGTTTTTGTCGTCATCAGACCCTGACTGGAGTGATGTCGTCGTGACAATGGTTGGCAGGGCAGTCACCTTACCCTGTGTTGATTGGCCTCTCACTGGTTCTGTGAACATTAATTGGAAGATGAAGTCTCCCGGCGTAGACCATTGGAAACTGGTCCTCTCGGCCAATGAGAGGCAGCAGTTCTCGGGCGCAGCCTCAAAGGCTTCCATGCGATTGGTTGACTCACACTTTCAGGAAACTGGGGACTTCTCTCTGCTGTTCATCCCCAAAATGGAGGACAAGGGTCGCTACTCCTGTCTGATTAAACAGCAAGAGAAGAAACTGAGAGAGAAGATCATACTATTAGCCGTCCTCACAGGTATAGAACTGTGGTCCTGTACACAAAACAGGCTACCGCTACAGTATGTTCATATACATGTAATACACAGTTGTGATGGTATTGATAAAAATATTGTTTATAAATAATGTATTTATTTGGCACAATCAGGTCAGACTGTAGTAGCAATAGTCCACATGTTTTCTATCTCTTATATCCTTTCTCTTATTTCCTACCTCCTTTCTCCTATTTCCTACCTCCTTTCTCCTATTTCCTACCTCCTATATCGGTCCCAGTCTCTATGTTTCCTTCAGCCACTCTCCCTCAAAACAGCACACTGCGTCTGATGGCAGAAGTGTCCCCCGCCTCCGCCATTTCCGAGGTAACCTGGCTGTCGCCCGGCGGGACGCCCCTACGATTGTCAAGGAGGTCAGGGGGGGTGGTCGCCAAGCTTCCCCAGATACGCCTCACTGACCAGGGGGTATACATCTGCCAGGTGTACCCGAGGGGTAACAGCAGCACCGCTCTGTTCCCCTTCACTGTGGACGTCCTCGTGGATGGTGAGATATGACGGGAGGGGGAGAGGGGAGGAAAGGGTGTAGTGCCATAATTGGAATCTGGGATGAATCTCAATACTCCAAACAAAGCATTCTATTTACGTCGGCATTGTATTGGCGTTGTTATATACAGTGCATTCGGAAAGTATTCAGACCCCTTGACTTTTTCCACATTTTGTCACGTTACAGCCTTATTCTAAATTGATTAAATCATTTTTTTCCCTCATCAATATACACACAATACCCCATAATGACAAAGTAAAAACAGGTTTAGATTTTTTTGCAAATGTATTAAAAACACAAAACTGAAATATGACATTTACGTAAGTATTCAGACCCTTTAATCAGTATTTTGTTGAAGCACCTTTGGCAGCAATTACAGCCTTGAGTCCTCTTGGGTATGACGCTATAAGCTTGGCACACCTGTATTTGGGGTGTTTCTCCCATTCTTCTCTGCAGATCCTCTCAAGCTCTGTCAGGTTGGATGCACAGCTATTTTCAGGTCTCCCTAGAGATGTTAGATCGGGTTCAAGTCCAGGCTCTGGCTGGGCCACTCAAGGACTGATGAGGATTTTTCAGTAAACTATGAGATAAACAAGGTTAATCACAAACATAACGAACATGGAGTCAGAATTAAACATGGGTACTCTGTTGCTGGGCAAGAACTTAATTGGTTCCTTTCACTGGGTTTGTGTGTGTGTGAAATGGGGATCTGACCTCGGGTCGAATTCCTCGCTCTTACCTAATCCACGGCTGTCCTACCTTATCAGAGACTGAAACCAGACTGTTGCCTTTTGCCTCTCTCCTCAAACAAAGTCCTGAGAGCGGAGCCGGAGTTGAACAGAGTTCAAACAAATCATGAGTAATTACAGCATGACGGGAAGGAAGAGAGGAGTAGTTGGGTTTGGGTATGTTTGAGAGATTGAGTGTGGACCTGCCATGTCCAACAATTAATCTCCAGGTCAAGCCAGGGTGAGCCGGGGTTGAACAGAGTTTAAACTGAACATGATTATCTTTGCATGGCAAGGGCTTGATTGATTGAACTACTATTGTTTCTAAACTGAATAGTAGTCAAATTTAGCCGCTATCATAGACTAAGGAAGTGGGCGGAGCGGTCGTGAGGGGGATACTGAGGATAGTGGTGGGGGAACCCAAGAGGGAGGGGCTTTAAGCTGAGATGTGGGAGATGGACAAGGAGATGCTTTGCAAATCACCTCGGCTTTGTTTATTTGTAATAAAGTCTATCTTAATTGTACAAAAACTCTGAAATACTTTGGTTCTTTGATTAGTATAAGGACGAAATTTGCCATATCAGGACAATGACACTTTTCCTGAAGCCACTCCTGCATTGTCTTGGCTGTATGCTTAGGGTTGTTGCTGCATACAGCCAAGACAATGCAGGAGTGGCTTCAGGAAAAGTGTCATTGTCCTGATATGGCAAATTTCGTCCTTATACTTCACCCCAGTCTGAGGTCCTGAGTGTTCTGGAGCAGGTTTTCATCAAGGATCTCTCTGTACTTTGCTCCATTCGTCTTTTCCTCGATTCTGACTAGTCTCCCAGTCCCTGCCTTTGAAAAACATCCCCATGCTGCCACCACCATGCTTCACCGTAGGGATGGTGCCAGGTTTCCTCAAGACGTGACGCTTGGCATTCTGGCCAAAGAGTTTAATCTTGGTTTCATTAGACCAGAGAATCTTGTTTATCATGGTCTGAGAGTCCTTAAGGTGCCTTTTGGCAAACTCCAAGCAGGCTGTCATGTGCCTTTTACTAAGGAGTGGCTTCCATCTGGCCACTCTACCATAAAGGCCTGATTGGTGGAGTGCTGCAGAGATGGTTGTCCTTCTGGAAGGTTCTCCAATCTCCACAGATGAACTCTGGAGCTCTGTCAGAGTGACCATTGGGTTCTTGGTCACCTCCCTGACCAAGGCCCTTCTCCCCCGATTGCTCAGTTTGGCCGGGCGGCCAGCTCTAGGAAGAGTCTTGGTGGTTCCAAACTTCTTCCATTTAAGAATGATGGATGCCACTGTATTCTTGGAGACCTTCAATGCTGCAGAAATGTTTTGGTACCCTTCCCCAGATCTGTGCCTCGACACAATCCTGTCTTGGAGCTCTACGGACAATTCCTTCGACCTCATGGCTTGGTTTTTGCTCTGAAATGCACTGTCAACTGTGGGACCTTATATAGACAGGTATGTTCATTTCCAAATCAGGTCCAATCAATTGAATTTACCACAGGTGCACTCCAATGATGTTGTAGAAACAAATCAAGGATGATCAATGTAAACCGGATGCACCTAAGCTACATTTCGAGTCTCATAGCAAAGGGTCTGAATAAGAACCCTTCCCTTTTCCACATTTTGTTACGTTACAGCCTTATTCTAAAATGGATTAAATAAATAAAAAATCCTCATCAATCTACACACAATACCCCATAATGACAAAGCGAAAACAGGTTTTTAGAAATGTTTACAAATGTATTAAAATAAAAAAAACAGTAATACCTTATTTAAATACAGTACCAGTCAAAAGTTTGGACACACCTAGTCATTCCAGGGTTTTTCTTTATTTGTACTATTTTCTACATTATATAATAATAGTGAAGACATCAAAACTATGAAATAACACATATGGAATCATGTAGTAACCAGAAAAGTGTTAAACAAATCAAAATATATGTTATATTTGAGATTCTTCAAAGTAGCCACCCTTTGCCTTGATGACAGCTTTGCACACTCTTGGCGTTCTCGCAACCAGCTTCATGAGGTAGTCACCTGGAATGCATTTCAATTAACAGGTGTGCCTTGTTAAAAGTTAATTTGTGGAATTTCTTTCCTTCTTAATGCGTTTGAGCCAATCAGTTGTGTTGTGACAAGGGTGGGGTGGTATACAGAAGATAGCTATATTTGGTAAAAGACCAAGTCCATATTATGGCAAGAACAGCTCAAATAAGCAAAGAGAAATATAATATAATATAATATAATATATAATAATATAATATAATATTTAGCAGACGCTTTTATCCAAAGCGACTTACAGTCATGCGTGCATACATTTTTTTTTTTTGTGTATGGGTGGTCCCGGGGATCGAACCCACTACCTTAGCGTTACAAGCGCCGTGCTCTACCAGCTGAGCTACAGAGGACCACAGAAATGACAGTCCATCAATACTTTAAGACATGAAGGTCAGTCAATCCGGAAAATTTCAAGAACTTTGAAAGTTTCTTCAAGTGCAGTCACAAAAACCATAAAGCGCTGTGATGAAACTGGCTCTCATGAGGACCACCACAGGAAAGGAAGACCCAGAGTTACCTCTGCTGCAGAGGATAATTTCATTAAAGTTACCAGCCTCAGAAATTGCAGCCCAAATAAATGTTTCACAGAGTTCAAGTAACAGACACATCTCAACATCAGCTGTTCGGAGCAGACTACGGGAATCAGGCCTTCATGGTTGAATTGCTACAAAGAAACCACTACTAAAGCGTCTGCTAAATGGCATATTGTTATTATTATTATTATTATTATAAAGGACACCAATAAGAAGAAGAGACTTGCTTGGGCCAAGAAACACGAGCAATGGACATTAGACTGGTGGAAATCTTTCCTTTGGTCTGATGAGTCCAAATGTGAGATTTTTGGTTCCAACCGCTGTGTCTTTGTGAGACGCAGAGTAGGTGAACAGATGATCTCCGCATGTGTGGTTCCCACCATGAAGCATGGAGGAGGAGGTGTGATGGTGTGGGGGTGCTTTGCTGGTGACACTGTCGGTGAGTTATTTAGAATTCAAGGCACACTTAACCACTATGGCTACCACAGCATTCTGCAGCGATACGCCATCCCATCTGGTTTGCCCTTAGTGGGACTATCATTTGTTTTTCAACAGGACAATGACCCAACACAGCTCAAGGCTGTGTAAGGGCTATTTGACCAAGAAGGAGAGTGATGGAGTGCTGCATCAGATGATGCTTCTGATAGTGGTGTCAGCATTCTGTGAGGACAGACGCTGGGAGACGAGAAGCAGGTACAGGGAGTGAATATTTAATATAAACAGACATGAAACAAAACACGGACAGCGTCTGGACAGGGGAAACATAACGACATTAATGCTGACACCAGAATGAAACTGAGGAAGTGACAGATATAGGGGAGGCAATCAATGACGTGATGGAGTCCAGGTGAGTCCGATGAAGTACTAGTGCGCGTAACGATGGTGACAGGTGTGCGTAATGATGAGCAGCCTGGCGCCCTTGAGCGCCAGGGAGGTGGAGCGGGAGCAGGCGTGACAAAGGCAAAGGGTGGCTACTTTGAAGAATATAAAATATATTTTGATTTGTTTAACACTTTTTTGGTTACTACTTGATTCCATATGTGTTATTTCATAGTTTTGATGTCTTCACTATTATTTTACAATGTAGAAAATAGTACAAATAAAGAAAAACCCTTGAATGAGTAGGTGTGTCCAAACTTTTGACTGGTACAGTATGTAAATAAGGTATTACTGTTTTTTATTTTTAATACATTTGCAAACATTTCTAAAAACCTGTTTTCGCTTTGTCATTATGGGGTATGTTGTGTAGATTGATGAGGACATTATTTTTATTTAATCCATTTTAGAATAAGGCTGTAACGTAACAAAATGTGGAAAAGAGAAGGGGTGTGAATAATTTCAGAATGCACTGTAATTGACAATTATTTATATGTGCTCCCACTATAACCACTGCTTCCACGCTAACCCAAATGCTTTATGTCTCTCCCTTTATCTCTCTCAATCCCTTGTTCCCTCTCTGTCGTTCTCCCTCGCTCTCCCTCCCTCTCCCTCGCTTTCTCTCTCTCTCTCTCTCTCTAGGTATGAATGTGGCCTCGTTCACCAATATAAGCCATAGTGAGTGACATCACAGTGTACAGTATACTCTAGTCTAGCTAAAGCACAGAGCCAGCAGCCTCTGGATCAAGCAGCACAATGCAAACTAACCTTACTGAGGGACCAGCTCTCTCTCAGAAACATAACAACATAATCCCTAATGTCGCTGTGCACCTCTCTCTCTCTCTATCTCTCTCTCTTTCTTTTCTTCTGTCTGTTCTGTTCCTCTCTCCACGGCCACCTCTGTCACTCATCCTACTCTCTATATCTCTCAAACCATCCCCCCACCACTCTCTCTCTCTTCTTATCTCTCATGTTCTCTCTCTTACTTACGCACCTCTCATTCTCTTTCGCTCCCCCATTCCCCGCTTTCTCTCTTTCTCTCTCTCTCTCCCTCCCCCTCCCTCTCCTCTCCACCTCCCTAGGTCCTCAGATCTCTATGGCCAGTCTCACCCAGACCCCTCTCACCCTTGCCTGCCCTCCGATGCGGGGAGACTATGTCCTGCTCTACTGGCAGCCCCCAGACAGCAGAAAGCCCAACGCCACAACCCTGGTCTACGGGTACGACCGCTGGAGGGACCGCACAGAGCAAAGCAAGGTACAACCAGAAGAGGATGTGTGTGTGTGTGTGTGTGTGTGTGTTCATGCTTGCGTGCGTGTGAACTGGGTTCCTCTACAGGTTTCTTATTTCGAAGGGGTTTTCCTGGACACTGTGCTTCTGTTTCTGCCTGCTCCAAGGGGTCCAGGCCGGGTTACTGTAAAAACACTGTATGACAACTGCTGATGTAAAAAGAGCCTTCATAAATGAATGTGTTTGAATGAATTTGATTGATCTAGACTCATGCCCACCTGAGCCTGGATGGGCCATTGTCTACCCCAAAAGAGGGTTTCTTCTCCTTCCTGCTGAGCCCAGGGCTGAACGACGGAGGCCTGTACATGTGTGAGGTGTTCCTCAATGACAACGTGTTCAGCCAGAGGACCCTGCTTAGCATTCTCCAAGGTACTGAGGGGAAGAGGGAGGAGAGAGGGATGAAAGAGGGAGGAGAGAGGGAGGAGAGAGAGATGAGTGAAGAGAGAAGAGTGATGTATTTATGTCTGCTATAGAGATATCAGTATTAATAAAAACAAAGACTAAAAATACTATCCAACTCCCACACACACACACACATACGCACACACCCGTCTGTCCATTTTCGCAGCCTTGGAAGGATTTAATAATCAGTGTCCCTCTGGGAGCCATCTCAGCTGCCCAGACATGACCAAGCGATCTGTCACTGTCACCCTGCTCCACACGTCTGTCACAGACATACACATACAGCCCTGCGGACCAATGTATTTTTAACCTGCCTCATTATGGGTGTAATTATGTATGATTATACCTGCCACACTCCCGCCAGGCTGTGGGAGGCACACATTAAACACTGTAATCACGGACAGAGACGTGTGTGTGTGTCTGTAGGGCTTGATTACACCCAGATTGATCCTCATTGGGGTTTGATGAGACATGGGGCATCAGTCACCCTTAGGCGGCACATTAGAAGCAATTCTGTGTAATGAATATATATTATTTTGACCCCTCTCTAATTCACTTATTGTTTTTTTTCCTATCTCTCCTTGCCCCCCTTCTCTATTTGTCCCCTGACTTCCCCTTTTATTGGTACTTCCTTCACTCTCTCCTTATCCCTACCCCACATTGTCTTTCTCTTTCTAACTCCCTTGCCCTCCACTCTCTCTCCTCTCCTTCCCCCTTTCTCCCCATCCATCCATCCCAGTGAAAGCCAGACATTATCCATCAGTCCTGGTTCTGACGTGTCAGTATACAGAGCGCTCCCAGGTAGGTAACCATCCCCTGACTGGCAACATTCATCCCTCATCTCTTCACTGTGATAGTTAGCTGATGTGTGGTGAGCTTTCAGGCACAAAATGGCTCCTTGAGCACCTGGGCTGAGTTCATTAGGCACAAAACGGAAAACTGACTGAAACAGGGAACGACTACCTGGACTTGTCCAATTAGAAACACACATTTTAGTATTCTGTTGTAAGTTTTCTATTGCATAGTGCCCTAATGAACACGGCCCTGGTGTATAAAGAACATGCTGTACAGTCGTGGTCAAAAGTTTTGAGAATTACACAAGTATTGGTCTTCACAAAGTTCGCTGCTTCAGTGTTATGAGATATTTTAGTCAGATGTTACTATGGTATACTGAAGTATAATTACAAACATTCCATAAGTGTCAAAGGCTTTTATTGACAATTACATTAAGTTTATGCAAAGAGTCAATATTTGCAGTGTTGACCCTTCTTTTTCAAGACCTCTGCAATCCGCCCTGGCATGCTGTCAATTAACTTCTGGGCCACATCCTGACTAGTGGCAGCCCATTCTTGCATAATCAATGCTTGGAGTTTGTCAGAATTTGTGGGTTTTTGTTTGTCCACCTGCCTCTTGAGGATCGACCACAAGTTCTCAATGGGATTAAGGTCTGGGGAGTTTCCTGGCCATGGACCCAAAATGTTGATGTTTTGTTCCCCGAGCCACTTAGTTATCACTTTTGCCTTATGGCAAGGTGCTCCATCAGGCTGGAAAAGGCATTGGTCGTCACCAAACTGTTCTTGGATGGTTGGGAGAAGTTGTTCTCGGAGGATGTGTTGGTACCATTCTTTATTCATGACTGTGTTCATAGGCAAAAATGTGAGTGAGCCCACTCCCTTGGCTGAGAAGCAACCCCACACATGAATGGTTTCAGGATGTTTACTGTTTGCATGACACAGGACTGATGCTAGCGCTCACCTTGTCTTCTCCGGACTAGGTGTTTTCCGGATGCCCCAAACAATCGGAAAGGGGATTCATCAGAGAAAATGACTTTACCCCAGTCCTCAGCAGTCCAATCCCTGTACCTTTTGCAGAATATCAGTCTGTCCCTGATGTTTTTCCTGGAGAGAAGTGGCTTCTTTGCTGCCCTTCTTGACACCAGGCCATCCTCCAAAAGTCTTCGCCTCACTGTGCATGCTGATGCACTCACACCTGCCTGCTGCCATTCCTGAGCAAGCTCTGCACTGGTGGTGCCCCGATCCCGCAGCTGAATCAACTTTAGGAGACGGTCCTGGCGCTTGCTGGGCTTTCTTGGGAGCCCTGACGCCTTCTTCACAACAATTGAACCTCTCTCCTTGAAGTTCTTGATGATCCGATAAATGGTTGATTTAGGTGCAATCTTACTAGCAGCAATATCATTGCCTGAAGCAATGATGACGGCACGTGTTTCCTTGCAGGTAACCATGGTTAACAGAGGAAGAACAATAATTTCAAGCACCACCCTCCTTTTAAAGCTTCCAGTCTGTTATTCTAACTCAATCAGCATGACAGAGTGATCTCCAGCCTTGTCCTCGTCAACACTCTCACCTGTGTTAACGAGAGAATCATGGCAAAGAGGGACTTTGCAATTAATTGCAATTCATCTGATCACTCTTCATGACGTTCTGGAGTATATGCAAATTGCCATTGTCAAAACTGAGGCAGCAGACTTTGTGAAAATTAGTATTTGTGTCATTCTCAAAACTTTTCACCACGACTGTATAAACACAATCCACCATCCTCCATCCACCAGGTGAAGCGGGTGGTGTGGAGCCACCAGAACCAGAGTCGCACGCTGAAGTGGAGCTCCTCTGGCCCGGGTCGCCTCAGCACCGAGGTCCCCCTGTCCCCCACCCAGGACACGGCTGGGAACTACACCTGCACCATGCAGCTGAGGAACGGACAGGCGGTCAAGGCTGTTTACACCGTCATACTGCCCCCTAAAGGTGGGGAGAACCAAACTGTCCAACTCCCAAAACAAACATGGATAGTCGAGGTAGACTAGAGATTGGGTCTTTAGATCTAAGATCAGCTTACCCTCTCCTAATGATAACCATAATCAGTAGTGCTAAAAATGCTAAACTGTTCTCAGGTCAGTGTCAACTAACTGTACCTAGCAGGACCAACATGTTTGTCCAAATAAGTTCCTTTACAATGCTTCCTTTCCTTCTTGCTATCATCTTATCCTTTATTCCTCGCACCCACCCAGTCAGTTCCAGCTGGGGACTGGGCCGGTGTGTTAGAAATGCCAGGGCCGATTTCTGGTCCCAGTCCGCCCCTGGTCAGTTCCCATCAGTGATTCTCATCAGTGATTAACAGAGAAGTTGTAAAACCAGGAAGTTATGTAACTCATCTGTTTGTATGGTTCCATTTGAGACCTTTAAATATACTTTGCTCTTTAACACCCTTATAGCCAACACCACTATAATCATTATGACCAAATAGGGACTCATCCATGTTCACTGAACATGAACATCCTCTATCAGTGGTCCCCAACAGCACACATTTTTGTTGTAGCCCCGGACAAACATAGCTGATTCAACTCTTTGAGGGCCTTATGATTAAGTTGCCAAGTTGAATCAGGTGTGCTTGTCTGGGGCTACAATAAAAATGTGTACTGTTGGGGGTACTAGAGGACCGGAGTTGGGAACCACTGCTCTAGATCAGTGGTTCCCAACCTTTTTTGGTTACTGTACCACCAACTGAATTCTGCTTTGGCCAGAGTACCCTTGAAGTACCCCCTCATGTGCATTGTACCAGTAAGCCTATGGTCTCATGATCCTTCTCAAGTACCCCCTGTGGATAGGCCAGGTACCCCCAGGGGTCCTAGTACCCCTGGTTGGGAACCACTGCTCTAGATAATAATCCCTTCCCAATAGAGAGAAGTGAACAGCAGGTAAGCTCAGCTGCTAATCCATTAGCTATGTAAACACACCTGCCTGTGTTTATCTATCTCTCCTCTCCTCTCCCGTGGCTCCTGTCCTGCAGTGCTGGATGTGTGCCCACTCCAACCTCATCTCGTTATCTCCAGAGACCTGTTGTGAGCTAAGCAATCAGCCCAGAAATGGAATAGGCAGGATGCATTCTAAATTCCAATTCTAAATTCCACATAAACTTTAAATGTTCCACAATATGGTAGTGAGAATAACAAGAATTGTACACATATAGAAGACAGAGAAAGGCACTGAATTCTGCGTGCCAAGTATTGACTGAAGAAAACTTCCACATGACACCCAATATGTCCCATGTCTGATCCATCCACACACCCCAGAACATTGCTTTGAATGGGAGTTAAATTGTCTGTTTCATTCCATTCTATCCTATTCTACATCCTTAACCCATTGTTCTGTTGCTTATCACAGCCAGACAGGTTGACCTGAAGTTGCACTACAACCACTATAAAACGCTTCACAGAGCACTGACCTTGTAGTCCTGCCTGCCTTCCTGCCTGTGTGCCTGCCTGCCTGAGTTTATTCACATTCATTGTATCTGAGGAAGCACACAAAGCAACAGAAGGATCTGACAGTTGAATGAATCTCGTTATGAAGATGAGCTCCCTACCAATACCCCCATACATCACTGATACCGAGGAGCCATGATGATGACACACAACAAAGCAATGCTTTAACAAGAGTAATGGATATGCAAAGGAAAGTAGGGAGGGAGGGAGGAAGGGAGGAAGTTGGGAGAAGAGTGAAAGGGGAAGGAGAGAGAGAGAGCAAGATGGGAGGAAAGAATAGTGGAACAGAGGGGAGCAAAGGTTTATTATAGTATAAATACTGTAGTATTACTATAGTTCAAAAACCATAGTATATACTAAATTAATTACTGTATTGTTTTTGCAGACATTACTGTAGTATTTACTAAGTGTTTTAGTTTTATTATCTTTGACATAGAACTGGTGGGCTTTCTCCTTGAGGAAACCTACTGGACAAATACTAAAAGAGAAAATGTTCCATAACCTTTAGGACTGTAATCTGAATGGATAGTTCATCGCTTCTGCTCTTTTCTATAACCTGTAGGGAACACAATATATAGTCTATACTTGGCATGTAGGTTTCTCACTCATGGGTGGCACAAATTGGGATATGGGGGATGGGAATGGATGGGGTATATGCAAAAGGTATACTGTAGTATTACTATAGTTTTAAAAAACTGTGGTGTTTTTGTGGACACTAGTGTTTTGCGGACATTACTGTAGTATTTACTACAGAGTTTTTTTGCGGATAAAACTGTAGTATTCTAAACAGTATACTACTAAATTATATAGTAAGTACTACACATGATCGAGTGATACTACAGTGTGTAGTATATTATTTTACAGTATTCTACAGTATACTACAATATTATAATGTAAGAACTACACGATCGAGGGATACTACAGTGTGTAGAATAGTATTCTATAGTATACTACACATTTCTATAGTAAGTACTACACATAATCAAGGGATACTACAGTGTGGAGTATAGTATTCTACAGTATACTACAATATTCTATAGTAAGAAGTACACGGTCGAGGGATACTACAGTGTTGAGTATAGTATTCTACAGTGTCCTACAGTTTACTACAGAATTCTATAGTAAGGACTATAGTATTCTATAGTAAACTGTAGTATTTTGTCATGTGGGGAAGTGTGTAGGGAAAGGAAATGAGAGGAGAGCAGAGAGGAAGGAAGAAGGGAAGGTGCACCCAGGCCATTGAGGAGTGATGGTATTTACGCCTCGCATCGCTGCACCCAATTACCATAATTCATGCAGTGTTAAAGAAGCTGGCATTGAAAACAGAGCAGGTCAACCTGGCCCGGGTGTGCAAAGCTGTCATCAAGGCAAAGCGTTGCTACTTTGAACAATCTCAAATATATATATATATTTTTTTTTTTATGGTTACTACATGATTCCATATGTGTTATTTCATAGTTTTGATGTCTTCACTATTATTCTACAATGTATAAAATAGTAAAAATAGAGATAAACTTTTGAGTGGAACTGTAAGTAACAGTAAAATTGTATTATGGTCACATCGCTGGTATACAAATTAAGAGATATATAAATGAAGATATACACTGGTGACATCAAAGTCTCTCTTATATTGTGGATGCTTGTGAGCAGGTAGTTGTCACTGTGGTAACTGACACCTCCCACACATCTCCCATGTCTCCCTGTTGCTGTGTTTGCATGAATGATGTCACCTCACCTCACCATGCAAACACACCAGACTACTGTATTCATGTCGCGTGTGGCACTTTGTCTGTCTACAAATGGCTAATTTGAATACCATGAGCTAATCACATGGTTATGTAATGTAATATTTATGTGTCTCCCCTCCCAACCTTCTCTTTCATTGTTCTGTTTCATCCAGAGTACTGTATGGAGTGTGACACAGGATTTATACTGAGTGTCTTGCCATGATAAGAAGTTAGACTTCCAGCAATTAGCTGCAGAGATCTTGGATGAATTTCAACATACCCACAGTGACTCCCCCTCCCATCTTGTCTCTCTCTATTTAGATAGGACCTCTCTGGAGCTAAATCAGGGAGCAGGCCTGCCCCCTGCTGGGAATGAGACCACACTGCTCACTAATAATTGATCTACAAGTGTTCAATTCATACAGCACTCATTAACTTATTCTCTTTTTCTCTTTCTCACTTCTTTCTCTCCTCTTCTCGCAGAGAACACAGCGAGCACTGCTTCTATCTCTCCTCCTCACCCAGAGAACAACAGTGCCTCCCTCCTTCCCTCCTTCCTCTCTGCTTTATTACTCCTGGTGCCCCTGGTTGCCGCGGTTGCCGGAGTGTTGCTATGGAGACAGAAAGACATTTCTCGCCGCGGTGAGTCTTCCAGCGTTTTCTTTTTTGACATCCCTACCTCCTTCGTGTTCTCTCCATTTCTGGACCTGTCAACTCCAGTGAGTGATCTGGGGCATGACATACAGTACTATCAGGTCGATGCAATGAATCTGGCAGTCTGCCTCTCACTGTGTGTGTGTGTGTGTGTGTGTGTGTGTGTGTGTGTGTGTGTGTCTGTTTCTCCACAGGTATTGAACAGTCTCTCTCCCACTACTCTGGGGAAGTGGAGAATATCTATGAGAATCCTGAGGATGTCAGACAGGTGATGGATTCATGCCTTCTCTGTGATGGATCTCTGTTCTCTTCTCCCTCTCTCTCTCCTCCTGTTTCCCCACCATTTAATTTCCTGTCTCTGGCCCTCTGTTTCTGTCTCTCTCTTCTTCTCTCTTTGTTTTCCCGCTTCTTCTTCTTTACCCCTCATCAAACTCCCTGCCTCTCCCTTTCTCTATATTTCACTACCCACCCTGTCTATCCCCCCCTCTCTTTCTCCCTCTCTTTCTCTCACACTCTGTGTGGTTATTAAACACTATTTTCTCTCCTGTCTCCCTATAGACTTCTCCCCAGGGTTCAGTGTACATGGTGAGTTATTGTGTTCTGTTCTCAGGATCGCAGACACAGAGGTGTTCCCCTGAGTTTGTGTGTGCGTGGGGAGGGGAGGTTGTAGTGCCCTCCCTTGCTAGTCTTTCCGTGTGTGTGTGTGTGTGTGTGTGTGTGTGTGTGTGTGTGTGTGTGTGTGTGTGTGTGTGTGTGTGTGTGTGTGTGTGTGTGTGTGTGTGTGTGTGTGTGTGTGTGTGTGTGTGCGTGCGTGCGTGCGTGCGTGCGTGCGTGCGTGCGTGCGTGCGTGCGTGTGTGCGTGTGCGTGTGTGCGTGTGTGTGTCTCCCTCTGCTGTCAGCAGATATGTCTTCCCACACCCCCCTCCCCTCCCATCAGTCCTGTGGTTCAGATAAACCCATCAGTTCTTAACTGTCAGCCTTACATTAGTGATATTAACAAATCAATTGCATCACACCCAGAAGGACGCCTTTAAATGTGCTCTCCCTTCCTCCCCCTCACTCCCTTCTCCTTCTCCCCCCTCTCTCCTTTTCTCTCCTTCTCCTCCCCTCCTCTCTCTCGCTGTATTATGCCCTTCTCCCTTCTCTTTCCCTTCTCTCTCTCTCTCTCCTCTTCTTTTCAGGACCTGAAGCCCAGAGGGGAGGATGATGTCTATAAGGAATTGGAGGGGTAAGAATTAAAGAGCCCTGGGTCATGCGTGGTGTGTTTGTGTGTGTGTACGGTTCTGTCACAATTTCCCATCTGCCGTTCACAGGCCCTCTCACCCCCACCAATCATGTTGCTCTGAACATCACTATGACACTGTCAACCTGCCGCTGCATGTCGGTAACATAATTTCACACAATGCACTGACAGTGAAGTGTGTGTGTGGTTTTGGGTGCGACGTGCAGCACGTCATGCATTGGTGCATACGTTTGTGTGTGTGTGTACCTGTGTGTGTCTGTGTGGTTTAAGAGTGTGTTCTCCTTTTAGATACGAATCTTGAAGCCTTTGGAGACCTCCACATCACAGGATTTATCAGCAACAGCTTGAAGCAAGATTATCTCACCTCTGTTCAGTATATGGACATCTATACTGCCTTCAAAAAGTATTCACACCCCTTGACTTTTTCCACATTTTGTTGTGTTACAGCCTGAATTTAAAATGGATTACATTGAGATTTTATATCACTGGCCAACACACAATACCCAATAATGTGAAATGGGGAATTATGTTTTTTGACATTTTTACTAATGAATAAAAAATGAAAAGCTGAAATGTCTTGAGGCAATAAGTATTCAACCCCTTTGTTATGGCAAGCCTAAATAAGTTCAGGAGTAAAAATGTGCTTAACAAGTCACATAATAAGTTGCATGGACTCACTCTGTGTGCAATAATAGTGTTTAACATGATTTTTGAATGACTACCCAATCTCTGTACCCCACACATACAATTACTACATCTGTAAGGTCCCTCAGTCGAGCAGTGAATTTCAAACACAGATTCAACCACAAAGACCAGGGAGGTTTTCCTATGCCTCGCAAAGAAGGGCACCTATTGGTAGATGGGTAAGAATTTTAAAAAGCAGACATTGAATATCTGTTAGAGGATGGTGAAGTTATTACACTTTGGATGGTGTATCAATACACCCAGTCATTACAAAGATACAGGCGTCCTTCCTAACTCAGTTGCCAGAGAGGAAGGAAACCACTCAGGGTTTTCACCATGAGGCCAATGGTGACTTTAAAACAGGTACAGAGTTTAATGGCTGTGATAGGAGAAAACTGAGGATGAATCAACACCATTGTAGTTATACCACAATACTAACCTAAATGACAGAGTGAAAAGAAGGAAGCCTGTGCAGAATAAAAATATTCCAAAACATGCGTCTTGTTTGCAATAAGGCACTAAAATAAAACTGGAAAAAATGCGGCACAGAAAGTAACTATGTCCTGAATACAAAGCGTTATGTTTGGTGCAAATCCAACACAACACATCACTGAGTACCACTCTTCATGGTGGTGGCTGCATCATGTTATGAGTATGCTTGTCATCGGCAAGGACTAGGGAGTTTTTTTAGATAAAAATAAATGGAATAGAGCTAAGCACAGGCAAAATCCTAGAGGAAAACCTGGTTCAGTCTGCTTTCCAACATACACTGGGAGACATTCACCTTTCAGCAGGACAATAACCTAAAACACTAGGCCAAATACACACTGGAGTTGTTTACCAAGATGACATTGAATGTTTCTGAGTGAACTAGTTACAGTTTTGACTTAAATCGGCTTGAAAATCTATGGCAAGACCTGAAAATAGCTGTCTATTTTAAATATCCTACAATCTCTTAAGAGAATTGCCCAGAAACACTCATAGCTGTAATCGCTGCCAAAGGTGATTCTAATGTGTGAATACTTATGTAAATGAGATATGTCAGTATTTCATTTACAATACATTTGCTAAAATTTGTCATTATGGGTTATTGTGTGTAGATGGGTGAGAAAAAAAACATATTTAATTAATTTTGAAATCAGGCTGTAACAACAAAATGTGGAATAAGTCAAGGGTATGAGGTTTATGGTGATATTGATCAATGGCCATAGGGATAGATCTGGGCTGGGGAAAATATAACCCTGTTTTTCATATTGTGTTGCCAATTTTCTTCTCTGTAAAAAAAAATCAATGAACATCACCAAATAAACGGGTCAAAGGAATCTTAATTGTCTGTAATCAAACCAAATGTTATTGTCACAATTGTGTCATTGCAGCATTTATTACTACAGTAAAATGACTAATTATTCCTCCTAAAACTCATGCACGGGAACTGACAAGTTCTTCAGAGAAAGGGTTGAGATGGCAGAGGCAGAAGTGTTTTTTTTTTTTTTTCTGGGGGTAGATCAGCTTAATATTGCAGATAGATTGTAACTTCTATCAATGTAATTGTCTGCATCACTTCCAATCCCCCATGTTTTTTATATATATATATATATATACTCCCCTTTATTACTTTTCAACCCCGCCATCCTTTCCCTACTTGGGGTAAATTAGTGAACAACAATGCCCAGGCCTCTACTTCCAGCCTATACTTACTATCTACACCTTATGGACACAGTCAATTTTACAATAATTATATTTTATTTGTTTTTTTTGCTCCTGAACTACTTCTACTCTCAACCTCTCCGATCATTTTCATGATGTCCATCCGGTTTGCTTCTATATGCCATATCTTTCTAACAGTGCTCTTTCCCAAAAGCTCCCAACATACAACCTATATACTTATTATGGACACAGTATGCTTACATTATTAGTTATCTTGTTGTTATTAGTCCCATCCTTCAACTCCATTCAATACCTCCCATCTATCTCTTAACACCATCCATATAGGATTTCTATTTGCCATATATATTTCAACCATACTGTGATGTTTTACAAAAGTTCTGAACCTTTCTATTCTCATTGCTTCTACAGATTGTGAATTAAAAATAAACATTTTTGCTAAAAGTATTATTATATTATTGATCGATTGACTATGACTTTTCAGATCACCCAGTAATGCTATCTGCAAGGTTAGCTCCAGGTAAATATTGCAATCCTTTAGCCATTCCTGGACCTGTGTCCAAAAACAAGCTACAAATGGACAGAACCAAAACAAATGATCTAATGATTCTGTCTCTTCACAGCAAATCTGCAGAGGTATCCCCCATATAAATAACATTATATTGGTAGCAAGAATTTTATATAATAATTTAAATTGAAAGATTCAAATTTTTGAATCCGGTGTCGTTTTGCGTGTCAGTTCATAAACACTATGCCATGGGATCCGTACGTCAAAAATCTCTTCCCAACTATTTTGCAATCTATATGGGACGGCTGTCAATCCTTTGGTCCTTAAGTGAAACTGATATACTTTTTTATTTATCACAGTTTTCCTTAACCAATTATGTTCTTTAATGCAAGTAAGTTCCTTACTTTCTCCCCCTTCCACTTTCCTCTTCCACTTTTGCGGTAAGGCTGCAATTATTTGGTTGTAATTTTGGGTGAGCAGACATTTCCATATGTTTTTGTTAGCTGCATGTGCGACATAACTCCACCAGTCCTACCGATGATATCATTTACGAAGATTATATATTTTTCAACCAAACAAGGAACAAGATCCCACAACCCACTAGTGCCAATAGGCTGCCTAAGTATGATCCTCAATCAGAGACAACGAGCTACAGCTGCCTCTGATTGGGAACCACACCGGCCAACATAGATCTACACATAATAGATCGAAACATAGAAAACACACAACAAAGAATATACACACCCTGACTCAACATTTAAGCGTCCCCTGAGTCAGGGCGTGACAATGGCTTGTTTTAGAAATAGTGATATTTGGGAGATTATTTCCTTTTCAAATAACTGAAAATGAGTTGTTGTAATCTGAATAAAGGGAAAAAGGCCTTTCTTGAACATTGGGTGAGACAATCTTACTAATTTGCTTGAGAACCAGTTCGGATTTAAGTATAACTTTTGTATGACTGAAGCTTTTAGTGATAGGTCTAATGCTTTAATATTTAATAATTTCTGTCCTCCGAATTCATATTCATTATATAAATAGGCCCTTTTAATTTTGTCTGGCTTGCCGTTCCAAATAAAATTGAATATTTTTTTCTCATATAATTAAAAAAAAAAATTGCTAGGCGTAGGCAAGACCATAAGCAAATAGGTAAACTGGGATAATACTAAAGAGTTAATCAGGGTGATTTTTCCACAAATTGACAGGTATTTTCATTTCCATTGTCTGTAATCAAACCAAATGTTATTGTCACAATTGTGTCATTGCAGCATTTATTACTACAGTAAAATGACTAATTATTCCTCCTAAAACTCATGCACGGGAACTGACAAGTTCTTCAGAGAAAGGGTTTTGATGGCAGAGGCAGAAGTGTTGTTTGAAGTTGAAAGCGCGCCGAGTACATTAGTGAGAAAGATGAGTGGACAACCGTGAAGTCCAAGAATGGAACAAAAAACGCTAAAATGTTGTGGGAAATGAGTCTGATGAGTCGTTGCTTGTTGGAGTACGTTTTTTGGTATGTTCATTTGGAACCCCTTTTGAAGTCACGAGGATGGTGAAGAAGGCGTTGGGAAAACTGGATGCAGTCAAAGTAACCAGGAGTGGAATGGTGTTAAGCACTTTGTGACATCTGCTGATGTACAAAGGGCTTTATAAATACATTTGATTTGATTTGATATCGTGTGTATCTAAAGAGCAAAAGGAGCGTGCATTGTGGCATGAAGTGGACAACTTTGGTTTTTGGAGCAGGGCAACGGTAAAAGGTGTTATCTGGCGTCCCATTGGACATTGAAAATCAACATCTTAGGCTAAAGATTCCAGGAGTAGTTCATGCACGTCGCTTGACCCGTATGGAGGATGGGAAAAAATTTGCTAAGTGTATCTGTATTATTGATGTTTGATGAAGAGTTTCTACCACCCTATGTAAAGCTGGGATATATAAGATATACAGTACCTGTCAAACGTTTGGACACACCTACTCATTCAAGGGGTTTTCTTTATTTGTACTATTTTCTATATTGTAGAATAATAGAGAAGACATCAAAACTATGAAATAACACATATGGAATCATGTAGTAAGCAAAAAACTGTTAAACAACTCAAAACATATTTTATATTTGAGATTCTTCAAGTAGCCACCCTTTGCCTTGATGACAGCTTTGCACATTCTTGGCATTCTCTCAACCAGCTTCACCTGGAATTATTTTCGTTGGCTGCTTTTCCTTCACTCTGGGGTCCGACTCATCCCAAACCATCTCAATTGGGTGGAGGTCATGGGATTGTGGAGGCCAGGTCATCTAATGCAGCACTCCATCACTCTCCTTCTTGGTCAAATAGCCCTTACACAGCCTGGAGGTGTGTTGGGTCATTGTCCTGTTGAAAACCAAATGATAGTCCCACTAAGCCCAAACCAGATGGAATTTTTTAGTGATCCAATTGACATTTTAGTCATTTAGCAGACGCTCTTATCCAGAGTGACTTACAATTAGTGAGTGCATACATTTTTCATACTGGCCCCCCGTGGGAATCGAACCCACAACCCTTGCATTGCAAGCGCCATGCTCTACCAACTGAGCTACAGGAGGGCCATCACTGCAGATGGCGTATCACTGCAGAATGCTGTGGAAGCCATGCTGGTTAAGTGTGCCTTTAATTCTAAATAAATCACAGACAGTGTCACCAGCAGAGCACACCCACACCATAACACCTCCTCCTCCATGCTTCACGGTGGGAACTACACATGCGGAGGTCATCCGTTCACCCACACCGCGTCTCACAAAGACACAGCGGTTGGAACCAAAAATCTCAAATTTGGACTCCAGACCCAAGGACACATTTCCACCGATCTAATGTCCATTGCTCGTGTTTCTTGGCCTGAGCATGTCTCTTCTTCTTATTGGTGTCCTTTAGTAGTGGTTTCTTTACAGCAATTCGACCATGAAGGCCTGATTCACACAGTCCCCTCTGCACAGTTGATGTTGAGATGTGTCTGTGACTTGAACTCTGTGAAGCATTTATTTCGGCTGCAATTTCTGAGGCTGGTAACTCTAATGAACTTATCCTCTGCAGCAGAGGTAACTCTGGGTCTTTCATTCCTGTGGCGGTCCTCATGAGAGCCAGTTTCATCATAGCGCTTGATGGTTTTTGCAACTGCACTTGAAGAAACTTTCAAAGTTCTTGAAATGTTCCGTATTGACTGACCTTCATGTCTTAAAGTAATGATGGACTGTCGTTTTTCTTTGCATATTTGAGTTGTTCTTGCCATAATATGGACGGTCTTTTACCAAATAGAGCTATCTTCTGTATACCCCCCCTACCCTGTCACAACACAACTGATTGGCTCAAACGCATTAAGAAGGAAATACATTCCACAAATTAACTTTTAAGAAGGCACACCTGTTAATTGAAATGCATTCCCATGTGACTATCTCATGAAGCTGGTTGAGAGAATGCCAAGAGTGTGCAAAGCTGTCGTCAAGGCAAAGGGTGGCTATTTGAAGAATCTTTTGATTTCTTTAAAACTTGTTTGGTTACTACATGATTCCATATGTGTTATTTCATAGTTTTGATGTCGTTACTATTATTCTACAATGTAAAAATAGTACAAATAAAGAAAAACCATTGAATGAGTAGGTGTGTCCAAACTTTGGACTGGTAGTGTATAAGAGCGTTCATGCAAAACCCGATGTAATGCAAGAAATGTAGAAAGTTTGGCCATATGTTATTGAAGCGTCTGTGAATGTAAAATGTTGCAACTGTGGTGGGGATCATATTCCCGAATTCCCAGTGCCCTGTTAGGGTGAAAGAGGTTGAGGTGTCAAGGATCAGGGCTGTACAGCAAATCTCTTATATGAAGGCTGGGCAAGAGGCCACAGTTCGGAAGAAGATGCACCGCAACCTGTTGCAAATGTTATACATCAATCAAGTGATCTGGATACACTTATTGTGAAGAAGGTGGATTTTGTAGCATTTACAGCCACAGTTATTAATTGTACTGCACACGTGTCCAAGAAGCTGGACATCATTATATCTGCAGCTGAGAAGTTTATGGGCCTCCAAGACTTCATGGCAGAAGCACTGCAAAGACTACTGTCGCCAGAAAATGTCCCACCCTCACAGGATCCTTCTGAGCCTGTGTAGGAAGCTGATTAGAACAGAAAAGCAGGCTGATTTAGTTTAATTTAAATGTTGTTATTGATAGTTTATCGATTTTTTTACCCGGAATTATTTCATTTTTGGGATCTTTATTATCCACCTGTACAGTAGGTGGCGGAATGCACATATAATTGCTGCGAACGCTAAAATACCAAAGAAGAAAACTAATGCACTTTTTCCGTTTGGAATTTACGTCCTGTGTCGGCTGCGGTAGCTACCCGAGGAAGAATGGGCGGCTGGATGTGGCTTCGCTGCTTTTTTGGGCCTCATCTCCAGAGAGTTCACCGTTCACAGGAGCAGTCCCGACCCGAAGGAAGAGCTGGGAGGAGGGTAGGCTCACGGAAGATACCATGCATGTGTTTGTGACCGACCAGGAAGAGATGGAAATGTATCTTTGTTCAACGCTAGCTCGCGCTCCGGTCCGGAAGTGTCAGTACGAGTTATTGAAACTGCTGTCAGTCACTGATTGACAGAGGTGACAGTGTGAAAAATGCTGCATAGTTAACACATTTGGGAATGTTAAGATAGCTAGATAGCCATTATACTTAATTCTCCAGGTATCTAGCTATCTTTGCGTTGTGGCAGGTGAGTGTGCTAGCAAGCACGTAACCTAAGCCACTGTTGTTAGCTTTGCTAGGTAGCTAGCTGTAATATCTAGGCAGGGAGATCATTGCAGTTATCCAGTTAGCTGGCTTGGCTAGTCACCACTCATTTAGCAGCTAGCTATTAGCTAACTACTCTCCCATTCTCTTACAACACCAGGGATGGACTTATCAACCCAAGAGCCTGGAGAAACACACAGACAGCATCCTCGGATGGGTCAGTATATAATTAGCAAGTTACCACAAGTTGTATTATCTAACGTTAATTGTTGACCATGACTCTGTTTTGATTAGCTAGAACAAACTATTTTACAATTCTATGCAGTGGCCTGCACTGTAATACACAAACTTTAGATTTTTGTTTTTGCATAAATTGAAGCCAGTAAAGACAAGTAGCATACACACATAGCTATACAGGTAGTCTATACATTCTCACACTTTCTATTGAGATGTAACTGTTCTTTTGTGTGTTCTCCTCCCTCCACCAGGCGTCAGCCCTGTGGTCTCTGTCGTACTACAGCTCCCCTCTCCTCCTCTGCTACCTTTACAGAAAAGGTAGTGTGTGTGTGTGTGTGTGTGTGTGTGTGTGTGTGTGTGTGTGTGTGTGTGTGTGTGTTCGCTCGCTCACACGATATGAAAGGTAATAAAAATGACTCATGCAGTAATGCTCTTATTGGGTTTAACTATTAATAGCTCCCAGCTGTAGTGTAGTAGGTAGGTATTGGTAGTGGCTAGTGGTGATATGGTTTCACATAGGACGTGTGCATGCTTGAGTGCAAGAAATAGAGAGCAGATGAGTATTACTAGCCTAATTGTTTGTTTGTTTGTAGCCCTAACCATTGCTGTGTGTTTCAGGGTACATCTGCAGCAGTAAGCTGGTCCCAGTCAGTCAGTATGTGGGAACAGTAATGGTTTGTCTCCTGGGAGTCGCCTGCCTGAGAGGTGAGAACTTTACCACGCTTTTTACTGAACTTGTATTGCTCTTCCTGGATTTGTCTGGTTTGAGAAATCCGCTGTGTTCAATGCTTTTTTCCCATAAAATAGAATAAAATCTCAAAACCTAATTGTAGAGAATATAGTGTCTGGTGTTCTTCATCTACTACAGACATTGGATTGTGTGTGACTAGGCTACCGGTAACTACGATTGCATTCCTGTGGGGTTACGATTTCACAAACACTCAGACTGCCACAAGGTGTGGGTCTATCAGGTACACTAAGTACACCCCTGAGACTCTCTCGCTCTCTGCTTCTCTCTCCCTCTCCCTCCTTCTCAGGTTGGGGGCGGTGGAGGAACTCTGAGTATCAACAGTTCATCTCCATTCTGGAGGAAACCAGGAAGAACCACACGCCTAGCAACAAGGTAACACTGCTATGGCAACAGCTGGTCAACAGCTGGGCTGCGTCTCAAATGACACCCTATTCCCCATATGGTGCGTTATTTCTAACCAGTACCCTATATGTCATTTGATGTTATTCTCAGGCCTGTTTTGCTAGAGGTTGTCAATCTTAAATTCAAGAAACAAGCCACAGCTATTCTTTCTGATCACTAATTTTGAATGTTCTGTCTGTAGAAAAAACTGTCCTGCTATGATTTTGACTTCTCTCACTGGCCGGCAGACTTCAGCTGGAAAGAAGTTAGCAATCCGTGAGTTGTGTGTGTAATTTGCGTATACGTGTGAACCTTTTACATGTGTGTTAATTTTTACACTGTGATTATAGTTTTTCTTGTATGAAATACACAAGATTGTACAGTAAATGTAAACTGGATGACTGTGTCTGGGTTATGATTTGAGAGTAAGGCTCTGTTTTCACTAGATAACTCTTGCTGATTTGTTAAATTTCCCATCTAACATCCTGTGTGACAGGAAGCTGCTGTCCAAGGCAGGAGTGTCTCTACTGAAGCCAGAGCCCAAACTGAGAGGGACAGCAGACAGCATGCTCAACTCTTTACGCACTCTACCATGCCACATCATCAGGTATAGACAGAGTACAATATCCACAATACACTGTACTCTACGTGGGCTTGACATTAACTTTTTTTAGCCACTTGTCCTTTGGAGAAGTAGGACTTATTATTATTATGTTTTGTATTTTTTTTTTTTTTACTTGTCCGAAAGCTCAAGTCACTTGTTCCCACCCAAAAAAAGTTATGTAACACCATGGGCCAAAAAGCGAACTGAAAATGGTGTTGTATGTTGCAAGGAATCACTTCACAAAATAACCTTCATTATTATCACTGGTATTGACAATGGAAGGCTGCTGGTCTCTGATCCCATGTATTATTTTAGGACATCGGACATGACAATGACATTAATACATGCTAAGTAGTTAACTAGCAAGATAACCAGCCAAACTACACAATAGGTTTTGAATTGGCTGTCTAGTTAGTCTGTTGTATATAATTATTTTACCTGCTGCGCAATTGTCTCTATCTCGCTCTTTCTCTCTGCTCTGGCAACGGCCCACAGGCACGCGCAGGTGATGCACACACCATGACTTTTCCAGGATTTTTATTGCGGATCAAAAATGAGCTGTAAGTGGTCAAATGACTCACTAACTAGCAATGAATATCAACAACTGTGCACACGCGGCTCGCTTTGATCTCAAAAACGCATCTCTTGACTGCCTGATTGAAAGACCACTCGTGCCTGTCAATGCAGGCCTACAATAATTATACTCCGATGCGCTCTGCATAGATTGGGAGGACAGTGTGTAATATAAATGCAACATTCAACAATTTCAAAGATTTTACTGAGTTATAGTTCATATAAGGAAATCAGTCAATTGAAAGAAATAAATTAGGCCCTATGGATTTCACATGACTGGGAATACAGATAAGCATCTGTTGATCACAGATACCTTAAAAAAAAAAAAAAAGTAGGGGCGTGGATCAGAAAACCAGTCAGTATCTGGTGTGACCACCATTTGCCTCATGCAGCGCGACATCTCCTTCGCGTAGAGTTGATCAGGCTGTTGATTGTGACCTCTTGGATATTGTCCCACTCCTCTTCAATGGCTGTGCGAAGTTTCTGGATATTGGCGGGAACTGGATCATGCTGTCGTACACGTTGATCCAGAGCATCCGAAACATGCTCAATGGGTGACATGTATGGTGAGTATGCAGGCCATGGAAGAACTGGGACATTTTCAGCTTCCAGGAATTGTGTACAGATCCTTGTGACATGGGGCCGTGCATTATCATGCTGAAACATGAGGTGATGGCGGCGGATGAATGGCACGACAATGGGCCTCAGGATCTCGTCACGGTATCTCTGTGCATTCAAATTTCCATTGATAAAATGCAATTGTATGCTTTGTCCGTAGCTTATGCCTGCCCATACCATAACGCAGCATTTCCCAAACTCGGTCCTTGGGACCCCAAGGGGTGCACATTTTGGTTTTTGCCCTAGCACTACACAGCTGATTGAAATTATCAAAGCTTGATTATTTGAACCAGCTGTATAGTGCTAGGGCAAAAAACTAAACGTGCACCCCTTGGGGTCCCAAAGGTTGAGTTTGGGAAACCCTGCCATAACCCCAGCGACACCATGGGGCACTCTTCACATTGTTGACATCAGCAAACCGCTTACCCACACTACGCCATACACAACGTCTGCGGTTGTGAGGCCGGTTGGACGTACTGCCAAATTCTCTAAAATGATGTTTGTGGTGGCTTATGGTAAAGAAATTAACATTCTCTGGCAACCACTCTGGTGGAAATTCCTGTAGTCAGCATGCCAATAGCACACTCCCTCAACTTGACATCTGTACCATTGTGTTGTGTGACAAAACTGCACATTTTAGTGGCCTTTTATTGTTCCCAACACAAGGTGCAAAGATCATGCTGTTTAACTCTTCCGAGTCGGCGAACGCTTCGGCGCGTTCAAATCGCGGGCCGGCTTTAGGACCGCGCAGCATCCAAACCAAGTGACGCAGAGGGCTGCCGTCGATTTCATGCAGAAATGGAGACCCGAAGCTACGTTTTGAGTGTTTGTTTCATGTAAATACACCAACTAAAACCAAAGTTATGATAATTTCAATTCCATGAAAAAAGTGCGTCAAAATATGCGCTCTTTTATGAGCGCTTTGCATTTATTATAATAACTTTGTCGTCTTTTGTGATAAAAAGGAACGGAAAAAAAACGTGTGCTTGTGCTAACCCGGTTCTTCAGGATGCACACGAGTATATAAACATTCATTCCCATGACAACTAGCCATTGCGAAAGAACGAACGAGAGGAATTAGTTCAGTTCATGAGTAGTTTTGGAGAGTTTTTCACGAGTTAGTATTTCAATTGTTAGTATTTCAAGAGTTTTATTGTCAGCAGTATCGTTTTTGTGAAGCAATATGAGGCGCACACTTCACGTTGAACAAGCCGTCGACTTGTTATTCCAAATGAGCGATGAAGAAACTTTGGAAAGTTCGTCGTCAGACAATGAGAGTGGCCAGGATGACTTCGAGGACCCTGATTTTGTTGCTGAAAACGTGAGGTAAGAAGACAAACATTTTTCTAAAATGAATTTGTTTTATTGCTTTCGTTTATCTTACTATAGTATTCTATTCTACTTCACTGTAGTGCAAATGCCAATGAACATCTTGAACTTTGAATAATCTTGAATCCGTTTACCTGTTTTGTATAGTGACGACGACGACGACGAGCAGCCTGGGCCATCAACAGCCCCCACCCCCACAACAAGCCGACGGAGGCCATCACAGAGGGGGCGTGGAAGGAAGGATCAGGCCAAGACCAGGTCAAGATCTCCAGCCCAGTCAGCAGCACAGCCAGAACAGAGCTCTGAGCCATGGAAAACAGAGACTGATCCTGACACTGCCCCACAAGCCAGTAGGTTCATGCCCCGCAGACCACCAGGAGCCCAGGTGGATTTGCATTCAGGGCACACACCAAAGGACCTCTTCCTGCTCTACTTCGCCGCAGATACAATGAGGACAATCTGCAGAAACACCAACAAACAGGCAGCAAGAAATCAGCAGAAGGGGAGCAAATATCAGTGGACTGACGTTGATGTGGAGGAACTGCACAGATTTCTGGGTCTCCTCATCTACACCTCATTGGTGACTCTGCCTAGTATCCAGGACTACTGGAAACAAAGCCACATATTGTCTGTTTCATTGCCAGCGAAGGTCATGCCAAGAGACATATTCCGGTCCATCTCATGGAACATCCACCTAAGTGATCCAGAGGAGGATGTCATAAATGACCAGCGCAAAGGTACACCCCAGCATGACAAACTGTTCAGGGTCAAACCTCTGATGGACGACATTCGCACTGCCTGCCAGGCTCATTACCATCCTAAGAAGGAACTGTCAGTCGACGAGAGGATGGTGGCTACAAAAGCCAAAACTGGCATGACCCAGTACATGAAGGACAAGCCTAACAAATGGGGGATCAAGCTCTTTGTGTTGGCAGAGTCTAACAATGGCTACACTCTAAACTTCAACGTGTATGTTGGGAAAGCACACACACCCAGCGTGCATGGACTTTCATATGATGCTGTTATGGACCTCATTCAGCCATCACATCTTGGTACAGGATACCATATTTATATGGACAATTTCTACACCAGCCCAAAACTGTTCCTGAGTTTGGGAAGTATGAAGTTTGGAGCCTGTGGGACCTACAGAAGCAACAGAAAAGGGTGTCCTAGTGGCAGAGAAAATGCCCTCACCAGCAAATCGAAGAGGGGGTCTGTGAGATGGATCAGAGAGGATCGCCTGGTCTTTGTGAAGTGGATGGATACGCGGGAGGTGTCGGTGTGCTCCACAATCCACCCAGCGTTTTCGGGCGAGACAATCAAGAGGAAGGTGAAGGAAGGACCTGGACGCTGGGTAGCAAAAGACATTCCCTGCCCTACCCCCATCATGGCCTACAATAAGTACATGGGAGGGGTTGACCTGTCAGACCAGCTTCTCCAGTATTACTCAACCCATCGCAGAACTGCTCGCTGGTACCGTACCCTCTTCCTGCATTTTTTGGACATGGGAACAACAAATGCATACATCCTGCACTGTGACATCAGTGCGACCCAACAGGTCACACCCATGACGCACAAGAACTTTGTGGCAGAACTTGTGGCCCAGCTGTGCGGAGTGACCCAGACAGGGGTTCCACTTCAAAAAAGCACCAGCCATGTTCCTGTGGCCATTGCCAATGTTGCAGAGGCCAAAGACAAAGCCACAGCAGGCCGCAGGGTTTGTCAACGCTGTAAACAAGTTGACAAGAAGAGGTTTGTCACACCATGGAAGTGCAAGGCCTGTGATGTGGCTCTCTGTGTCATTGTGGACAGGAACTGTTTTGAAGAGTGGCACAAATAGGGTAAAGGCCAGTGGCTATACCTACTTTTTTTGTAAATAGTTGTGTATTGCTTGTATATATCTCAAGAATACTTTTATATGTTCATATTTGCACTTTGTGGTTCAATTTGAAGCTTTTTTTTTCATTTTGGACAGAAACTGTTTTGAGGAGTGGCACAAAAAGGTTTAGGGTTAGAATAGAAGAAAAACGCCAGTGGTTATACCTACTTTTTATTGTAAATAGTTATTTATTGCTTGTATATATCACCAAAATACTTTTATATGTTCATATTTGCACCTTGTGGTTCAATTTGAAGCTTTTTAAATGCTTGGTTCACCATGTTTGAGGGTTTTACAATAAAAAAACCATCTTTTTTCTAAACGGACTTTGTGTTTTCTGTGTGTGTTTGGGTCCAGTGTGTTGAAATAGTATGTCAAAGTGAAAAACTTACTAACAGATCATATAGGTGAGGTTGTGCTGAAAAAAAAGATACCCAACATTGGTCTGGTAAACATTTCTTTATGTAGTATATCAGGGCAAAATTGAAGGTACCCAAAAACGGCCAAAAAAGCTCCAGACTCCGAAGAGTTAATCAGCTTCTTGATATGCCACATCTGTCAGGTGGATGGATTATCTTGGCAAAGGAGGAATGCTCATTAACATAGACGTAAACAAATTTGTGCACCAAATTGGAGAGAAATAAGCTTTTTGTGAGTATGGAACATTTCTGGGATCTTTTATTTCAGCTCATGAAACATGGGACCAACACTTAACATGTTGCGTTTATATTTTTGTTCAGTGTAAATACAGTGGGGAGAACAAGTATTTCATACACTGCCGATTTTGCAGGTTTTCCTACTTACAAAGCATGTAGAGGTCTGTAATTTTTATCATAGGTACACTTCAACTGTGAGAGACGGAATCTAAAACAAAAATCCAGAAAATCACATTGTATGATTTTTAAGTAATTAATTTGCAATTTATTGCATGACATAAATATTTGATACATTAGAAAAGCAGAACTTAAATATTTGGTACAGAAACCTTTGTTTGCAATTACAGAGATCATACGTTTCCTGTAGGTCTTGACCAGGTTTGCACACACTGCAGCAGGGATTGTGGCCCACTCCTCCATACAGACCTTCTCCAGATCCTTCAGGTTTCGGGACTGTCGCTGGGCAATACGGACATTCAGCTCCCTCCAAAGATTTTCTATTAGGTTCAGGTCTGGAGACTGGCTAGGCCACTCCAGGACCTTGAGATGCTTCTTACGGAGCCACTCCTTAGTTGCCCTGGCTGTGTGTTTCGGGTCGTTGTCATGCTGGAAGACCCAGCCACGACCCATCTTCAATGCTCTTACTGAGGGAAGGAGGTTGTTGGCCAAGATCTCGCGATACATGGCCCCATCCATCCTCCCCTCAATACAGTGCAGTCGTCCTGTCCCCTTTGCAGAAAAGCATCCCCAAAGAATGATGTTTCCACCTCCATGCTTCACGGTTGGGATGGTGTTCTTGGGGTTGTACTCATCCTTCTTCTTCCTCCAAACACGGCGAGTGGAGTTTAGACCAAAAAGTTATATTTTTGTCTCATCAGACCACATGACCTTCTCCCATTCCTCCTCTGGATCATCCAGATGGTCATTGGCAAACTTCAGACGGGCTGGCTTGAGCAGGGGGACCTTGCGTGCAGGATTTCAATCCATGACGGCGTAGTGTGTTACTAATGAGACTGTGGTCCCAGCTCTCTTCAGGTCATTGACCAGGTCCTGCCGTGTAGTTCTGGGCTGATCCCTCACCTTCCTCATGATCATTGATGCCCCACGAGGTGAGATCTTGCATGGAGACCCAGACCGAGGGTGCTTGCCTATTGTCACCAAGCTGCTTGCCTATTGTCCTGTAGCCCATCCCAGCCTTGTGCAGGTCTACAATTTTATCCCTGATGTCCTTACACAGCTCTCTGGTCTTGGCCATGGTGGAGAGGTTGGAGTCTATTTGATTGAGTGTGTGGACAGGTGTCTTTTATACAGGTAACGAGTTCAAACAGGTGCAGTTAATACAGGTAATGAGTGGAGAACAGGAGGGCTTCTTAAAGAAAAACTAACAGGTCTGTGAGAGCCGGAATTCTTACTGGTTGGTAGGTGATCAAATACTTATGTCATGCAATAAAATGCAAATTAATTACTTAAAAATCATACATTGTGATTTTCTGGATTTTTGTTTTAGATTCCGTCTCTCACAGTTGAAGTGTACCTATGATAAAAATTACAGACCTCTACATGCTTTGTAAGTAGGAAAACCTGCAGAATCGGCAGTGTATGAAATACTTGTTCTCCCCACTGTACATTATATTCTACCATACCACATTGTCAGGTAGTAAACTAAATGCACTATATTCTACCATGCCACATCATCAGGTACTAAACTAAATACACTATATTCTACCATACCACATCGTCAGGTATAAACACTCAATAGACTACAGTATACCACACTACCATGCAACATTGTCAGATATTGTACTACACAGGTCATAATGTGTAACTAACTACAACTACTGTTTCTATCACTGTCTCTCTCTGCTTCACACTGTTACAGCAGGCAGGCTTGGTATATTTGATTGAAATTACATTACGGCCTGCTAGCCCACTGATGCTACCTCTTCTCTCCCCTCCCTCTTGCTCCTCCTCTCCAGTTTTCTGATTGCCCACTCGTTTGGGAGGAGGATGCTGTACCCTGGCTCTGTATACCTACTGCAGAAGGCTATGAGACCCATGCTACAACAGGGCCAAGCTAGACTTATAGAAGAGGTGAGTCACCACACACACACCACAGTAGGGTCAAGTTGTACTAATTTACAATAGTTCAAGATGTAGTCATTTATTTATTTATAGGGGACAATGCACATTAATCAACATCAATATTGCAATAATGCCAAAAGCTAATTTGCAACCGTAGTCCCAGGGCAGGTAAGGGCAATTACACAGCCACAATACAAATACTCACTAAAACAATACAAAATACATTACATCCAACAATATATAATTATAATATAACTTATTCGTAATAAAACACTATCCTCAACTGTCGTCTTACATATGAGGAACAGATAACTTGTGTACAGGTTTGGATAGATTTGAGCCATGTTTTCAATTTAAATGTAAAATTACAATAATAAGTGCAGCTTCTCAAGTCCATGGGCATTACATTCCAGTATATTGTAGCTCTAACAGAGAAGGCCGATTGGCCAAATTTACTGTGACGAAAAGGGACAACGTAATCCCCTCTAGTTACTGCCCTTGTTATCCTGGAGGTGCTTGCCTTGAGCGTGATATGCCGGCATAGGGGTGGAGGGACAAGACCATGCAGGATCTTAAAGACAAGGCTTGTATCTACATTCTGCTTAAAGCTATCCAGACTGAATAAATTATGTTTGTGAATGATGTGACAATGGTGGTAACTGTTTGGTTTGTTATCAAAAATCTTAAGGGTTTGTTTGTAGAGTGATTCAATTGGTTTCAGAATAGTAGCTCCTGCTTGTGACCAGCATGTGAGGCAATATCTCAGATGTGAGAAGATCATAGCATGCATATATAGTTTGGTGGCCCCCAGAGGAAGGTAAGGTCTTATAAACCTAAAGTTGGATAATCCAAACTTTACTGTGTTAACCACCACCTTCACATGTTGCTTAAATGTCAAGTTAGAGTCCAAAATGACGCCGAAATACCTGAAGTTAGACACAATTTTCAGATTCTCCCCATTAACAAGAACAGCTCGTTGGGAAGAATCAATGGATTTCTATATATGCAACCTTTCGATTATAGAACAGCTTAACTTGAAGTTTCTCTTTTCTGATCAGTTTCTGTACTTCCCTCCCTCTTCTCTGTGTGCAGTGTGAGGGCCAGAGGAACAAGCTGGTGGCGTGTGATGGGAATGAGATTGATACCATGTTTGTGGACCGCAGGGGTGACGAAGGACAGCACGGACAGACTCTGGTAAGGACCTGGACTAGGCTCTATGAACCATCAGAACTACATTACCCATGATTCCTCTGGTAAGGAACTGGACTACAGTACGCTCTATGAACCATCAGAACTACATTACACATGGTTCCCTGTGAGGTCTATAGTGTTTGCTGTATGTCCTGCTGTAGGTGATCTGCTGTGAGGGCAACGCAGGCTTCTATGAGGTGGGCTGTATGAACACTCCATTGGAAGGTAAGGAACCTCTGTGTCTGACACTTTTACACATCAGAAATACTTTCTTCCTTCCTTCCAACCTACTTACCATCCTTCCTCCCTCCGATGTAAAGGTCACTGTTCATACATAGTTGTTAACATATTCTCATAACCTGTCAAATTGAAACTAGAGCAGTATAAACTGTGTTGTCTGTCTGTGTTGCAGGTGGATACTCGGTGCTTGGCTGGAACCACCCTGGCTTTGCAGGAAGCACGGTAAGCATTAGTGTCCCTCGCTCGTCCCCATCAAGCTTTTGTGTGAACTTACCAGCGTATTTCAATGGAATTATTAGGCAAGTTTGTCTTATGTGGAAAGTCTGGTTTGTCTACACGTGTCATTCATAGAGAAGGTTGGAAGAAACACAGGGTTGTGGGTTTGATTTCAAAGGCGGGACCAGTACGTAAAAGTAGGAAAATGTATGCACTCACTACTGTAAATCGCTCAGGATAAGAGCATCCGCTAAATTACTCAAATGTAAATGTCTGTGTGTTAGCAGCAGATTTGTTTCCATCTCAAAATGTGCATTGACATGAAAGTAAATGTAAAACAATAACTATTTTGTTCCCCTTTCCACTCCTTTATTTCTCTCTCAGGGCGTACCGTTCCCCCAGAACGAGGCCAATGCCATGGATGTAGTGATCCAGTTTGCAGTGCACAAGCTGGGCTTCCAGCTCAGTGACATAGTGGTGTATGCCTGGTCCATAGGGGGATTCACAGGTAGGGACCACACTGGTAAATGCAGTGCGTGTCTGGCCGTAGTCTATTGTGGGTATGAGTTGACCAATTTCACCAACATACTGTAAGCACCACTTCTTTATTTCTCCCCCTCTCTTCATTTTCTCTCCATCTCCCTCTTCTTGCTCACCCTCTCTCCCCCTCCCCCTCTCATACTTCCTTTCCTCTTTCTCTTTGTCTCTCAGCCAGTTGGGCGGTGATGTCCTATCCAGAGATCCAAGCACTGGTGTTGGACGCCTCCTTTGATGACCTGCTGCCTCTGGCCCTCAAGGTCATGCCCGACAGCTGGAGTGAGTCTCTCGCAGGGGTCATAGGTCAAGGCGTGGAAAATACCAATATATTATGTCTCTGGATAACACTTTTTTTTTTCTATTATGATATCTATTCTATAACAATACTCTGGATCAGAGCATCTGCCAAAGGCCTGAGGTTTGTGTGTGTGTCTATGTAAGGGCTGTGTTTGGTTCAGGATCTGACAATGAAAATTGTGTGTTTCAGGGCCGCTGGTGACACACACAGTCAGGCAGTACATGAACCTCAACAGCGCAGATCAGCTCTGCAAGTAAGTGCAACACTCTTTACTCACACAAACACTTTACCCATGTGTGTGTGACTGACACAAACATATCATCCATGGAAAATATGGAGTAAATCAATTTGAATTCAGTCACTTTTTGATAGCATCCCATTTGATTTGTACAACACTTTCCGTATATGTTTACCCATGGAAGAAGTGGTCAGAAAGGGACTTTTTGGACCTGAATGCCAAAATATTCAGGAGAATAAAGGTGGAGATATCCATGTCTTCATCACCGGAAAAGATAAACAGTTGAGTTTGATATCAATTAAAAGCTTAAAAACAGGGTTGTCAAACTAGTGTATAAATTCTATTAAAAAAAAAAAAAAAAAATTAAGGGTAGGAAGCATGAGTTTTTACTCACCAAAGACTTAGTAGCTTAGTTGTAGTCACGATCTGGTTACCTATAAGTACAAACATATAGTTATGTTTTTGGGTTGTTACACATTTAACTTATTTCAGGATAACTTCTAAACTACCCACAATGCACTATTTCTCAACGTCATATGGAGGATCTACTCTGTGCTACAGAGTTAGTATTCTAGCTCGGTAGCTATCTCAAGCTGGCTAACGTTAGCCACACCTCATGCTGTTCAGACTTTGTGGCTGTGTTATCTAGTGGGAACCCGTTACCAAATCAAAATCAAATCAAATCAAATCAAATTTTATTGGTCACATGCGCCGAATACAACAGGTGCAGACATTGCAGTGAAATGCTTACTTACAGCCCTTAACCAACAGTGCATTTATTTTAAACAAAAAAAAGTAAGAATAAAACAACAACAACAAAAAAGTGTTGAGAAAAAAAGAGCAGAAGTAAAATAAAGTGACAGTAGGGAGGCTATATATACAGGGGGGGTACCGTTGCAGAGTCAATGTGCGGGGGCACCGGCTAGTTGAGGTAGTTGAGGTAATATGTACATGTGGGTAGAGTTAAAGTGACTATGCATAAATACTTAACAGAGTAGCAGCAGCGTAAAAAGGATGGGGTGGGGGGGCAGTGCAAATAGTCCGGGTAGCCATGATTAGCTGTTCAGGAGTCTTATGGCTTGGGGGTAGAAGCTGTTGAGAAGTCTTTTGGACCTAGACTTGGCACTCCGGTACCGCTTGCCGTGCGGTAGCAGAGAGAACAGTCTATGACTAGGGTGGCTGGAGTCTTTGACAATTTTGAGGGCCTTCCTCTGACACCGCCTGGTATAGAGGTCCTGGATGGCAGGGAGCTTTGCCCCAGTGATGTACTGGGCCGTACGCACTACCCTCTGTAGTGCCTTGCGGTCAGAGGCCAAGCAGTTGCCATACCAGGCGGTGATGCAACCAGTCAGGATGCTCTCGATGGTGCAGCTGTAGAATTTTTTGAGGATCTGAGGACCCATGCCAAATCTTTTTAGTCTCCTGAGGGGGAATAGGCTTTGTCGTGCCCTCTTCACGACTGTCTTGGTGTGTTTGGACCATGATAGTTCGTTGGTGATGTGGACACCAAGGAACTTGAAGCTCTCAACCTGTTCCACTACAGCCCCGTCGATGAGAATGGGGGCGTGCTCAGTCCTCTTTTTTTTCCTGTAGTCCACAATCATCTCCTTTGTCTTGGTCACGTTGAGGGAGAGGTTGTTGTCCTGGCACCACACGGCCAGATCTCTGACCTCCTCCCTATAGGCTGTCTCATCGTTGTCGGTGATCAGGCCTACCACTGTTGTGTCGTCGGCAAACTTAATGATGGTGTTGGAGTCGTGCCTGGCCATGCAGTCATGGGTGAACAGAGAGTACAGGAGGGGACTGAGCACGCACCCCTGAGGGGCCCCCGTGTTGAGGATCAGTGTGGCAGATGTGTTGTTACCTACCCTTACCACCTGGGGGCGGCCCATCAGGAAGTCCAGGATCCAGTTGCAGAGGGAGGTGTTTAGTCCCAGGATCCTTAGCTTAGTGATGAGCTTAGAGGGCACTATGGTGTTGAATGCTGAGCTGTAGTCAATGAATAGCATTCTCACGTAGGTGTTCCTCTTGTCCAGGTGGGAAAGGGCAGTGTGGAGTGCGATAGAGATTGCATCATCTGTGGATCTGTTGGGGCGGTATGCAAATTGGAGTGGGTCTAGGGTTTCTGGGATTATGCTGTTGATGTGAGCCATGACCAGTCTTTCAAAGCACTTCATGGCTACAGACGTCAGTGCTACGGGTCGGTAGTCATTTAGGCAGGTTATCTTAGAGTTCTTGGGCACGGGGACTATGGTGGTCTGCTTGAAACATGTTGGTATTACAGACTCAGTCAGGGACATGTTGAAAATGTCAGTGAAGACACTTGCCAGTTGGTCAGCACATGCTCGGAGTACACGTCCTGGTAATCCGTCTGGCCCTGCGGCCTTGTGAATGTTGACCTGCTTAAAAGTCTTACTCACATCGGCTACGGAGAGCGTGATCACATAGTCGTCCGGAACAGCTGGTGCTCTCATGCATGATTCAGTGTTGCTTGCCTCGAAGCGAGCATAGAAGTGGTTTAGCTCGTCTGGTAGGCTTGTGTCACTGGGCAGCTCGCGGCTGTGCTTCCCTTTGTAGTCTGTAATAGTTTTCAAGCCCTGCCACATCCGACGAGCGTCAGAGCCAGTGTAGTATGATTCAATCTTAGACCTGTATTGACTCTTTGCCTGTTTGATGGTTCGTCGGAGGTCATAGCGGGATTTCTTATAAGCGTCCGGGTTAGAGTCCCGTTCCTTGAAAGCGGCAGCTCTACCCTTTAGCTCAGTGCGGATGTTTCCTGTAATCCATGGCTTCTGGTTGGGGTATGTACGTACGGTCACTGTGGGGACGACATCATCGATGCACTTATTGATGAAGCCAGTGACTGATGTGGTGTACTCCTCAATGCTGTCTGAAGAATCCCGGAACATGTTCCAGTCTGTGCTAGCAAAACAGTCCTGTAGCTTAGCATCTGCGTCATCTGACCACTTTTTTATTAACCGAATCACTGGTGCTTCCTGCTTCAGTTTTTGCTTATAAGCAGGAATCAGGAGGATAGAGTTATGGTCAGATTTGCCAAATGGAGGGCGAGGGAGAGCTTTGTATGCGTCTCTGTGTGTGGAGTAAAGGTGGTCTAGAGTTTTTTTCCCTCTGGTTGCACATTTAACATGCTGGTAGAAATTAGGTAGAACGGATACCACGGCGGGCTCTGGTGTTTTCTTGCCATGGGCTCAAAACGAAAGAGAAAATCCTACCTGCTTGCTCTAATTGTGTAGTACCGTGTCTGTTCTACTTTTTATTTTGTCAACTTTTCAGAATGTTCTCTGTGAAGTAGGCTACGGGAGTTTTGTAACTTTTTCCACCTTGGCTTAGTGCTAGCGCACTAGCTGGCTGACATCTGGAATCTATCTATTTTGGATTTTGGCCTGGTGATGCGCCCGCCTCCCCCTAGCTTTGGTAGTTAACTCAGCCTGCACTCTTTTACTATCGGATGGGCCCCAACCATCAGTCTGTAAGTCTCTGCTCACTTTGCTTTTAATCTGTGGTTATGTTTTAGTTTTGCTCTAGCTGGTCTCCAGTAGTTGGGCTCTAGCTTGCCGACCATAACCGTGGTGGTTGGCTAAATAATGATGGGGGGAAAAAATCGATAGTTACATATTGGAATATAATTTTTTACGATGTATTGTTTTGAGAATCTAGCTGTATTTTTGCGCTAGTTGGCTGTACCTGCACCAAAACTCCTGTATTATTCCTTCATAGCTTGTTTTTTATTTTTATTGGGAGGCAATTAATTTTCAGCACTTTATTTCCATGACTGATCTAATCTCGTTTTCTTAAGGCTCTCTCTTGTCCCTCTGCAGCAGACATATGGTGAGCAATATGTTTGGATCATCGAATCGCAATAAAATCACAGTATCGAATTGCAAGAATCGCAATGCATATCGTATCGGCACCTAAGTATCGTTATATTATAGGGAATAGGCTGGCTTGCCGGGTCTTCCAAATTACATCACACTTCAGAAAAACATTTTCCGTCATGACTTCAGAATACTGATCGGTTTTATGTAATAAAGAAAAGTGAGGTGTAAGTTTGCATTGGGACTTCTGATGCGTATAGTCATGCAAATCCATGTTATGTTTATGCTACCTACTCTTTAACGTCAATTATCAACAAAAAAATCTAACCTGTTGTAGCTTAGACCCTATTTTACATTATTTGAGGTTTTTGTGTTGTGCCCGCTATCGGTTGAAACACAACATGCTCTTGAATACAGGGTGGGTGTCATTTCAATCATAGGAATATAATTCATAGAATGGACCCATCCCTTCAGACCACTGCAATTTTTTGCTGGTACACAATTGAAATGTTTATTGAATTGACATTTTAACTTGTAATTACTACCACAGATGGCCCCCGGTCCACCCACTGTTGAATGTTAACTTAAATGGTCAAACCTATTCTATCTATATTTCTATGATTTCAATAGGTTTTCTATGGAGGATTGACAATATCATTTAAAACAGATATTCCCATTCAAAACAACATTCTCTGTGTGGATCTCCAACCATCTTTGTGGTACCATTTGAAAGTTGACATTTCCAATATATTCCCATTTTTAGTGCATTTATCAGCCAAAACATGACACCAACCATGAATTCTAGTGTTGCATGGTATACTTAAGCAATAAGGCCCGAGGAGGTGTGGTATATGGCCAATTGCTATTATAAACTAGTTACCAACGTAATTAGAGCAGTGAAAATAAATGTTTTGTCATACCCGTGGTATACGGTCTGATATACCATGGTTGTCAGCCAATCAGCATTCAGGGCTCGAACCACCCAGTTCATAATGAAACTTTGGTACTTTTTCAATACTAGAACATAACTGTTTGGTACTAGAATTTGTTACTTTCAGTACTTCTGTCAAATCTGACTCACGGATCAAGTCTGTCAGCTCAGCCAATGTCGAGGCACGCACCGTGCATCCTACACTGGGAGTCTGGGCTGCATCATGTTAGCTACCCACTCATGCTGCATAGAAGTTAAGACACTTAAATAATGTGACATGGCATTTGTTGAAACTGTACATTACGGTTTGCAAAACAATGTCCATACATACAGGCTAGAACACTTTACAATGCAAGAAGATACCGGTATCTTCCAGCTTTGTAGGCAAACTTTCCTTGCTAGCTTACAGCTGAAGCTAAGATCATTTCACTACCCTAGTACTGTGTTCGTGACCATAACGCAAAATATGCTGATTTCAAAGCTGATTGCCACCAAAATGTTGTTCATTCACTTAATTGGCCTCTCTCACGTCTCTCCCAAATATTATCTATTGACTCAGTGAACTGAATGGTGTGCTAATAGGGCTCCAACGGGCTGCCCCCTCTTGCCTTGTGAATGACGTCATTACTGGTTAAAGACACAGCGCACAGTTTTATCAAATAAGCTACTTCTATGCAAATGTTGTTGATCAGTACAATAAAATAAGTCTCAAATGGAAGGGAAACAGTGTTTGGGGTGGGGTGGGGTGGGGTGGGGTGGGGGGGTGTGTAACTCAATATTAGGAAGGTGTTCTTAATGTTTTCTACACTGTGTATAGGCCTAGGCTACAACTTGATTTACCCAGTTTATCAATAGAGATTTACCATTCAAATAAATTACCGTTATGTAAATAGATTTGTAAAAACAAAGTAAAATGTATTGTATAATTGATTCATTAATCCATACATAGCAGTCTCTGAAAAATGTTGCCGTAAAAACTTTCAAATCTAATGATATTGAACTCAGAAGATGCCCAACGATTGAACAGAGCAGTCAGTAGCTGAGTTTCTGTCTGGATCAAGTGCCATTCTGTGACTGGCTAATATTCCTTCTTTTTTTGGTGTTGAGTATCGTGATACTAATCCTGGTATCGAAGTCAAAATTCTGGTATCATGACCACTATTGTATTCAAGAGCATGTTGTCTCAACCAATGGCAGGCACAACAAACATCAGATGTAAAGTAGGGTATAAGCTACGTTTTTTGATAATTGTGTTTTAAGTTTAAAATTACTATTTATTTTTAAAAAACATTATTTTTAAGAAATAAGAGTTTGACAACCCTGTTTTTTAAAGCTTTTAAATGATAATTACAACCGTTTATCTTTTCCAGTGATGAAGACATGGATGTCTCATAGTATTGTGGGCTATGCAAAATAGGTCAACTTTGAGCACCTTTTTATCTCTTGAATGTTTTGGCATTCAGGTCCAAAGGACACTTTCTGAGCACTTCTACAATGGGCAAATATGTATGGAAGGTTTCGTTCAAATCAAAAGGGGTGGGAAGATGGGAGGTTTTGTGTATTTTGTGACCCTAACACTCATGAGTTCTTCCTTAGGTACCAGGGACCAGTGCTTCTGATCAGAAGAACCAAAGATGAGATCATTACCACCACGTGAGTCACTATGAAGGCATGAATAAAGAAAATACTTATGGCGCGTTCAGATTCACTAGACTTGTTACCAGATGTATAGCTATAGTGGCTGGTTTCACTAACTGACGGTGTTGTGTTTCAGGGGTCCAGAAGATATCATGTCCAACAGAGGAAACAACCTCCTGCTCAAACTTCTGCAGTTCAGGTCGGTTCTCCGTCTCGAAAACCTCACATAGGCTGTGTAGGCCTATATCTATGTACACGTTGTACACTACAGACCTGATTATTCACAACCTCACACAGACATCTAAGGTGTTGCCTTGTACCATATATATATATTCACCAGGAACAGAGAGAGTGAGCACTCTGTTTCTGTTTAAACCCTTTCTGATGTCATATCTTCAGGTACCCCAAGGTGATGACAGACGATGGAGTCAGGGCCATCAGAGCATGGCTGGCAGCTACCAACCACATAGAAGAGGCGGCGGTGTACAGTAGCTATGAGGTGGATGATGACTGGTGTGTGTCTGTACTGCAGTCGTATAAGACAGAGAGAGACGTTTTCTTCCCCTGGAGCGTTGGTAAGAACTGCTCCTCAAACACTATTACAGCTGGTTGACAGATTAGAATCTCCCTAGATGAACTACTTAACAATGATGACGGAATTAATGTCTTTGTCAAAAGGGTTTGTTTACTGCCCCTTAGACACTTGTCTCTGCTGAGATTGTGTATCCATATTTAAACACACACACGTGTTGTGGTTTTAACCCTTTCCGTTTTGTCAGGTGAGGACATGACACTGGAGGGAAGACGGCAGCTGGCTCTTTTCCTGGTGAGAAACGTCTATTGTTCCCCCTCTCAACAACATGACTTGCATTCTATTCTCTCTCTCTATCCATCAGTGCCTTTCTTCTTATGTCCCTCTTCTCTCTCTGCCTTACAAATAGCCTACCTTTATTCTTCACCCCATCCTTTATTGCTTACCTGTCCTCCCTCTTCCCCACCATCTGTTCTTAAGGGTAATTATCATGCTGAAGAACACTTGAGGTTTCCATAGTAACTAGGTCACCTGTGCTCTCCTTGTGACTGGTGTAATGTATTTCTATTGAGCTCTGTGGTTATTGAAGTAATTTACTACAGCATGATAGGAGTGTCAATTACTGCTAATGCAGCTGCATTTATTCTGTGGCTGGCTAATGCCTGTTAAGTACAGTGGGGAAAAAAAGTATTTAGTCAGCCACCAGTTGTGCAAGTTCTCCCACTTAAAAAGATGAGAGAGGCCTGTAATTTTCATCATAGGTACACGTCAACTATGACAGACAAATTGAGGAAAAAAAATCCAGAAAATCACATTGTAGGATTTGTAATGAATTTATTTGCAAATTATGATGGAAAATAAGTATTTGGTCACCTACAAACAAGCAAGATTTCTGTCTCTCACAGACCTGTAACTTCTTCTTTAAGAGGCTCCTCTGTCCTCCACTCGTTACCTGTATTAATGGCACCTGTTTGAACTTGTTATCAGTATAAAAGACACCTGTCCACAACCTCAAACAGTCACACTCCAAACTCCACTATGGCCAAGACCAAAGAGCTGTCAAAGGACACCAGAAACAAAATTGTAGACCTGCACCAGGCTGGGAAGACTGAATCTGCAATAGGTAAGCAGCTTGGTTTGAAGAAATCAACTGTGGGAGCAATTATTAGGAAATGGAAGACATACAAGACCACTGATAATCTCCCTCGATCTGGGGCTCCACGCAAGATCTCACCCCGTGGGGTCAAAATGATCACAAGAACGGTGAGCAAAAATCCCAGAACCACACGGGGGGACCTAGTGAATGACCTGCAGAGAGCTGGGACCAAAGTAACAAAGCCTACCATCAGTAACACACTACGCCGCCAGGGACTCAAATCCTGCAGTGCCAGACGTGTCCCCCTGCTTAAGCCAGTACATGTCCAGGCCCATCTGAAGTTTGCTAGAGTGCATTTGGATGATCCAGAAGAGGATTGGGAGAATGTCATATGGTCAGATGAAACCAAAATAGTTAACTCAACTCGTCATGTTTGGAGGACAAAGAATGCTGAGTTGCATCCAAAGAACACCATACCTACTGTGAAGCATGGGGGTGGAAACATCATGCTTTGGGGCTGTTTTTCTGCAAAGGGACCAGGACGACTGATCTGTGTAAAGGAAAGAATGAATGGGGCCATGTATCGTGAGATTTTGAGTGAAAACCTCCTTCCATCAGCAAGGGCATTGAAGATGAAAGGTGGCTGGGTCTTTCAGCATGACAATGATACCAAACACACCGCCCGGGCAACGAAGGAGTGGCTTCGTAAGAAGCATTTCAAGGTCCTGGAGTGGCCTAGCCAGTCTCCAGATCTCAACCCCATAGAAAATCTTTGGAGGGAGTTGAAAGTCTGTGTTGCCCAGCGACAGCCCCAAAACATCACTGCTCTAGAGGAGATCTGCATGGAGGAATGGGCCAAAATAGCAGCAACAGTGTGTGAAAACCTTGTGAAGACTTACAGAAAACGTTTGACCTGTGTCATTGCCAACAAAGGGTATATAACAAAGTATTGAGAAACTTTTGTTATTGACCAAATACTTATTTTCCACCATAATTTGAAAATAAATGCATTAAAAATCCTACAATGTGATTTTCTGGATTTTTTTCCCTCAATTTGTCTGTCATAGTTGACGTGTACCTATGATGAAAATTACAGGCCTCTCTCATCTTTAAGTGGGAGAACTTGCACAATTGGTGGCTGACTAAATACTTTTTTTCCCCACTGTACATCTGATTCCCTTTATATGGAAATGTCAGGTGGTGGTGGGCTTCCATTAAAGTCAGTCAGACAAAAGCAAATCTAATCTACAGAGTTCCATTTATTGGGAATGTTCTCTCTCGTTCATTGTCCGACTCTTCTCCGTTTCCATCACTTGTTCCCTCCCTCCTTTCCTCAGGCACGGAAGTACATGCGGAACTTCGAGTCAACGCACTGCACTCCTCTCCCCTACTCTGAATTCGCTGCCCCTTGGAGACTGTAAAAAGAGATGAGGGATGGATAGAAGATAACGAGAGGCAAAGAGTGGTGGAGGTGAAGCGGCTGGCGAAACCAACCAATCAGATGAGGTTTACAGAGCATGGATTGAATGTGTTATCATGTATCTATGGGAGGTGTTCAAGGCAGCTAGACCCAGTCGGTATTAGAACGTTGCAACCCTGCCCACCTGTGGGGAAAACACCTGTGGTTACCCCATTGGCTCATAGCAAAAACTTGGCATTTTGTCTACTTGTTTTAATCAATTACAAAACTACATTTAAGAAAAGTACAGGTCTAAAGATTACTGCTCCCTGGCGTTTTCACTACTTAGAAAAACGTAATATTGCCTCATGCCCCTTTTTATGACGATGCTAGCAGCCACTTGAGTGCTAGCTAGCGACCGGAACATTAAGCTAGTCAAGACCAACAACACAAACAAACGGACTAACGTTATACAGCTACAAGTAGTGAGTGGGGTTAAACAAACTGTACTGAACAAGTTAAACATCTTACCTGTGATATGTTTTCCACACTTATAGCAACGCTTACTCTGCGTCCCCACGCCGAATAGCCTGAAGCCACAGGGCTCTTCTCGCAGGCTCTATTTTTTGACCTGGCTACATGTACATTGAACAACACAGCAGCTTTTTGGTATGTTTTGTTATTTCTGTAGAAGAAAAAAAAAAATCTACAACAAAGTTGGCTCTTTTACAATGGGGTGAATGGTAAAAAATGTTTGTTTTCCCAATTTGTGGGCGTGGTCTAGGGGAATTCCTTATTACGTTAATATCGACTCAGAGTATCAGATGAATATGTTTTTGTTGTTACTGTTGGCACGGTAACGGCTTTGTTCACGTTTATAAACTGGGTGGTTCCAGCCCTGAATGCTGATTGGCTGACAGCCGTGGTATATCAGACCATATACCACGGGTATGACAAAACATTTATTTGTACTGGTCTAATTACGTTGGTAACCAGTTTATAATAGCAATAAGGCACCTCGGGGGTTTGTGATATATAGCCAATATACCACGGCTAAGGGCTGTATCCAGGCACTCCGCGTTGCGTCAAGAATAAGAACAGCCCTTAGCCATGGTATATTGGCCATATACCACACCCCCTCGTGCATTATTGCTTACATATACACTGCTGTCCTCAAGCCTCTGACACTGAGAACTAGATATTTAAAATGCTTCCTTCCTCCCTTCCATGAAGTAACCACTGATCTGTAGGTAATTAGATTTTTTTTTTTTAAAGGCTCCATCCTATTGCTTCCGTGACTACATTACTACAAGGAAGGAAAGATGCATCTTAAAGGAAGAAGAGGAGCTCGTCTCTCTCCCTCCTTTCCTCCCTCTGGCTGCATTTTTAAAACGTAAACAGTTATTTCAACTACTCTACTATAAACAAATTGGCTTTGATAGCCTCAGATTTAGCCTAGACTCATATCTACTTTTTACAAATACAGCCAGGCCATCCTCACTTTCTAAAGCTCTACATAAAAAATAAAAAAAACGTATTTTATGTGGACACTGTCATTATGAACAAATCTGTATCCTGATAATGCTCTTAATGTTAAATATATGCTAAATAAAATGTTGGAAAATAATTGTTGTATTTCTTATGAAACTGTAATCCTACATGTATCATTAGAGGCCAGGTTTTTTTCCTGACTATAACTATCAAAGTTCCAGGCCCTAATTATAGACAACTAGGGCCCTGAGGTTTTCCAGGTCAGGTCACATCCTCAGGAAAAACTCCTGGACCTAATCATTTCACCAAAGGAGCAGAATACACAGGAATGGCAGCAAGGTCAAAGAAAGAACAAAGATCCCGGCCTGTCTAATGTAAGGTCTTTATTCACTTACTTCCCTCCAGAGAATCCTTTATGAAAAGTGGCATAATACTTTGACATGAGACAATAACAGGAGGGTGAAATACAGTGAGCTCAAAGTATTGGGACAGTGAAATTGTTGTTTTGGCTCTCTGTACTCCACATTTTGGGTTAAAGTGCAGACTGTCAGCTTTAACTTGAGGGTATTTTCATCCATATCAGGTTAACTTTTTGTACATACATAATCGTGAATGAGTGAGAATGTTAGAGGCACAAATCATACCCCCAAGACATGGGGGGTATGATATTTGTGCGTCTGTAAATTTCTCACTCATTCTAGATTAATTCTGGATTTTTCGTAATCATGGCAGCATACACATTCATGTAGAAATGTTCACCCGATATGGATGAAAATACCCTCAAATTAAATCTAACAGTCTGCACTTTAACCTCAGTCATTTTATCATTTCAAATCCAAAGTGCTGGAAATGAGTCACTGTCCCAATACTTTTGGAGCTCACTATCTTAAGAAATCTACCAAACCATATTGTAAAAGGGGATGGGGGAGGAGGTTACATCATTCTCTTGAAGTTGTCTATGGCTTCCTTTGCTTTCTCTAGCTCTGTCTGGCTCTGACGCAGCTGGAAGAGGAAGATGAGGGTTAGAGAGCAGGACCACAAGTCACCACACACTTCAGAAGAGGCTGATGAAATCTCACTTTACAAGCAGAGCCAAGCAAAATGTTTTTACTGTAGGAATGCCCCACTTCCCCAAAAACGAAAACCTGAGTAATAACTAATTTTCTCCACCACATCCCTCCCTCTCCACCCCTCCTTACCTTCTCAGCGTCCAGCTCCTGTACTTTAACAGGCACCTTCTCCTTGTAGTCACTCTTATCCATCTTTTCTCTCAGTTTATCCATCTGTTTCTCCAGCTCTCCCTTCTTCACAGTCAGCTTGGCCACCTCCTTCTCCAAGTCTATCAGACCCTGGGAGAGAGAGATGAGGGAGAGATATTAACAATGAGGAGATAAGAAAAGGAAGCGTAGTTGGAAAAACAGAGGAAAAAGTGAAACACAAAATGTTACTAGGGAATAAACAGATGTCTGTTTGGCACACAGTCATCGGATTACTCTAATATACACTGTTAGCCAATCACAACACAGAATAATGTGCGGTTGAAGCCTGTAAAATTGACCTCTTACCTTGAGCATGAGGTGGACGGTGCACCTGTCGGAGGCAATGGCCACAGCACAGCCCTCTGGGACGGCCCCGTTGGCTGGGATGGGCTGGATGGTCTGGGAAAGGGACAGGGTCTGGATCTGCAGACTGTACTGCTCCACCAGAGACACCGTTTCACTGTCTATACACTGGAGGTAGCCTGGGGAGGGAGGGGGGAAGAGTTAGGGCTATAATATGGTTATAATATGTAACACTATGCTAGGAGAAGTGTTCTAGTCATCAAAGTAGGTAATTATGCCAATTTTCACTAAGTCATATAGCCTTGCTATAACAAAGTAGTACATATAGTACAGTGCTTATGGTCAGCGTGTGGTCATGTATGAACTCACAATCGGCGCGTGTCTTGGTCAGGTTGTAGTCGGCCCTGAGTGAACGGATGGTCCGGACCACGGTCATCACAAACTCCATCTGACGGTCCACCTCCTCACTGTGCCAGCAGAACTAGAGACCACACAGAGACGACGGTCAGACAACCACCTCAAACCACAAATTACAGTCAATATGATAACACATGCCCTGTGGTTTATTATACAGACATTCAGTGTATCAATATAAAGTTCAGTCCCTCGAATCCCTCCCTCCTCACCTCCTCAGTCTCAGGGTAGGGCGTGACATGGATACTAGGGCGGCCGCCCTGGGATCGTCGACGTGGCAACCTCTGGTAGAGCTCCTCGCCCACGAAGGGCATGATGGGAGCTAGGAGGCGCAGGCCGGTCTCCAGGCAGGTGAATAGGGTCTGTCTGCAGATTACAGCCTGGCTCTGAGACCCACTGTCCTCCTCCGCCCTGGAGAACACTGGCTTCACACTCTCCTGGAGCGGTGAGGAGGGAGGAAGGTAGAGAAGGGGGGAGGGCCGAGGATGAAGGTAGACAGCGGGAAGTTAAGGAGTGGCAATATATTAATTCCACACACACACCACTTTCACACAGATTCTCACACCATTTCGCACTGACAGACAGAGACGGGCAGAGAGAGACAGGCAAACAGACTCTCACCAGATAGACGTCACAGAGCTCGTAGAGCCAGAAGTTGTAGATAGCTGTGGTGATAGCTGGGAAGTCGTAGGCCTGGAACCCTGCATTACACAGCCCCACAGCAGTACACAGACGGGACAGAATCCACCGGTCTGACACACTCTCCTCCCCACACAGCTGACAGGAGGAGAAGGATCATTTGATATTTTACAGAGATATAAACCTAAATACCATTTTATCATACAAAGACATGTATTCACTCACTGATTAACTGTATCAAATTAAGAGCATTTTCTCTAAGCAAGTTTATTTTCCTTCATTTACATGGGCATGACACTGCAGTATGCACACACTGAATAGGCTTAGATAAAGATACTGTAGTAGAGTTCTCACCTGGGCTTTCTCTGAAGGAACAAAGTTGTCTCCCAGCGTCCTCATGGCAAACTTCACAGCATTCCACAGCTTGTTACAGAAGTGACGGTAACCAAGGATACGATTCACATCCATGTTAATGTCCCTGCCTGAGAGAGTTAAGAGTGTGAGAACACGGAAAAGACCAGAGGGGGAGAGAGGAAAAAGAAAGTGTAGTGTTGGTGTGTACATGCCATTCCAGCCATAACATGACACTGCCAACACCACCAGATGGCAGTAGTGAGTGGTGCACCTTGGCTGGTGTAGGCACACAGGGCGAAGCGGAGGGCATCTGTGCCACACTCTGGGATACCAGTGGGGTAGTCAGACTTCTGTCCCTGCTTGGCCTTCTCTACCTCTACTGGGTCCAGATTACTGTCCTGCAGCTGGGCATACAGACCCTGCACACACGCGCACACACACAAACAAAGGGTCAGCAGAGATACATCTCTCTGTGTCCTGGTGCTTCGTTCTCGGCCCTTAACCACACTTGCTGTTCAACAGCTTTGTGACAACATAAATGCATGACACCTTGATTCAACATAGCAAAATACATAGTTGGTTCCTCAATACACCTGATTTGGTAAGTATGTGCTGCCATTTCATTTGTCTGAAAAGACACACTCCGCCTACCCAGCAGGCCGGGAGATCTGTGGCTAAATCGAGTGCGCCTACCGCGCTTGCAATTTGGATAGCTCAAATCACTGTGTCTACAGCTTCCACGACCCCGGCTACAGCAAAGTTTGATCCTAGCCTACAAGAGATTTCATAACTTTTAAAATCATGACCACAGAGACTGTCAAAGAATACAGCAAAGAGCTGCTGTTTTTATGAGTGAGTTCATGTCGAAGTTTTTATTCAGTACTGTTAACACTGTTTTTATTCAACACTATTACAAAACATAAAACACTCTTCTCCCTACTTCCACTCGCACTGCAGCTGCAATGAACGAGTAGCCAAGTGTATCGATAGCCCTGCGTTTTTATTATTAGCAGCTCGTAGTGTCTATTTTAATATCGAGGAATAGAGCAGGGACCGTGAGAGGCGGACCCTCTGCTGCTCTCTCCCTCCCTTCGCTGAGGCTAATGCCATGTTCAAAACAACAGGGAACTCTGAAAAAAACGACATCCAACTGGGAAAAAATCGTTTTGAATGATCATCCAACTCTGAATTCCAAGTCGGAAACTTCGCATCTTTCTAGAGCTCTGACTTTCCGACCTGAAGATCACTAACGTCATGATTTGACCTCTTTTTTTTTTTTTCTTCAGTTGTCTTGAAAGCACCATTACCATTAGATGCAGGTACCACAGTCCAGTAAAATAAAAATAAAACCTCATTATTTGCAAATTATCTCAATTTATGCACAGTTGTGCCTCGCAAGTGCTATACAAACTGATCTATTTTGTTATCAAAGCTAGAGTTTTTAAATATAATATGGTCTGAGAAGAACCATATTGGCAGGCCAGGCATATAGCCAATATGCTGTGATAAGGCATTAGGCCTACTGCACAAACCTCATTCCTACAGAACTGTCTTTATTAGGTTACATTTTTTATTTTTTATTTTTTTTAGCGGTAGATATCGGCTTACTTTTTGACTACGAAAGTGACCTTGACTCAAAAAAGGTTGGTGACCACTGCTCTAGAGGGTTGACTCAGCTCTAGGTTTGGGCGATATACCGTTTATACCGTATACCGGGGTATTTCAGCAGGGGGCTGCGTGCTATGCCACTGCTTTTAACTATAAGTTAGGTATAGCTATAAGAAACCTAAGATGTGTCAAACAAATTACATCCAGCTCAGGGCTCCAGCTATGCATTTGGTTTGCTAACTTGCTAGCTAAGTGGCTAGATGTCAAGATCAAGCTTCTTGGTTACAGCTTATTGGTCACATTCAATCCCCTCCTGGATCAAGATCTGTGTTGCCTAAATAGTTTTGCGCCCCTTGTGTGCATTTCCGGTAATACTGTATACCCCGGTATGGTACAGAAACGGTATGACGGTAAGAACATGTGGATACCTCCAAACCCTAATCAGCTCAGCTCTGTTTGAGGGAGCAACACTAGGAGAGATAGATACATGGCCTCAATAGAGCTGGAATGAGCTGGAATAGCTGCTTAATAAAGCATGTGTATGTGTTACCTCCAGAGAGATGCCTGTGATGACGTCCAGAGGGTCGATGACGTTCCCCAGAGATTTGCTCATCTTCCTCCCATGGGCGTCCCTCACCACCGCATGGAGGTACACCTAGTAACAAACACAGACATTACATTTACATTTACATTTTAGTCATTTAGCAGACGCTCTTATCCAGAGCGACTTACAGTTAGTGAGTGCATACATTATTATTATTATTTCATACTGGACCCTGTGGGAAACCTGTGATGCTGGCTTTAAATCTGACCAATAACACAGATTTTAACAGAGGATTTCTAGTAACTAAAGTCTGTACGTATCTTTACCAGTAGAATTGGCACGTTTTGCGACATTACCTGTACTATACTGGCTGTCCCCACTGTAATCAATGACACATGCTACACCGGTCAGAGGCAACACGCCATTACTTCTAAATGAGCCGTACCTCTTTGAAGGGCAGCTTGCCGGTGAGTTTGAGGCCCATCATCACCATGCGGGCCACCCAGAAGAACAGGATGTCATGACCCGTCTCCAGCAGGGTGCCTGGGTAGAACACACTCAGGTCCTGGGTCTGGACAGAGAGAGAAAACACATTTATACACACAGAGGGTATTACACACTCAGCTCTAGACACCTTACCCACACATTCAATATCATCAATACAGGAAGTATGGAAAGCATATGTTAACAACTTTAATACACACACACACAGCCTCACACACACACACACAGCCTCACCTCGTTGGGCCAGCCGAAGATGGAGAAGGGGAAAATACCAGAGGAGAACCATGTGTCGAGGACATCCTCATCTGTAACACAGGAAGTGAACAAAAATCACTGGGCAATGGGCAGAATACTACATTACACTGTAAATTAACATCATTTGCGAGAAGATCTTACCCTGTCTGAGGGTGATCTTGTCAGTGGAGACGTTGAAGCGCTTGGCAGCTTTCTCTCTGGCCTCCTCCTCTGTCCTCCCACTCACCCAGTAATGACCATCCATGTCCTAGAGGACAGGAGGGAGGGAGAAGGGAGAGTGAAGCCAGAGAGATGGGGCATGGGTTGTTAGGACAGGTGTGACTTAAATGACACAGAGAATGAGAGAGAGAGAAAGAGAGAGATGGATCTTACCTCTCCTGGTTTGACCGAAGGGTCGTTCACAGTGACAAAGTAGGCTGGGATTCTGTGACCCCACCACAGCTGACGAGAGATACACCAGTCCCTGGGAGGAAGGGACAGAGGTGGATGAGTTCAAGTGAATATGTAAGACATAATAAGAGGGTGAGGAAACCTGAGCACAACTGGTGACAGATGAAACACTAAAGAAGAAAAGGGGTTTGGTGCTCAAACCAACAACTGGAGTAGAGGTGCTACCTGTTTTTAACTAGGATCTGTAATACACTTATTTCTATAATGGTGAAAATGTGCTGTCTCACCTTCTAATGCGTCGAGAGATGGAGCACATTAAAGAGTAGGACGGGAAGGAGAGTGAGGAAAGAGAAAGTAAAGACTGACAGAACGACTGATGACAAAAGAGAGGTATAGAGGGAAGAGAAAAACAGAACCAGAAAGGAGATGATGGGATGGAGGTGATGGAGAGAGAGGACGGGACTGGGATGGAGGGGTGTAGAGTAAACCTACCTGATGTTGTCCAACCAGTTGAACCAGGTCTTATGGTGGTGGTCTGGGATGATTTTGAGTCTTCCCTCCCGGACCGAGTCAGCTGCCTGCTTGCCCATGTCAGCACAGTTTACATACCACTGAGGCTTCAGCAGGGGCTCTACTATGTCCTTAGAACGACTGGAGAGAGGGGAAACACACTCACATTCAATACTATTCAAATCCATAATTTTCTCACTAACACGCTCCCACACCTGCACACAGACGTGACCACATTTCACCCACTGATGCGTGTGAAGCTGAAAAAAGGAATGCACATTGACTAGACTGGAATATCTGTGCTTATGTGCTCGTAATGTGGACTGATCGTAACACACCTGCAGACAGGCACCACCATGGGGTTGTCTTTGGTCTCCTTGAACTGGCCTCTGTCCTTCAGAGCCTGCAGCACAGCCTTCCTCGCCTCAAAGCGTTTCATACCCTGAGAGAGAGACACGAGAGAGAGAGAGAAAGCGAGAGAGAGAGAGGAGGTAGGCAGAGAAAAACAGAGAGGATGTTACCAAACAGAACACACAGAACAACAAGGAGGTTAAGGAAGAAGAGCGACAATACACCTCAACTACTAAGACGGCATGAAGACAAGATCCAGTGAAGAAGAAGTGGGAGTGTACTGTACCAGGAATGGAGCCGGCACGTTGATGAGCAGGCCGTTCTCATCCAGGATGTTGATGAAGGCCAGGTTGTGTCTGTTTCCAACCTCATAATCATTATGGTCATGGGCTGGGGTTATCTTCACAGCACCTAGAGGAGAGAGAGAACGGGGAGAGAGGGAGGGAGAGATATATGAGAAGAGAGGGAGAGATAGAGAAAAGGTTTAGTACAGCTCAACCATACAAACCAACAGTGTACCTTGGACCACCAGACTACTCCAGGGAAGCCACATGGCCACACAGCATGGTTAGTACCTGTTCCAAAGTTGACGTCCACAAACTCATCAAACACGATGGGCATCTTCCTGTCACAGAAGGGATGAAGCACCATCTTCCCTTTAAGGTGCTGAGAGACACATAAACCAAAACATGTTAGTTCTCAATAAGAATGCCAAAAACATTCATCAAAACGATATTTAAATGTCAAGAAAGCATAACATTTTATGGATTTTCCCAAAGAATGCATCTATTGGAAGGTTGTAGAGTCGGCAGGGCATGTGTATGTGTGTGTGTAGGTTGTAGAGACCTGGTATCTGGGGTCGGCAGGGTGGACGGCCACAGCAGAATCTCCCAGCATGGTCTCTATACGAGTGGTCGCTACAATCACCTCCTCATCTGACATAGTGAGACATTTAATAAAAGAAGACAGAAATACGTGAGGGAGAAAAAAAATGGAAGGGAGAGATCAATTAACATAATTGACAGAAACACTCACGATAAAGCCCTGTCCCTGTACCTCCCCAGCCCAAAATTACTCTTTCCCCTTTTCTCTCAATTTCTTACCTGATCCCTCTATCTTGTAGGAGAAGGAGACCAGTACTCCAAACTCCACCTTGTCCTTGTAGCCAGGCACGGGTAGCAGAGTCCTGCCAGTCAGCTCCTTCTTATCCACCTGGAGAACAACACAGCATCATGGGGGTGTTCATTACGGCATGCAACAGAATGGACGTTTCAAAACGGTTTAAAATATTTTGCAACAGAATCATACCTCTATATCCGAGATGGCAGAGTTGAGGGTGCAGGACCAGTTGACCAGCCTCTTGCTCCTGTAGATCACACCGTCCTCATGCAGACGAATGAACGCCTCCTGGACTGCATAGGACAGTTTCTAGAGATGGAGTCACAATAGTTTAGTATTGGGAACATTACAACATGGGTAAAGGCTCAGTCTAGACATAGTACTTTATGTATTAGACTAATAAATGTCTCATGAGTTGTCCATGACGACACAGTAAAAGGTGATAGGTAATGTAAAGTGTAAGGTAATGGAAATGATAGTGAACTCACAGGGTCCATAGTGAAGCAGGCTCTGTCCCAGTCCAGAGAGGAACCCAGCTTCTTCAGCTGGTGGTAGATACGGTCTCCCTTCCTACAACACAGCACAGGGAGGACGAAAGAGAAGGAGGGAGGAAGGAAGGGGAAGAAAGGGAGAAATTCTAGCTCTTACTTTCTCTACTATTGTTGTTCTTTCTTTTGAAACCCTCTCTCCTTCTCCCTCTCCTCTCCCTCCACTCACTCGTTCTTCCACTTCCAGACCTCCTGGATGAACCGGTCTCTCCCCAGGTCGTGTCGGCTCATGCCCCTCTCCCTCATCAGCTTTTTCTCCACCACCACCTGGGTGGCGATGCCCGCGTGGTCACAGCCTGGGTTCCACAGGGTCGTCTCGCCACGCATACGATGCCTGGGGAGAGGGAGGAAACAGGAAACGCATCATCATACTGCGATAAGGACAGAATTAGATTAAAGACTACAGAATGTTTACAATGGGACAAGACATGAATGTTGAGAGAGGTGGAGAGAAGTGGGACACGTAGTGTCATGACAGCAAGAGAGAGAACGCAAGACAGTGAGAGAGGGAATGAAAGAGAAAGTGTGAGGTTGGTAGAAAGAAGAAAGATAGAGTGAGATTGGTGAAAGGATGTGAAAACAAACTGCTAGAAAGAGAGAGAGCAGATTGGTGTAATCAGATAGAGAATCCCATTACCATCTGGTCAGACAGTCCTGGATGGCGTTGGTTAGGGCATGGCCTAAGTGAAGAGATCCCGTCACATTGGGCGGAGGGATACACATCATGAAGACTCCACGGGGGTTTGGCTCACTGATACGCTTCCGCTGAAGAATATAGGAGCATCATAATAGCTTGATTGAGACCTCAAAGCCATGGGTTGGTTAAATGTCACATTTCATAAACAAGCATAAACTATTAAATACATAAAGAGTGTGACAGTCTCACCCCGTACTCAGGCTTGAAGTATCCCTGCTTCTCCCACCAGGAGTACCAGGCTGCCTCCACGTACTGAGGACTGTACGAGTCTGGCAGGGGGCTCAGGACGTCTGACACAGGGAGAGAGAGGAGTTTAATATGCACAACACACAAAAGTGAGTATAATAGAGAGAGTGGTGGATTAAACATGGTTAATAACAGAGATCCTATTAAATTATTCTAATTCCTAATTCTATGGTTAATAAGCACCTTTTTTCTCTCCAGGAGGAGTGGGAACGTCGTATGAGATCACTCCCAGGTCCTTCTTCTCTGGTTTGGCCTTTTTCTGGAGAGAGACCAGAATGAGACTGATGAGACCTATTGGCCAGACACCTACTGAATTACATTATCTAGGCTGTAAAAACAGTAAAGGGAGTATACTTTAAGGATCATCATCTTGTTGGGTTCCTCTTTAGTTGTGTTTTCTAGTTGATCCAGACAGCAATGGTCTTTGCAACAGTGAAAATGAGAAATGAAACCAGCCATCTATCCATCTTCATACCTCTGTCGGGGGTGCCAGTTTCCTTTCTTGCTTTTTCTTCTCCTCTATCTCCTTCTTCTTTTGGAACTTCTCCAGCTTCTCTCTGTTTTTAGCCTCCTTCTTCAGCTGAGCTTCTGTCTTTGGTTTGCCTGAGAGAGAGAGAACACACTTCTGAGAATAACACACACACAAACAAACACAGGCTGACACACACACACACACACAAGGAATCACTCATGCTGCTATGTATCCAGAAAATAAATGTACCTAACTGATAAGATGCCAAATGTTGTGAAAACTGAAACTGATTGGCCATTCATTTACAGCTTGACAAGAAAACACTGTTGGTCTTCAGGATAATAAAGTTATTCTTCATTCTAAAGCTGATCTCACACAAAGAAACTTGGGCAGAATTTCTGTAGCATTTGCAGGTTGCAAATGACATCTCAAGCAACTTTGCAGATATACGAGTCAACTCACAATTATTATAATGTTTTTATTGCATGCAATATACAATCGAATTGAAGGTGCTTTTGTCATTTTATTGATTCCATATTGTTTGCAAATTCTTAAAGCTGCAACATGTAACTTTTCGGGCGACCCGACCAAATTCACATAGAAATGTGCGTTATAGATCTGCCATTCTCATTGAAAGCAGGTCTAAGAAGCGGTAGATCTGTTCTACCTGCGCTATTTCTATGCTTCCCGTACTCAAGTTTAGTTTTTGCATCTTTTACTTTCGGTTTTGTACACCAGCTTCAAACAGCTGAAAATACAATATTTTTGGTTATGGAAAATATATTTCACAGTGGTTTAGATGGTACAATGATTCTCTACACTATACTGGCTTGTTGTTTAGTCATTTAGCAGACGCTCTTATCCAGAGCGACTTACAGTTAGTGCATACATTTTAATTTTTTCATACTGGCTCCGTGGTAAACGAACCCACAACCCTGGCGTTGCAAGCGCCATGCTCTACCAACTGAGCTACACGTTATGTTATGTTGTATAAACTGAAATTAGGCGCACTATTATAATTTTTGCAACCAGGAAATGGGGGAGCAATTTCTGCATAGTGCATCTTTAACACATACTACCAGACAAGTTACTCACAGTCAAAGACATGGCCTAAGCCCCTTACCATTGGCAGCGTTGGCATCAGCAGTTGGATTGGCGTTAGCAGCAGGAACAGTTGCAACGCTGGGTTTGGGTGTGACGGGCACCATCTTCTCACACAGAGAGATCTGTCCCAGGACCTTGACAAACTGAGGCTGGTTGACACAGGTCAGAAACCACCTGGTCACGTTGGTGAGGGCTTTCCTGTTGGACGGCTCCACGGCCTAGAATAACATAATAAGAGGAATGTTATTGGAGTTCAAACAAACAATGCGAAACAGGTAGATCTTACATTGGATGTTGCATGCAATTTCAGTCGAGTTGCTTTGTGTATCAGCAAAGTTGCTTGAGATGATGACACTTGCAATCTGCAACAGAAATTGCATACAGATTGCTTCGTGTGACATCAGCTTTACAACTGGGGTGTATTCATTACGCCGATTCTGTTGCTAAACGTTTTGTCTGTTGCAAAATGTTTCGCAAGAGAAACAGTTTACTCCAAACGGGGAAATGTTTTATACAACGAAAACAAGTGTTTCTATAGGACAAATGCAGGTAGGCCCCCCGTTTCGTTCTGCTTGCTCCATTTGGTTCTTAAACGGTAAACAGGTTCTGTTGCAAGACGTAATGAATACACCCCAGCACTCACTTACCAGACAGTCTGTTAACAGAAGACAAATACTTTCACTTCTTCCTAACATTAAAGAATGAGGAAGATGATAAACATATACACTTAAGATAAAAATATAAACGTTAACATAAAGACTTGGCTCACATATTTGAAGGGCAGGAGTGCTGCGGTTGCCACAGCGATGTCGGCCAGAGTGAGGCTGTCTCCCACCAGGAATGTTCTAGGCTCCAGGTTCTTATCGAGAATGTTTAGCACGCGCATCATCTCAGCATGAGAACTCTGCTGAAGCTGCATGGAATCATCAGAATCAGAAAAAACAATTGACAATCAACAATGTTAACACAGGAATTTGCCTTGGGCTGTGTTTTATTCCAGATTAGTGTTCCCTCCCCTTGCTTTGTCATTGTTCAATCAATCCCATAGTCCCAATCATTTGAAATTAAGTAAATATTCACCATTATACTCCTATTTTTGTGTTTGTGACTGCATGGGTTGCTGCCAGTGGTGAGACCCTCTCCCTCACCTTCTTATCCAGTCCCATCACCCCCAGCAGTGGGAACACCACAGCACAGGACACAGGAGTCAGCTCATTGTCTGCAAAGCTGAGCCACTGCCACACCTGACTCTCCTGCTTAGCATTCAACCCTGTCTTCTTCCCCTGAGAGGCTAGGTACCATCCAACAGCACTGGCCCCAGAGAGCACCTCACCTCCCCCAGAGCCCAGCACCAAGCTGGGGCGAGACCGCAGGGCCAGGGAAGCAGGAGGGTCCTCTATGAGTGTGCAGGGCCGAGAGGGGCAGAACTCTGCAGCGACCAGGGCCATGAGGCTCCTGAAGTCGTCAGGGTGGGGGGAGACGTAGAGCGAAGCCATCCCTAGGAGAGGGGAGAGAATGATGAGGGAGATGGGTGTGTCAGACAATATAATGGCAGGCAAATGATAACGCTTCCATAGCTTCATTAAATAGTATAGAGGTGTATTTGGATGCAAACCACTTCACAAGTCATGATATCCTTGTGAGCTCATCAATCTCAGCTAAAACTAGCTTGCTAGCAGCCTAGCTACATAACAGTAGTCAGTACCGTTACTGTTTTGGGCATGTTTGTTTTGCTAACTTAAGTTATGCTATACTAACGTTACATCTCTGGCAAGTAACAAACGCTAACGTTAGCTACAAATCTGGGAAGTAAACAGACAGTTCCACAAACAGAGATGTGCGCAGATGGCTATGCCACGATTCATGCGCTATTTTCTAATGCAACAAATCTGTCAAACTGGAAAGGCATGCTAACCTACTAGCTAGCTAGCCATTAGCGGACTAAACTCCACTCCATGGTGAAGGAAGTTTATGAGTGGAGTTCAGTCGGCTAACTAATCATCAGCTTTGGCAAGCTGTAACGTTAAAGGGACAATCTGCAGTTGCAATATCAATTTTAAGTAAATGTGTACTCATTCATTCTTGAAAAATATAACTTATAGCTAAATGCCTCATGAGCTTCGTTCAACTGTGTGCACCATCAGAACCCAAAATATATGCTTGTTTTACTCCAATGTTTGTAAACAAAGTAGCTAAATGTAAACAAACACTATATAGCCTCAAAAAATGGTTAAAACTATCATGTTGATATCATGAATGGTCAGTCCTTGCATCCATAGCTCTATCTATGAATTTGAGAATTGTTACATTTCACCAGCCCCATCCCTCAGCTTTTTACCGAAACAATGGCAGTTATTCGCCTGCCTTACACAATTAATTACGTACACAAAGTTTCCATATAATTTAAAACTAAATGGCACTTGTAAAAGTTGCCCATACCTTTGAATGAAGAAGAAAGAGACGTCAACTCATGAGTTCCGGATAAGCAGCGTATTCCAGTGGTTGGCCGTCTGATGCAATTGACCCACATGTTTGGTTCGAAGGACCCTTTGGTCCGATTCATTTCCGCCACACCAAGGCGGCCTGTAAGAATGCCTTTTCCAAATTGACAATGACATTTGTCCAGACTCTCACTCAGATCAATTATCGTAGTGTTACGAATGTGCAAATTAAACGAGCCAGCTTCAAGGCAAAATATATTTATAGACAAATGAATGAATGAATCACAAATAAATAAATTGCACTAATCTGAGTGAATGTGATCAATCAATTATCATTTTTTAATCAAGCAAGCATAAAGTTCATAAAGTAACATCATGTGAACTCACACAGTAAACGCATGTTTCCCCAAAATAATACCATATTGTAATTGATCAGCACACCCAGACGCTCTTATCCAGAGCGACTTACAGTTAGTGAATACATATATTTTTATACTGGCCCCCGTGGGAATCGAACCCTGGCGTTGCAAACGCCATGTTCTATCAACTGAGCTACATCCTTGCCGGCCATTCCCTCCCCTACCCTGGACGACGCTGGGCCAATTGTGCGCCGCCCATGAGTCTCCCGGTCGCGGCCGGCTGCGACAGAGCCTGGATTCGAACCAGGATCTCTAGTGGCACAGTTAGCACTGCGATGCAGCGCCTTAGACCACTGCACCACTCAGGAGTTCATTACTTCTCTTTCTGACACATATACCATTCATCTCAGCTTTAGTCTTTTGGGATCCTGCTTCTTTACAACTAAGAAGTAGTAGAAGTTGAAGTAATCTACTTTAGGGAGTAAAACAATATGAAAATGTGTTGTGTGCCGAACTATGCGTTTGTGGTAGACAGCTTAGCTAGAGGCATTGGCATTGCAGCATACACATCAATTCTCTCTTGCTATCTGGTGCATTTTTACATAATTTATAAGAACAAAATATACAATTTTCAAGGTTTGCAAAAAAATCTGCAACGTTATTGATTAACATTCTCTGTAGACCCAAACCACCCACAGTTCTGGTCCTGCCCAAAGGCCTCCATCACATTCTCCACAACCGTTTCCACGCTTCCTACTACTAGCCCCCCTGCCATCCTTACCACGTTCCCCACCCCGTTCCCACACCTCCACGCCAGCTTCCCCATCCCCCCACCAACCACCTTCATCTGCCCTCCCATCTCAGACACCACCGACCCCACATACCCCCCACCCTGCTCCCACGCCTGGTCCCCAACCACCCTGGACACCCACCAGGCATTGTCCACGATCCCCCCGAATATGCCCACCCCATCCCAGGCCAGGGTGCCCACCCCTGTGACCCCGTCCTGGCAGCTGGTGAACAGGGAGCCCACCAGAGGGGTTGTAATGCAGTACAGAGTGGAGAAGCACATCTCCCCCACACCAAGTATCAGGCCTGTGACTGAGCCGACCCCAGACACCAGGTCAGACGCCATGTTGTAGAACACAGAGAGGGTGTCACCTGGCAGGGCAGACAGGACCCCCAGGTCCTCCTGTAGGACAAAGGCCACCTAGACGAGAAGATATGTTCTGTTTCAAGATATTGTCTGTTATAACAGAAACATATTTTTGTGATCAGAAATATAAAAGGATATATACAGGATATGGAACCATCACAGTATTGTATTCCATCAGTAATCACCTGTCCAGGGATCCCGATGAGGGTGGAGACTACAGGGCGTAGTGGGGCGATGAGCAGGGAGACAGAGGAGGTGATGATATACACCAGAGTGCTGCCGGACGACTCTGTGTCCGACTCGGAGGCCAGTGTCTCGTTGTCCACTGAGGGAGTGATGAGAGGTTCTGTGTCGGCAGTTAGTGCCTCTATGCTTCGGTCAGTAGTCTCATCTAGTGTTTCCTGAATGACGTCTGGCCTTGCGGCTGCTCTCTGCTTTTCTACGACTCCAACCATCGCATCACTGAGCAGTGTCACTATGTCTCCCTCCGTGTCCCCATCTGCTTCCCCGCAACCCTCTGAAAATAGATCTGTCACTCCAATCATGTGTTCCAGCTCCTTAACACTCACCACCCTCTCCCCTCCTCCCCCTGTCTCTCTCACTACCCCCACACTGAACCCACTCTGTCCCTCTGGGCCAGCACAGCACACTGCAGACCACTGCACCCCAGCCTCACACCCCTCATCCCCACCCTCCTCCACCCCGGGCCCCAGCCTGAGCCCCGTGGCTCCTGTCAGGACGTAGAGCTGGCCCCCTGTGGAGCCACAGTGGGGCAGGACGCTGCTCTGAATCAGCTCTGTGACCAGGGAGTCCCACTGGTGGAGGGGAGAGTCAGAGCGAGCTTGGGGTTTACCCCCCGCCACATCCCCTCGGAGCAGGGCTGGGGTCATCACCAGGGGGGGACTCTGGGACCCTTCGTCCTCTTCCTCCTTCTCTGTCTAGGAGATAGGTTTGGAATCATGAGTCGAAGTGCACATATTGAATCACTAATGCAATTAGTATTGACATCATGATAAATGTATGTTTGGCCTTTATTTGGGTAAAGCCTACTGTACATTATAAATACATTCAGTATCAATGCAGTTTGTAAATAGAGTAGGTAGAGGAGGACGTCTTTTACTCAGGAGTCATGGCAGAAATAATATACCATGCAGACCATTCTAGTCTTGTGAGTGTTAGGGAGCTTGTCCACTGACAGACATCTGAGTCAAATATCAAACTGTTGTTCACATTCATCTTTCTGTTAACTCTGACTTGTTGAAACAAGGCCAGGTTTGCATGGAACGTTGATTTCAACAGTAAATTAACTGCCTCTACAGGACAAGAGTTTCCTTTCACTTGAACAAGTTTCATATCGCAAAAACATTCTTGTACTACAGCTGGAGGAAAAGAGTGGTATACTGTTGGTTTGATCATGTCCGCTGTAACTTGTGATTGTGTTGAGAATGTACACTAAACTGTACAAGGTAGTGCTTACGCAGTCCATGCATGACAATGATTCCACTGTTTCTACATAATAGAAATGAAATAATCCTCCCTTACCCCCTCCTCCTTTCCTCCTCTCCCCCCCCATCCTTGACTGAGATGGAAGGCAGAGTAAACAGCTGCGTCACAGGTCGGGTGGTAGAGCGTGGCGAACGACTGTCCCCCTGACAGCCTGTGACAGAGGGGGGTCAGGAGAGCCCCCCCACCTCCGGAGAGGCCCAGAGGGGGGGTCTGTCTGTAGAAGCTCTGTCTGCAGAGGGAGAAGCCTGGGTCTGGTTCTGATAGTGCTGTGACTGGTAGAGACAGCTCCAGAGTCAGCCCCAGCAAGATCCAGCCTGCAGTACTGACACTGACACCAGCAGGACACCACCGCAGCAGCAGCATGTTGAGCTCAGCAAACCCAGACACTCACAGAGAGAGGCTGGTAAATAATCCAGAGGTTTCTGCTGTATCTACGCAGATGGGAGAAGGTAATGGCTGATAGCTAGGGTTGGCAGCCAGGGAATCTCTGGTATGTCGTTCTTCTATCGCTTTCTCAATCTCTCCCTTCTTTTTTCTCTTCCACCCAGTCAGCGTCTCCACCCATGTCTTTCTCCTTGGACTGTGCTGTCTGTATGTGTCTGGGCACAGTCTTGCTTACACTCTGCTTCTCCCTCCCTCACTGACAAGCTCACTCTTCCTCCCTCCCTCACACATTCACCCTCTAGCTACACCTCTACCTGGCTCTCCCTCCCTCCTTCCTCTTTCATAGCTCTTTTTGGTTACACCTTTACCTCTCATTATTGTTAGGTACACACACCAGACCCACACCCTGTAACCAGTTCCTATTACCTGTAAGTCTGCATTCCCAAACAATGTTTCCACAAGGTTTGGCTCAATGGTTAATTTTCTCTGTTAAAACACACACCTCTTAGAAAGTGCTGACTCCTCTATATATGTAGCCGAGTGCTTAAGTATGCACTATTAGGGTGCACAGTGAAACCGCAGCAGTATATCTTACAGCAGTGTCCTAGTGTTGAATATCACACAGTATATCTATCCACCACCAAGGTTCCAAGATATATCTTATTGACTGAATTACATTCTCTCTGCTTTAAAGCCACAATTCTTTTTGATTTTGTGTTTCAGCCGCCACTTGGTTTGGTAAAGCTGAGGGAAATGTCCCCACTCTCAAATTCATAGAGGGAGTCATCCAATCCGATCCATTGCAATCTCTGTGAGATGACAAGAGAGGAAAGATGAGAGCACAATAATGAAGCTCTTCACCTATGTGACCTCTGACATAGGGGGTCACAAACCAGGTTTGTCCTGCTACGTGTTATGACTGGAATCACATGGAGTCTTCAGTGCACCCTTGGGCCTGACAGTCAGAACTGTCTGGTAGGAGAATTGCTTTTATGGGATAGGCTACACATCAATGCACATCTGATGGAGATTAGGCTAATAGTTTGACATGTGTAATTTCCACCAGGAAAAATATTTAGCAGTGCATAATCAGTTTTCCAACAGTGTCACACTGTTCCTTATTATACTCACTGACAGTTATTGGTCTGTAGCAAAGACACTCATTATTCCCTCACTACATCCTTTGTCTGTAGCTTTGGGTAGTCTGGATGTGTTCCATACTGACAGCTGCATGGCTGCTGCGGTATGAGAGCTTTTGGGTGTGATGGTTTTGGGTTGGGCTTTATGCAGCGTTCATAAACAAGTGGGAAGGTAGTAATTACCAGTTGTCAAGTTGTAAATACCAGTTGGATGCATTCTCAACTTGTTGAGAAACACTGATTGGCTAATGGCCAACAATCTGTGTCAACCATAAACTAAAAGTACAGCTATAATGCTTGTAAACAAATAAGTGTTCAAAAAACGTATTAATAGATTTCTTTTTTATAAATAATGTTTTGTTACATTTAACTGCCGAAAATGCTGATATCGAGGTAATTTCCTTAGTTGGTGACTTCAGATGTCAGCATGTGGGAGAAGTCAGGGATGATAGTCGAGTTTCCCACTAGTTATTACGAGTTAAAGGGGCGTTCAAGTGGATTTTTACCAGTCGAAAGGTTAAATACCACCTTCCCACTTGGTTATGAATGCAGCATAAAAGGCTTTTGTCTCCAGGCACAGCCAACAGAAACAGTTGTTTTGAGTAAAGGCGCAGTACTGCATGTCTGTGCAGCACCTACTGTCCATAACATTGGGACATCATCAATGAAGTAACATACTGCCATAATATCCTGGACTCTTTTAATTTTCTACTGAGGAAGAATAACCCTTTAAATGAATGGTCAGGAATTGAAAATTAAGAGTTCAGGATATTATGGCAGTATGTTACTTCATTGATGATGTCCCAACGTTATGGACTTTCCTATAGCCTACTGTAGGCTTGCACCTAACCTGCCATATGAGGTGCATTTATACTGTAGAATCCCCCTCGTCTAGACCCTAACTCAATACCCTACGTGCCACATGTCTGTTCCCTCATCTGGGACCATTAGGCTTTCAACAACATCTGAAATGTTACCACTTGAATGCGATTTAATTTAGAAAAGTAATTGGTAGAAAACACAACATCTCCATTATCTCCAACAGAAACTTCCTCATTTGACAGTTTTGTATAAAAAGGTAGGTGCTGTAGCTGTCCATGCCTTCAATACAATTTCTTCCATGACTTGTATAACTGTAGAAGGCAGTAAAATTACAATAATGGAGTACATTAGTAACATTATTATGACAGGTCACATTGTTTTGAGAGATATTGTTGCAGTAACCTGAAGGTCCACTGGGGGGAGCTTGGCTAAGCATTTGACAGTGGGAGGGGTTGAATACACACACACACACACTCAAGCCGTGATCTTACACACTCTTTCAAACAATCCTTTACACACGAACACACACACACAGTTCACTCGTTGGGGATATCGATGACAAGGTCAGCCTCTTCTCCCTCCCCCCTGTCGTCGTCTCCTCTGTCTGAGTCTCCGTCGCTCTCTCCCTCCTCCTCCGCCGCGTCTCCACTCAGCATCTGCCTGGGAACCCAGTTGAACGAGGCGCTGGATGTGGGAGGGGCCGCCGGGCCTGCTGGATAGTTGGCTGCTAGAGGAGCCACCACCTAAGGGGAGGGAGGTGGAAGGAAGAGGGTAGATGGAATGGAGAAAGATAGAGAGGTAGATGACTTGGACTCCCAAATGGCACCCTATTCCCTTTATAGTGCACTACTTTTGACCAGGGCCCTCTGGGGTAGGAATAGGGTTCCATTTGGGATGTAGTTAAATCTACTGAGGAAGAATAACCCTTTGAATGAATGGTCAGGAATTGAAAATTAAGAGTTCAGGATATTACGGCAGTATGTTACTTCATTGATGATATCGCAACTTTATGGACTTTCCTATAGCCTACTGTAGGCCTGCACCTAACCTGCCATATGTGGTGCAGTTACAGTGCATTCGGAAAGTATTCAGACCCCTTGACTTTTTCCACTTTGTTACGTTACAGCCTTATTCTAAAATGGATTACATTATTCCCCCTCCCCCCACTCATCAATCTACACACAATACCCCATAATGACAAAGCAAAAACAGGTTTTTAGAATTTTTTGGCAAATGTATTAAAAATAAAAAACATAAATAATCACATTTACTTAAGTATTCAGACCCTTTACTCAGTACTTTGTTGAAGCACCTTTAGCAGCGATTACAGCCTCGAGTCTTCTTGGGTATGACGCTACAAGCTTGGCACACCTGTATTTGGGGAGTTTCTCCCATTCTTCTCTGCAGATCCTCTCAAGCTCTGTCAGGTTGGATGGGGAGTGTCACTGCACAGCTATTTTCAGGTCTCTCCAGAGATATTCGATTGGGTTCAAGTCAGGGCTCTGGCTGGGCCACTCAAGGACATTCAGAGACTTCTCCCGAAGCCACTCATGCGTTGTCTTGGCTGTGTGCTTGGAGTCGTTGTCCTGTTGGAAGGTGAACCTTCGCCCCAGTCTGGTCCTAAGAGCTCTGGAGCAGGTTTTCATCACGGATCTCTCTGTACTTTGCTCCATTCATCTTTCCCTTGATCCTGACTAGTCTACCAGTCCCTGCCGCTGAAAAACATGCCAACAGCATGATGCTGCCACCACCATGCTTCACCGTAGGGATGGTGCCAGGTTTCCTCCAGACGTGACGCTTGGCATTCAGGCCAAAGAGTTCAGTCTTGGTTTCATCAGACCAGAGAATCTTGTTTTTCATGGTCTGAGAGTCCTTTAGGTGCCTTTTGGCAAACTCCAAGCGGGCTGTCATGTGCCTTTTACTGAGGAGTGGCTTCCGTCTGGCCACTCTACCATAAAGGCCTGATTGGTGGAGTGCTGCAGAGAGGGGTGTCCTTCTGGAAGGTTCTCCCATCTCCACAGAGGAACTCTGGAGCTTTGTCAGAGTGACCATCGGGTTCTTGGTCACCTCCCTGACCAAGGTCCTTCTCCCCCGATTGCTCAGTTTGGCCGGGCGGCCAGCTCTAGGAAGGGTCTTGGTGGTTCCAAACTTCTTCCATTTAAGAATGATGGAGGCCACTGTGTTCTTGGGGACCTTCAATACAGCAGACATTTTTTGGTACCCTTCTCCAGATCTGTGCCTCGACACAATTCTGTCTCTGAGCTCTACGGACAATTCCTTCGACCACATGGCTATGTTTTTGCTCTGACATGCACTGTCAACTGTGGGACCTTATATACAGTTGAAGTCGGAAGTTTACATACACTTAGGTTGGAGTCATTAAAACTTGTTTTTCAACCACTACACAAATGTCTTGTTAACAAACTATAGTTTTGGCAAGTCGGTTAGGACATCTAAGTAATTTTTCCAACAATTGTTTACAGACAGATTATTTCACTTATAATTCACTGTATCACAATTCCAGTGGGTCAGAAGTTTACATACACTAAGTTGACTGTGCCTTTAAACTTGGAAAATTCCAGAAAATGATGTCATGGCTTTAGAAGCTTCTGATAGGCTAATTGACATAATTTGAGTCATTTGAAGGTGTACCTGTAGATGTATTTCAAGGCCTACCTTCAAACTCAGTGCCTCTTTGCTTGACATCATGGGAAAATCAAAAGAAATCAGCCAAGACCTCAGAATAAAATGTGTAGACCTCCACAAGTCTGGTTCATCCTTGGGAGCAATTTCCAAACGCCTGAAGGTACCACGTTCATCTGTACAAACAATAGTACGCAACTATAAACACCATGGGACCACGCAGCCTTCATACCGCTCAGGAAGGAGAAGCGTTCTGTCTCCTAGAGATTAATGTACTTTGGTGTGAAAAGTGAAAATCAATCCCAGAACAACAGCAAAGGACCTTGTGAAGATGCTGGAAGAAACAGGTACAAAAGTATCTATATCCACAGTAAAACGAGTCCTATATCGACATAACCTGAAAGGCCGCTTAGCAAAGAAGAAGCCACTGCTCCAAAACCGCCATAAAAAAGCCAGACTACGGTTTGCAACTGCACATGGGGGCAAAGATCGTACTTTTTTTTTTAGAAATGTCCTCTGATCTGATGAAACAAAAATATAACTGTTTGGCCATAATGACCATTGTTATGTTTGGAGGAAAAAGGGGGTCACTTGCAAGCCCAAGAACACCATCCCAACCCTGAAGCACGGGGGTGGCAGCATCATGCTGTGGGGGTGCTTTTCTGCAGGAGGGACTGGTGCACTTCACAAAATAGATGGCATCATGAGGAAGGAAAATTATGTGGATATATTGAAGCAACATTTCAAGACATCAGTCAGGAAGTTAAAGCTTGGTCGCAAATGGGTCTTCCAAATGGACAATAACCCCAAGCATACTTCCAAAGTTGGGGCAAAATGGCTTAAGGACAACAAAGTCAAGGTATTGGAGTGGCCATCACAAAGCCCTGACCTCAATCCTATAGAAAATGTGTGGGCAGAACTGAAAAAGTGTGTGCGAGCAAGGAGGCCTACAAACCTGACTCAGTTACACCAGCTCTGTCAGGAGGAATGGGCCAAAATTCACCCAAGTTATTGAAGCTTGTGGAAGGCTACCCGAAACATTTGACCCAAGTTAAACTATTTAAAGGCAATGCTACCAAATACTAATTGAGTGTATGTAAACTTCTGACCCACTGGGAATTTGATGAAAGAAAGAAAAGCTGAAATAAATCATTCTCTCTACTATTATTCTGACATTTCACACTTAAAATAATGTGGTGATCCTAACTGACCTAAGACAGGGAATTTTTACTAGGATTAAATGTCAGGAATTGTGAAAAACTGAGTTTAAATGTAGTTGGCTAAGGTGTATGTAAACGTCCGACTTCAACTGTAGACAGGTGTGTGCCTTTCCAAATAATGTCCAATCAATTGAATTTACCACAGGTGAACTCCAATCAAGTTGTAGAAACATCTCAAGGATGATCAACAGAAACAGGATGCACCTGAGCTTAATTTCAAGTCTCATAGCAAAGGGTGTGAATACTTTGTCATTACGGGGTATTGTGTGTAAATTGATGAGGGGAAAATATATATTTTATCCATTTTAGAATAAGGCTGTAACGTAACAAAATATGGAAAAAGTGAAGGGGTCTGAATACTTTCCAAATGCACTGTATACTGTAGAATCCTCCTCATCTAGACCCTAACTCAATACACTACGTGCCACATGTCTGTTCCCTCATCTGTGACCTCCTCCTCCTCCTCCCCTCTCACCTTCCCCGATGTCTCTTTCTTGTGTTTGGGCGCTTTTGTCTTTCTCTCTTTCTTCATTCTCTCAGTTGGTGGAGCCAAATACTCTGGTGGGAAGGGCAACTGCCCGCCACACACACACACAGGCCCCATGTGTCAATTTAACACACACACACAAACATAAACGCACATACGAACAGAAAACAAGCGTACACAACCACACCGTGACAATTTACAAAACACAAACACACACACACAGTGTGTACAAATACAGCCGAGAAAATTAAAACATGATAGACAGCAAAAGATAACAAAAGGAAAACATATAATAAAACAATATTAATAATGCCCCAAATCAAAACAGTGATTATCTTCGGTAATGAGAAAACAATAATGGCAACAATCAATGATGTTATAGTTATTGATTGTATAGATTCAGTGAGGTGATGGTGATCATAACTCACTGTGTTGAGGTAGGGGGTACTGCCAGATGACTGGAGAGGGTTCACTCCAGAACGAGAGAGGAGAGAGAGATGGGAAGATGAGGGCAAAGGAATGCCTACACCAGGGCTACTCCTTCTCCTGAGAGTTCAAAAGAGAGACAGTTGAATAAATAGTGAGACAGTGAGAGAGAATGGCAAAGATGGAGAGAATGTGCAGTAATAGAAAGAGTGCAATTTGAAATATTGCTGGCATGCTGCATACTCACTTCTTTCCTCCGTCTCTCTCCCTCTCCCTGGGGCCCTCTCCTTCACTGTTCTCAGAAGAGGCTGTGGCATCAGAATCTGAAACACAAAATGACAATCAGACACTGTACATCAGCATACTAACATGATCCATACTGAACATACTCCACAGCAAGGCAGGTAACTGCATGATTATTATTGGGTGAGCTATGGATAAGAGAACAGATATTGTGGAGAATGAAACGTTGAGACTTGGTGCTTTAAACCTACCTGAGGAGTCCTCGTCCACCCGCTCATATTGTAACAGTCGGTCCAAAAGAAAACTGCAAGAGAAGAGAATAGAAGCCAAGGAATGACCCGTTTTAACTTTGAACATGCTTGTAGTATGTGTACACATTCAACAGGGGTGTATTTATTAGTAGCACATGGTAGTAAAAGGTTATGCACTGTGCAAAAGGTTTTGCTACAGTGTGCCACAAATAAATACACCCCAGCTGTCCAAACTAAACAAACGTTGTAGATTCACCCACCCACCTTTTATCTCTGGACACTTTGAGCAGCTTCCTCTGGGATCTTCTGAGCTCTTCCTGAAAACATTCCTGCTCCTAAACGGAGACAAGTAGCGAAATACAACAGTTCAACTCTGTAAATTACAGTTCATTGGCTAATAGGTGTTATAATAATAAAACCACGTCTTTGACAATGGGATGAAAAATTAAGACTCACATAAACCAGGAATTTTAATTTGCGTTTGAGATTTTTGTATTTCTGCTTGTAGTCCACCTCCATATCGGCTTGACCGTTCATTTCTGACGCTGTTGAACCATCAGTCTACCTGCTATACAGGTAGGATAATTGTTAGTGTCGTGGTTATGTAAGCTGTAGCTAACTAGGTCAAAATAATTTAGTATTTATAGACCATTCACATCAAACCAGCTTGTTGGCTAGCTCACTGCTAGTCTTTCCAGTGCATTATCGTTGTTCTTTTAAGCATTTAGCTGGAAGCAGAAGACTCGCAATGAAAAACGCTTGAAAGTAGGATAATAAGGAGACGAAACCATGTAATTATAAACTTAAATAGCTGGAATTAATATTTTAAAATGCTTCATACCTCTCCTTTGAATGAATCTGTCCGACGTGCTCTTTGTTTACTTCTGGTCTCCTTCTTCTGTAGGATTTAGTTGGCAGTTCGCGTATACCGCCACCTACTGTACTGGTGTGTGAGGCCATTCACGGCTCACCTACATTACATTCTTGAGTTTACTTCCGTTTTGTGTGTGTGTGTGTGTGTGTGTGTGTGTGTGTGTATATATATATATATATATATATATATATATATATATATATATATATAGTACCAGTCAAAAGTTTGGACACACCTACTCATTCAAGGGTTTTTCTTTATTTTTACTATTTTCTACATTTTATATTTTATATTCTAAGTAGCCACCCTTTGCTTTGATGACAGCTTTGCACACTCTTGTCATTCTCTCAACCAGCTTCACCTGGAATGCATTTCCAACAGTCTTGAAGGAGTTCCCACATATGCTGAGCACTTGTTGGCTACTATTCCTTCACTCTGCGGTCCAACTCATCCCAAACCATCTCAATTGGGTTGAGGTCGGGGGATTGTGGAGGCCAGGTCATCTGATGCAGCACTCCATAACTCTCATTCTTGGTCAAATAGCCCTTACACAGCCTGGAGGTGTGTTGGGTCATTGTCCTGTTGACAAACAAATGATAGTCCCACTAAGCGCAAACCAGATGGGATGGTGTATCGCTGCAGAATGCTGTGGTAGCCATGCTGGTTAAGTGTGCCTTGAATTCTAAATAAATCACAGACAGTGTCACCAGAAAAGCACCCCCACACCATCACACCTCCTCCTCCATGCTTCACGGTGGGAACTACACATGAGAAGATCATCCGTTCACCTACTCTGTGTCTCACAAAGACATGGCCGTTGGAACCAAAAATCTCAAATTTGGACTCATCAGACCAAAGGACAGATTTCCACCGGTCTAATGTCCATTGCTCATGTTTCTTGGCCCAAGCAAGTCTCTTCTTATTATTGGTGTCCTTTAGTAGTGGTTTCTTTGCAGCAATTCGACCATGAAGGCCTGATTCACACAGTCTCCTCTGAACAGTTGATGTTAAGGCTGGTAAATCTAATGAATTTATCATCTGCAGCAGAGGTAACTCTGGGTCTTCCTTTCCGGTGCATACACCGCCACCTACAGTACTGGAGTGTGAGTCCGGTAACGACCTCCCTATTCATCTATTTGGCTTTTCCACCCTTGTATTTTCCGCCTACTGGAGTGTGAATTCATTACACTTTGTGACACAAAAGGGAAGAAAAATTACCCTACCAACTAACACTACAGTTTGTACCCATTAAAACCTCACCACTAGTTGGGTGTCCTTTTCAAGCTCCGGAAGTTACATTTAGAACAGTGGGCGGGGCCAGACATAGAGCCAGAATGAAATAAAATAATCTAACCCCTGCAGTGGTCACATAAATCAAATACATACACGAGGGATCTAGGCTATTTTATGGAGAGTGAGACCTATTCATACCCATGAAAAATAGGCTATATCAACTAATGATAATGGACCAAACAAGATGACCTTGAATATAGAAATATATGGGATACAAAAGCAGCCACATTTCCTATAGAAAATTGTTCTGTTGCATATTAAAACAAGTGAATCATGTTCAGTGTGTGCAGCTCTGCATGTGAGTAATATTCATAATAATGCATTGTGCTAGTGTTCTGTATTCTGTCCACCCACAGTACTGGAGTAGACTACAGTAGTGTGGTTTATGACGCTGATTGTGCAGCTTGCTCACTTCAGCAGAGCACACAGCAGTCACATCATCAGGACCCAGGACAATGAATTATAGATGAGGAAACTTCGCAGAGATGAGTAATGCTACCTCTGCACACACACAGCCAACCAGCCAGGCTATGTGTGTATGCGTGCATGTGTATTAGAAGGGGAGAGAGCTAGAGGGAGAGAGGGAGGCAAGGAGAAAGAGTGTGTGTGCATGTCTGTGTGTGTGTGCGTGTGTGTGTCAGTGTGTGTGTTTGTCTCTGAGGGGGAGAATATTGCGAGAGAAAATGCTGACTGCTTGCTTTTATACCAGTGCTCCCCACTCTGTTTTCTTTTATGTCAGGAAGAGAAGGAAGAACAGATGGAAACAAACCTCAGTTTGCCCTACATCTACCAATATGTATGTTCAGTTTTAACACCAACATTTTATTGTTTACAGTTGTCATACTGCCCTCTCCAGACACCCTAGATAGGGTAGTACTAAACCAACATAAATACACAGCCTCTCTCTCCTATCCCTTCCAGGCAAACCACTCCCTATGAAAAACGATATCCCCCCTACCTCCCCGACCCACTGCCTGATTCTATCCCCTGACCGATTCCCTCTTTTGTTTCCAGAATGACAACGGCAGACAGAAATAGAATCTTCTCCACTGTGCAATGCCATAAATCGCTGCTGCCTGCCTGCCCATCCTGGCCAGCAGCTGTGGCTCCCCCCCTCGCTCCCTGCCCCCCCCCCCCCCCCTCTCTGTTTCTCCTCAGTGTAAATGGACCCTCGTCTTCAGCCAAGCTGCGCGTGGAGAGAGAGGGAGAAGGCTACTGTAGGATGGTGTTTGATGGTGACCCTTGTCTGTCTGTCAGTTTAATTGTTTCTAGATAAATCTCCTTCTGACTGGTTGGATGTATGACACTCATTCTCTCTTCATGCTAATTGTTTTGATGACCTCAGAGAGGGTATCTCTTCTTATTGGTTTCTCTCTCTATGTCTGCTCTCTGTCTAACTGTCTCTCTCTCTGTGTCTCTCTCTGTCTATCTGTATCTCTCTCTGTGTCTCTCTCTGTCTATCTGTCTCTTTCTGTGTGTCTCTCTGTCTATCTGTCTCTCTCTGTCTATCTCTCTTTCTCTCTCTCTGATTTATCATTTTCTCTTTCCATGTCCTTCCATTCTCTGTCACTGTCCCTCCCTCTTTCCTCTTTACTGCCTCCCTCTCTTTTATTACACCTCTGTCGTTCCCTATTTTCATTCCCAAGAGTCCCTTGTTTTCTTTCCCGTCTCGTTAGGAGAAATTGGAATGTACAAAAATCACATAAAAGACACCAACAACAACTGCAATAAAAGCCTTCTCCCTGACCATAAGGTAAGCTGCAAAGTTGATCATTTTACCCTTGGGTTTATGTCTAAAGGGAAGTCAGGCGATAGAAAGTTTAATTCATTATGAAAGAGATTAGGTTTGGAAAAATGCTCTCCCATAAAATCCAATGCACTATATCAATGGGACAGTTTTGTAGTTAATTTTCAATGGCACAACAATATCATGTTCAATAAATAAATGACTTCTAACCTCATAGGAAAAACTATTATCTAAATACATGCATGCTGAACTTACTCTTTAGTTAAATAACTTAAGTCACTATTCTGTCACTATTTGACAATAACTTCTGTCACTATTTGACAATAACTTCTGTCACTATTTGACAATAACTTCTGTCACTATTTGACAATAACTTTTGTCACTATTTGACAATAACTTCTGTCACTATTTGACAATAACTTCTGTCACTATTTGACAATAACTTCTGTCACTATTTGACAATAACTTCTGTCACTATTTGACAATAACTTCTGTCACTATTTGACATTGTTTCTCTGTGTTTTTCCTCTTCCCTTTCTTTTCCCATTCTCTCCTCTCCCCTCATGTTTATCTGTGTGTGTGTTACAGGAGAAGCTGATCCAGGCTATTAAAAGAATAAAGCATGAGGTAGACGAGTGCTGGGAGGCAGAGAGAGAGACGTACATATGGTCTATTGGTGTAGAGGTACAGTACTGGCTGCCAATGCATTACTTACCACAGTCATTAACTTTTCATGGTTCATTTATTTTATTATTTTATTAAATCCTGAATAAGATAATCTGTGAATGTATTAGTGTGTCAGTAATATTACAAGCAATTTGCCTGATACTGGTTGGAAATGTTATCTAACAACGTTAGGATAAATAATTTGTAGTATTTACATATTTAGCATTAAAATGAACATACTGTAATTGTTGCGTGTTGGCTAAAGCTGAAAAATCTCTCTCCCAACCAGGCTAGCATCCTTCTACTACCCACTATATATTAACAAAATAGTAAAGTCTGTCCCTCTGTCTATCTCTCAGAGATGTTTTGATAATCTGGAACGGGAGGTCCGAGCTGAGTTCCAGAACCTCCATCGCTTCCTGGACGAAGAGGAGACCCTGGACATGGAGCGACTGAAGAAGGAGAAAGAGAAGAGGGTGAAGCTGCTTAGGGAGAGAGAGAGGAAGATCGCCATGCAGGGAAGAGATCTAGAGAGAGGCATTGCCACGCTAAACAACAAACTGGCCGAGGAGGATAGTCCCAAACTGCTCAAAGTGAGTGAGTTAGGGTGTGCAGGCTATTGTTCTATTCAATTTGCCTGAAATCAAATAAAGAATTTGACTAATCAATGTGATTTTTTAAATGTAATGGAAGCTTCTAAATTGCTTTCAACACCTCATGAGTATTCACATTGCATAGTGGTGGGAGCAATATAGCGGTGGCAGCCTATCAGGACGATTGGGGGCGTGGCCTATTGGGGCGTGGCTTTCTGTATGTTATTTTTGGCCACCCGTGAGAGTGAATGTCATTCCAGGTAATGTGTTGTGTTTTTTTAATGATTATATGTTCACTGCCAGCATTGATTCTTAAATGATATCTGCTTAAGAAGTGTGATACTAAAGTGCCTGGAAAGGCTACCATTGATGAGTTGGTTACCATTTGGTTACAATATTGTAACCAGTTAATGTGAAAATCTTATGTAAAGAAAGTGTTTGGAGTCATTATTTCATGTTATGGAACCAACTTAATATCTTGATTAACAGGACATATATTTAATTAGCTTATAACCCAATTGAAGAAATTTGGATAGGTAATTCCAGAGTGAAAAATCTACTTGGTACAACATAAAAAAATGGGTTGTAATGTATATACACTGAGTGTACAAAACTTTTGTCCTCAAAAGCGTTCCACAGGGATGCTGGCCTATGTTGACTCCAATGTTTCCCACAGTTGTCAAGTTGTGTGGATGTCCTTTGGGTGGTGGACCATTCTTGATACACACAGGAAACTGTTGAGCGTGAAAAACCCAGCAGCATCTATGTCATGGAAAGAGCAGATGTTCTTCATGTTTTGTATACTCAGTGTATATTAGTTTGCATTTATGTTATTTATTAGGTTTAACCAAAGGTTTAATCCCACAGCACCCCCCCTCGCACCCCCTCCTCGCTCCCCCCCCCCCCCCCCCCCCCCCCAAAAAAAAAGCCTTTCATGAACTAATACTCGCTTGACTTTTTTCCCCCTTACTAGCTCTGACTATGCTGATAGCTACTTTATTGAGGAAAAATGTAGTTACTATGATTGTGATATATAGTTGTCCCACCTAGCTATTTTTAGATGAATGCACTAACTAGAAGTCACTCTGGATAACAGCGTCTGCTAAATTACTAAAATGGTAATGTAAATGTAGTGCAGGGATGGAACTAAAGCCTGCACACTGCAGTAGTGCTCCATGAGGAGAGTTGGCAACCGTCAATAATCATAAAATGAAACCAACTGTCATAACTGTTTATGACATCTCTTATGTCATTATTACGACACCGTCATTCAGGTCTTATGACGAAAGGTTGGAGAGCAAAGTGTTACAGAGAATGTGATAAATGGCAGGAGGGAGGGAGTGAATTGCGGAGGGTCAGGGGAATGAGAAGCTTGGAGTACCTCCACAGAATCTACTGGATGCTGCTATCAGCCTCCACAACAGCTAGCCTACGCCAGCACATTGATGTCAAAGCTGCAGTCCTCAAGGACCACCGCGTCAGCTTATTGCCTTCTCTTCTGGCACTAATTTGATCAATCAAAGTAATTGATTGGCTAAATAGTCTACTTGCCTGCTTTCGTTGGTCTAAATCAATTTCTCATTAAAAGGTTGGCGGACAAAAAGCACCACAGTGCAGTCCTGGAGTACTAGCTGAGGTTTGGCACCAAACAATGACTGAGAGAGAATATCAACTGCATATTGAGTTCATTTGGGCACAATTCTGGTTTGTTTTCTGATGGAAAACAAATGTAATATGTATTTTTATTGGGCAACTTTATCAGTTGAACAAAATGTGTGCTATGTTGCTTTGAGTGATTTAAGTCTTTCACTACTGTAATGACCACTCCTTTTTTCTCTCTGAAGGAGATTCAAGACCTCTTGAAAAGGCAAGTGATTATATTTAATTATTTAACTGATTATGTCTCCATCTATTTCTCGTATCACAAATCACTCCCTTCTCCTGATCGGCCATAATCTCTCATATTGCATTTTTGGCATCCCATTCTCTCTCTCTCTCTCTCCTCTCGTTGGTATCCCCCCTTTCTTCTCTCCACTCGCTCTATCCTCTCGTTCTCTCTTTGGCATCTTTCTTCACTCTCTCTACCCTCTCTCTCTTTCTCACTCATTTCCCAATCCTTTCCTTTCACAAAAACATAATCCTGTCCTTCTTTTCAATCACTTTCTCATCCATCTTTGCACTCCTCCTCCCCTGCACCTCTCCCTCTCTCATCCCCCTCTCCCTGCAGGTCCCAGGTGGCTTTCATTCCTCCTCCACAGGTGGATGTGGAGGTGCGATCAGCACACTTTGTGGGGCCCATCCAGTACAGGATATGGAAACACATGAAGAGCTGCCTCTATCCAAGTAATGCACATCGTATCTTTCTGTGACATTAGTATTGTTATAGAATTGTTATAGTATTGTTATACTATTGTTATACAATGAGTATAATGCTGAATTAAAGAGATTAAGTCTTCTAGTGACATAGTAATAATGTACCGGTATATCTGGGTTTTTTCATTCCTAGGGATGTACTTACATATATACCATTAGACCATTCTAGATTACAACAATACAACTCACCTGAGCCCCCCCCCCCCCCCCCAGACATCACTGAAGTGACCTTTGACCCAGAGACAGCCCACCCCCTCCTCACCCTCTCCCCCAGCTGCACCTCTGTGTGGTTCGAGGAGGACAAAGTTATCCCCAAGGCCTCGGAGGAGGAGCAGCCACCCAACCCCCGCCGCTTCCACTACTACTACAGTGTAATGGGCCGAGAAGGCTTCATCACCGGACGCCATTACTGGGAGGTGGAGGTGGGCCGCAAGACAGCATGGCGGGTGGGTGTGGCCAGGGAGGATGTCCACAGGGGGGAGATGGACTCCAGCGGGACCAGCAGCGGTCTCTGGACCCTGTCCCTGAAGGGAGGGGCCATCTTGGCCTGTACAGACCCCAAACCCACCAAGGTCCCAGTGTCCATCAGGCCCGTCCGGATCGGAGTGTTCTTAGACTGTGAGAAGGAGGAAGTAGCGTTCTATAACGCTGTTACCATGACGCCGCTGTACACATTCTCCATGGAAACAGTGTTCGTTCCGCTGATCCCCTTCTATAACCCTTGTGACGCGGACGATGGGAGGAACCTTGGTCCCCTGAACCTCTTTAGCCCCTCTATATGAGAGTTCGGAAAACCAAGGAGAACCAAGGTTCGACTGGAGTATATTCTGTTTGGGGATGTGGTGGAAGGATAGATAGCATTTGGAAATGGTTTTTATACAGTGTATGTTTCCTGTATAATTTCATAGCTGGCCTGGAAGCATGATGTAAATTGTATCAGTTAAAAAATCCAATGAGTTTATGATACGCATTTACATTTACTAGTGGAGGCTGGTGGGTGGAGCTATAGGAGGATGGGCTCATTGTAATGGCTGGAATGGAATTATGGAATTGAGTGAAACGTGGTTTCCATATGTTTGATGTGTTTGATACCGTTCCATTCATTCCATTCCACCCATTACAATGAGCCCGTCCTCCTATAGCTCCTCCCACTAGCCTCCACTGACATTTACCTACCCAGTTCTACGTATGTTATAGCACTATCAGTTCATGTTTATGCCATTGTGTTCAGTTGTTTGCGTTGTGGTTTGAATATTGACATTTTATTGGCATTAAATACACAAATAAATAGGTTAACAAATTAATTAACACAAAACCTTGGTCTGTGCTTATAACACCAGAATGTGATATTTTTGTCATATTGTCAGATAATAGGTCATGAATGTAGAAAAACAAGACTAAGGTATCTAAAACAAGATACCCTGGGGCTTCAGGACTTAACAGCAGGTGTTAACTGCACAATGATGTCACCTTTGGCCCATCTATAAATACTGTGGTCATGCGTCCACAACTGTGACACTTTGTCTATGTTGTAAATGTCACCCTATTCCCTATATAGTGCACTACTTCTGACCAGGGCCCATGGGCCCTAGTAAAAAATAGTGCACTATGTAGGGAATAAGGTGCCATTTGGGATGCAGACATTGTGGCATGGGTATGGGAGCAATGTAGGGGAGTATAGAGGGGTGGGAGGAGGGGGGAGGAGGACACAAAGGGTGACACAGGAGAGTGTGACACTGTGGGAAGAACAACTAAATATGAGTGACATTGAGTGAAATGACTGTCGTGAGGTTGCATGAAAACACCGTCACATTTACAGAGACCAAGCCTTCCTCAGTGAGCGCGGCCATTAGTATGATTTCTTACACTATGCACGGTGTGACAGATAGACAGCTAGGAGAAAAGTGCTCCACGAAATGAGATCGTAAAATCAAAGGGTAGGTAGGCCATGTTATAGCCTATCTACCCTATTAACATTATGACAAATTCAAAGCTTTGGAAAAGGACAGAATCAATGAAAAGGACACAATTTTTTTCTCATAATCTTTCGTTTATTCTTCATATGTTTTTTTAGACATGAAAAAAAGAAAATAACACCTTTCCTTTACAAAACGCCTGTGTGTCGTGTTGTGCAAAAAGGGTGTGGGGAGATCAACAGACTGTAGAACGCTACACACGCCATCACAGCAGAAGAAGTAAACAGACAGAATCAGAATCAGGGCAGAGAGAGATCGCTCACATAGTGCAAGGAACGCCAATGAGAACTGTAGTGAATTTGGGGGGTCTGTCCCAGCCAGGGGGGGAATTGAACCCACAACCTTCTGGTCCCAAGACCCAGACACTAACCAACCAGCCCAAATAGAGTTAACTCAGTAGGAGTTGCTGGTAATGTGGTTACCAAGGGCAGGTTTGTTACATTACCCCCTCTTTTGGGAAGCGCTATAATACAGTAGTGGTATAAAACATTTCAAATTCATCCACATGCACATCTCAGTTCCACATCAGGAGGGCTAGATCTCAAATACTGTTTGAGGCTTTGGCATCCATTTTGAATTCAACCTGGTGTTTACATACAAACAGTGCCACTGAATTCCCAAGATGTACAGCAGTTACTGTCTCACCAAGTTACACAATACACTTCAATATGATGTTATTCATCTCATGCTAATGCACATTCAAATAAACCCTGACAACCAAATACCAAGCAACTAGGTAGTTTATCACTCTTCCAATCATGACTGAGTGTCGAAGTGCTTTACATTTATCACCTCCTGTCCTGACTACAATATTCTGTATCTCCTGACTGTGTTATGTCTCTATATACAGTATAGTAGACCTATAGGGTAGTCAGGTCTGCATATAGTACTTTCCCGCTTTTTAGTCTGTGACCACCCTACATCATATAAACCAAACGGTGCCTCTTGGAGTGTATTTATAGAATATAGGCTGACTAGCCATTGAATATTTGATTTCATATTTTAGGCACTAAAACAAAGATGAGAGTCATCCCGTGTAGAGCACCTCAGAGCTGCAGGCTGTGTGATGTTAACCACATACTGAGTCTGGACTAACGCAGATAGTTTGTTTTCTAAACAAATGTTAATTGACATACAGCTGAAATAGTTGTTTTATTTTTATTGCACACACATAGGCTAGACACTTATACCTAGACACAATACAAAATGATGTGTCACACGCACGCACGCATGCATGCACACAACACACGCACGCACAACACACACACACACACACACACACAGGTACGATCACAAACGCACGCACAACACACACACACACACACAGGTACGATCACAAACGCACGCACACACACACACACACAGACACAGGTACGATCACAAACGCACGCGCACACACACACACACACACACACACACACACACACACACACACAAATGCCATGATGAAGATAACACTATGACTGATCAATCCTCTGTCCACACACACAGATGGCTTGTATAAAACAAAACTAATATGAATATCATGTGGACATGCTGCAATAAACATCTTTATCTTTAAAGTGACATAGATCATACTTTTTTATATATATATATATAAGTTATGTAAGGGTGTTATACTGTGAGTGTTATCATCATAGGGTTGAAATAGTAATAATAAAAGTGAATCCAATCAAAATATTCTAGAGATCTATTCGAAGATCTGTGATGTGGAAGAATATGCAGTTATTCAGTTGTGGTTACCATTTTCAGTTGATCAAGTTAGGATTTGATAAGTTAGTGAAGATTAGTTTGTATGTATACAGTATATTCAATAATCAGCATGTAGGCTTTGCACAGGTGAGACATTAGATTAGCTTTTTTATATAATCAAGTATAATACAACAACCATTCTATACACTGAACACATTCAACCTTTGAGAGGAGACTTTTTAAACCTTACACATGCAATATTTACAATGCTGAACCTCGTCAGCAGGGCCATTAGGGAGTGTGTGTGTGTGTGTGTGTGTGCAGAAACAGATAAACACTGCTTTTAGTATTGCCTAAATGGGTGTTACGGCTCCACACAACAGAGCTTGATTAGCATTGAGATCGAGATTGAGATTGAGAGTGGAGCCAAATTTCTCCAGTTGTAGAATTTTACATAATCCTTGACCTTTTATCACTAAAATGCCTACATCACTTACATCAGTTGAATGACAATATAGCAAAGCATTTAGGCACCTCGAACACTAAAGTATTCATACTTCATCATGATTCATATACTGTATTTATCATATTAACATATATATCTCTTATCATATGGCTTTTAACTTTCATTTTATTCTCATATTAATTTTAGCATTAAAAAAACGTCTTCGAATTCTGGAAGCGTTTAGAAAGAGAAAGGCCATCGTTTGAAGTTGAAGATGGATCTACTTACTATGTGTTCCATCAACTGATTGATTTGTTGGTTCACTTAACACTTTGTGCTTCTCTTAAAGATCCTAAATGCTTTTAGATTTAGTCCACTGAACTCAATGTACCCTTCATGGTGTCTGTCACGATGGTCAGTTAAAACACTGAGGTAGAGATATGTCTTTTGTCAAGCAAAATGTATCTGCACACCTCCTCTTGTACCACATAGCGGCTACAGGAGTTTTAACCCCCATCAAAGTCTTATTGCACTGTAAATCTAGGCTAGATCAACATAGCTTCAAGCAACTAAAGACAGATGGCATCATGGCACAGTCCTGGAGATGGTGGTACAGTAAGTTAATAGTTAGTGAAGTTCTCGCAGGACCTTTTAGGGCAGTCAGAGAGACAAATGGCAAAAGGGTAGGCTATTAGAACACATCAACCTACCCATGCCTTGCCTTGACATCATATCCAGTACTGTGGATGGATGCTAGTGGGTTAACCCTATTTGTGAATATTTAGGCTGGAGCAAATAACCATAACTACATGTATACTGTACTATGAGATCACTATACTATGCATCAGAGCCATGGAGCACATCTACAGTTGGCTCAAGGCCTCCAGTATGTAGCTCATAGATGACTGTAATGCATTTAGATGTGTGTAGGCAAGGAACAGTCTGACATGGATTTGTTCTATTATCTCAGGGAAGACTATACTTTCATACTGTACTTTTATAAATCATCATGGGATATAACGGCTGACCCATAATCTATAAATGAGAAGTAAAGTGGTAGGACCAACAGTAAAACTACATCTATCGGCCAGATGAAACCATGCTATAATACTTCACTACCTCCTGCAAGCAAGGGAGGAAGGAAAAGAGGGAGTAAAGAAGGAAGGAAGGAAGGAAGGAAGGAAGGAAGGAAGGAAGGAAGGAAGGAAGGAAGGAAGGAAGGAAGGAAGGACAGAACGAAGAACATAGAGAAGGGAGGATTAATTTTTTAAATGTTAGGACTAAGCCAATGACATCACTCACCAGACGCCTCCACCTCTCCCTCTCCCACTCTCATAGTTGTAGTCAGCACAATAACAATCAGCACTACATTTCCCAAGATTCACTGGGGCTTCCTTAAAGTGCTGAGGTGTGTCCTTGGGGTCTTCAGGTGCTGGGGTGAGGTCAAAACAAGCTCTTTCTGTTGGATTAAACTGATTCTAGAGATCCACTGGGACAGTCAGTCAGAGTTGGCCAACACCTTATAACCAATACAGTCTCTCATGCAGTTGGGAGCGCAATCACAGGAGACATCCATTTTAAACAAAAGTTAGATTTAGTTTAACAGAAGGTATCGATGTTAGAGTTCAGCATTCAGGTGTTAGTGTTGCTGGGATAATGCCATGCTCCTTTGTATCCGGATGTTTCATCATTCAAGCACTCTAGATGTTTCTATAGGAGGGCAGAGGATCAGCAGGAAAATGTCCAGATTCCCAGATTCTCAGATTCCCAGGTTTCAGGAAAACTACTAGAGAATGTCACAAGGAGATTGAAGGAATCCAGTCCAGTTTGATAGAAAGGTGATTTAAATTCATCCAGTTTGATGAGAACATTATGTCATAGTCACATTTATAAGTCCTTGGGGGGGTTAAATCATGTAATTGGTTTCATCATATGAGATAAAAAATGGCCGTAGGAAATTTACAAGCTGTTCGTGCTTTTGTTTTGGTCTGTTTTTCCACATGCTGAGATTAGAGCAGGCATCATCAAAGGTTTTATCAGTCCACAAATGGAGTAGATGGTCATAGATGTAGTTGAACTAGATTGGGTCATGTTCACTTGCCATTCTGTTGTTCGTATATCTATGTAAAAGGGTGTGGAACCATTCTGCACACCTCTGAACATAAAAAATATCTAAAGTAGCTAGGTTTAACATTTTACTTGTAAACTCTGCAACTGATTTTGTTGGCAGACTGGCAGTCATGCTCTAGTTTACACACTACAAAAGAGTATGCAGCATAGAAAGTTAAAAAATAAACAACAACAACTAAAACGTCTGACAAAACGGAACTCGTTTGCTTATATTATATCTTGTGAATAGTATCTGTGAATTGAAAAAAGTATCTCAACGATAACGTTAGTGTTAGTTACAGGTGAGTTAGCTATCATAACAACCTACAGCATGTTTGAGCATTAGAAGTGTTAAATCTAAGTCCCAGCCTCGACAGTAGCAGTAATATCTTCCTTATTTGGTAAGGGGGTGTTCGATTGTCTGTCTACAGTGGTGGAGGAGGATAGAATAATGGATCTGTGGGGTTTCCCTTGGAGGGGTGCAGGGGCTGTTCTCAGGTTGCGGTGGTGGCGGTGTTGTCCTCAGCTGGGGCGTCAGTTTTGGCCTCAAGGGATGGACTACATGGGGCGGTCACCTCCACCTCAGGGGTTTTAGGAGGGGTTGCCTTGGCGACAGGACTTTCGATCAGACCCACTGGGGCCGGAGCAGTGTCAGGTTTGGATTCAGGTATTGGTGGTTCGGGTGTGCCATTGGTGGTTGGAGCAGGTTCAGGGCTCAGCATTGAGGTTGGGGTCGGAGTCTGGATTGATGTCACAGGCTTGGGGGATTCCGGGGTTGGTGTCACAGGCTTGGGGGATTCCGGGGTTGGTGTTAGCATCTTGGGGGGTTCGGGAGTTGGTGTCACAGGCTTGGGGGATTCTGGGGTTGGTGTCACCGGCTTGGGGGGTTCGGGGGCTGGTGTCACCAGCTTGGGGGGTTCGGGGGTTGATGGCTGGGGTGTAGTTGGTTTGGAGACAGGGGTCAGGGGTGGGGTTGGCTTAGGGGACACCGGGCTTGGAGACACAGCAATAGGTGTTTTGGCTGGTTCAGGTGTTTTCAATTCAGATGTTTTCGGTTCAGGAGTTTTCAAATCAGGAGTTTTCAATTCAGGAGTTTTCAATTCAGGAGTTTTAAATTCAGGAGTTTTGGCTGGTTCAGGTGTTTTGGCAATGGGGCTTGGAGCCTGCTTGGAGACCGGGCTTGGGATTGGGCTGAGTTTGGTCTCAACGGGTTTGGTTATGGTCAACTTTGGTTCAGGAGCTGGTTCAGAGATTTTCTTGATCTCGGGAACCGGGCTCGGTTTGGTAACCAGGGGTGGGCTTGGCTTGGTTTCTGGGACGAAGGCAACACTCTCAGCCTCAGCCTCTGATTCTGGAATCTGGTCGGGGACATCAGTGTCAGTGTCCAATGGGAGGCCAGTGGTGTTAAACTCCACCCCTGAGTCGCTGGTCTCCAGGTTACCACCTGCCACCTCCTTGGACGACACTTCCAGACCCTGCGGTCAACACACAGAGGTCAGAGTGGAGAGGTCAGGGTGAAGACAGGAGAGTAGATTTTAACAGCTATTTAGACAAAATTCCCCTTCCGTTATTCTCATTAATTCCCTCAAGTCTACAGAAATAACCACTGTGTCACTAATACTTACTTTAATGTCCACCTCAGTGCTCTGAGACTTCTCTGTGATGTCGATGGACTGGGCTATTGACTCCTCAAACTGAGTAATGTTCTTCACCACCTGGAAACCACACATACATGTTATGTCGAGTGCTGAGCATTATATAGGGAACAGGGTGTCATTTGAGACATCACCAGTGTCTCTGTCTCTGTCTCTGTGGTACCTGTCTGAAGGCATCTCCCTCGTCCTCCTTGCCTGCGTTCTGGGCAATCTTCTCGATTGCTCGGGCCTTGGCAGCCCTCTTCCTCTGCTTGACCAGGCAGGACAGCAGACACACCAACAGCAGGAAGACCAGGAAGCCCACCAGTGCTATGATCGCCACGTAGAGGGACGGCAGCTTGTAGGCTGGAGGAGAGAGGGGAGGGGGAGGGAGAGTAGGGAGAAGGGAGAAAGAGGGGAGGGAGAGGATATAGAGGGGGAGTGTGGCAAAGGGGAGAGAGGGGAGAGACAGAGGAGAAGAGGAGAAGAGAGAGATACGCAGAGAGGAGAGAGAGATAAAGGGAGAGGAGATAGAAGTGGGAGAGAGGAGAGGGGGGCAAGGAGCAGACACGTGAGAGGAGAAAGAGGTGAAGGGAGGAAAGGAGAGAGAATGTTAATACATTCTTCCCAGGTTTTATCAGTTAGTAAATCATTGACATTCCAACCCCTGACCCTCCCCCTCTCCTCACCCTCCACCGCCAGATAGACGTAAGACACACGGTTGGTTCCCAGTTGGTCGATGACCCTGAACTGGCCAACTCTTCTCCCATCCATCCCCCTCTCCATCTCCTTCATCGTCCCATCCCTCTCTCCTCCCTACTCCTCTCCTCTGTTCTCCTCCCCCATCCCCCTCTCCTCACCCTCCACTTCCAGGTAGACGTTGGACACAGGAAACCCCAGTATGTCCGTGACCCTGAAATGTCCGGCGTCGCTGGCCTTGACCTGGTCCAGAATAACCACAGACGGATCCAGAGAGATCCGCCCCTCCAGATCCAGGTCCGCTGGCACCTATCATCAACCAAGAGCCATGCTAGGTTCAAAAGTTCAATCACTTTGCTTCAACATTGTAAGACGATTTTTATTATTGGCAAATAAAAGTAAATCACTTGGATATAAATATTTGGTAACACTTTACTTCAAGCCAACAGGTATAATGCATTATAAGACTTCTCATAAGCATGTATAAGTGATAATGTCTTCTTACCATCCCACAGTGCGCTATAGGGAGTAGAGTTAGGGTAGAATTTGAGTGATTTTAAATCAGTACCGTTAACTGTCCCCCGTTCAGGATCTGTCTGGTTTGTAAGTCGTAGTCGGGCGTGTAGAACAGCCGCACCATGGAGGCATTCAAAATCAGGTTGATCTTCAGGGTGCCAGCGTACGGCACCTTCACAAAGTTCTGGTGGTCTGAGAGACAGAGGGAGAGAGGGAGGGAGAGAGAGAGAGAGAGAGAGACAGAGAGAGAGAGAGAGGAGAGAGAAGGGGAGGAGGGGGGGGGGAGGGAGAGGGAGGAGAGGAGGAGGGAGAGAGAGAGGGAGAGAGAGAGAGAAAGAGAGAGAAGAGACGGAAGAGAGAGACAAAAAGAGGATAAAGAGATGGAAAGAGAAGAAGATCCAGAGGAAGGGGGGAAAGAGAGAGGGGGCATTAAACAAACAAAACATTTTGGAAGACAATACGCAAAATGGATAACTCACTTCAGAAAACAATAAAGCGATCTATTGAAAGCTGGCACTCTGCATTACAACAAGAAGTACTGAAACTACACTGTTTTCCCTTGAATTATTACCCATAGAGCAGAATATGTAGCATTGTTACACTTGGCAAAACACAAACAATAACAACAGTGGTGGGACGGAGAGTGGCGCTGATCCCCTACTGCGGATTCCATCTTTAAACCCATTGATGACTAACGTTACAGTGAATTTGCAGCAGGTTGGATAAAAAAGGTAGAAAAGCCAAGGTAAAGGTTTGCACACAGAAGGTATAGGGAGGATGAAAACAAATGTACCTTTGACATTTAGGCAGACCTTCCTCATGATCTTCATGTTAGTGTCTCTGACTGTGTAGCTTCCCTCATCGGCGCCTGTCACGGCGTTGAGGGTGACCCGGCGCTCGTTGACACTCAGGCGCCCCTGGTACCCATCTCTGGAGAGCTCTCCTTGGCTCATCAGAACCAGGCCCGGCCTGAAGGGTTAGGGTTAATGGAGAACCATAATAGAACTTGTTATCACAACAATCATGATATTGATCAGAATAACATAATTATATAATGATGGTGTAATGATAATTATCATATTGATAATGCTATCGCGATAACCATGATACTATCATGACAACCACAATAGTATCACAACATCACAATACCGTGACATTATCGCGATATCATGATACTACCGTGATATCACAATATTATCGCTATAACCACTACATCGTGATAATCAATATTGATGGGAGACTTAATGTTATGAGACAGTAAATCCTCCTTTGAGGAAAGCAGTGAAGTTTACATGTTGACAGAGAAACAACTGTACCTGGAGGTCAGGTTGGCCTCCACAGCACTGGGCCTGTACTCCAGGGTGATGGGAGCCTCCACCCCCGCCAGCTGGATGTGGTAGTTCTCCCCATACTTTATGTTCTGCTCGTTGGAACAGTCTAAAAGATAGAGAAAGGGGTGGGAGAGGCAGGGACAGTTAGATACAGAGATAGAGCAAGAGAAAGAAATGAAGGTATAAAAGGGGAGGACAAGGGGAATGAGAGGGAGACAAGAGATCAGGAAACAGAGCGAGAGAAACAGAAAGGAAAGACAAAAGAATGAGAGAGAATGACAGAGACAGAGCACAGAGAGGAGAAGAACAAGAGAGAGAAAAGGAGGATAAAGATAGAAGAAAAACAGCAGGGATGGACGGATGGGGTGGTTAAATAGCTGCATAATTACTGCCTGGTGTATGCAACACGCTGTTAACTACACACACACCTCCTCTCCACACACTGTTAACTCCATATGGCGCCGTCACTGCTCCCCACAGCTAGCTAGCTCCACACAGTTAACTGCATCATTTGATATCAGACAACTGCATCAACTGATATAGCATTCTGATGCTCGACTGCAAAGTCAATGACGTGGCATAAAACCATTAGTTGTTGCGTGCAGTGTGACTGCAGAATAGACAGCTTGGAACGCCAGTCCATGCAGAGCAAAGCTCAGTCTTCTCAGCATCACCAAATCATCCTTCCTCTCTGACTGTGTAACTGCATGCCAAATGGCACACTATTCCCTATATGGGGCCTGGTCAAAAGTAGTGCACTGTATAGGGATTAGGGTTCCATTTGGGATGTAGACTATGTCTTCCTCATCTCATTACATTCAGATACTTAGTGCTGTTCAGAACATTGCTGCTGCGCTAGCCAACAGGGCTGTACCACACTAATACAGCATTGCTCATGTGTAGATGTAAAAGGCTTGGCCTGTTGACCTAAGTGACAGCATGATTAAACCATGGAATGAGCAGGAACAAGCTGTGTCTAGACTGAGACAGACAGATGGTTTGAAGCACACACTGCTACGGTGGCAGGGCAGCATGTTTGAGAGAGAACGCCAGTATCAATTTAGTCCTAAGGATTTAGACTGAGCCAAGACTCCAAGACTCAATGGAAAAAGCTCAGTATGGCTGCGTCCCAAATGGTACCCTATTACCTATTTAGTACTTTTGACCAGAGCCCATGTGGATGCAGACTATGGTGTCTGACGATGAAGATCTTCCAACCGTCCAACCCCCCTCCCAGAGAGCAACTTTCCTTCTTCCAACCCCCCTCCCAGAGAGCAACTTTCCTTCTTCCAACCCCCCTCCCAGAGAGCAACTTTCCTTCTTCCAACCCCCCTCCCAGAGAGCAACTTTCCTTCTTCCAACCCCCCTCCCAGAGAGCAACTTTCCTTCTTCCAACCCCCTCCCAGATAGCAACTTTCCTTTTCCAACCCCCCTCCCAGAGAGCAACTTTCCTTTTCCAACCCCCTCCCAGAGAGCAACTTTCCTTCTTCCAACCCCCCTCCCAGATAGCAACTTTCCTACTTCCAACCCCCCTCCCAGATAGCAACTTTCCTACTTCCAACCCTCCTCCCAGAGAGCAACTTTCCTACTTCCAACCCTCCTACCAGAGAGCAACTTTCCTATGTCCAACCCCCCTCCCAGAGAGCAACTTTCCTACTTCCAACCCCCCTCCCAGATAGCAACTTTCCTACTTCCAACCCCCTCCCAGATAGCAACTTTCCTACTTCCAACCCTCCTCCCAGAGAGAAACTTTCCTACTTCCAACCCTCCTCCCAGAGAGAAACTTTCCTACTTCCAACCCTCCTCCCAGAGAGAAACTTTCCTACTTCCAACACTCCTCCCAGAGAGAAACTTTCCTACTTCAAACACACACTCAGACCCCATACCTCTGACGATGAGTGTGATGCGTCGGACCTCTTCTGGCTGTTCGTTGTTCTTCACCGTGTACGTCCCCTCGTCCTCCTCGCCCACGTTCTCTAGGATCAGGTGACTGAGCTGACTGTTGAGCTTGGCACGTTTATTGACCACGGACCTACCCTGCATCATGACCACCTCGGCCCCCGCCGGGGCATTGCTGGGCCGGAACAAAACCTCTGCAGCCAGGGAGGGCAGCCGCAGATGGAAGTCCTCCCCAAAGAACATGGTCTGCTGGGAGTCTTCTTTACCTGGGAGGTGGTGGGAGGGTATCTTTAACATTTCCACAGAAACGCATCACAAAGCTTAGTACTATATCATAACTAATGATGCATTTATAACAGATGGCAGGGATGCTTACCTTTCAAAGGGGCCGACAGAGCTATGGACAAAGAGAAAAGAGGTTGGTGTTATTTCATATTTATGCATATAAATTAAATTCATCAGATTCGTTAGATATATGACCAATAACTATGCTGTGTCTTAAGGACCCATAAGAAACAAAAATGAGGGTTGTGTCTCTGTCAATCTCTTACTCCTCCTGGTGGATTATTCCACACACTGAACCTGCACACACTACTCTGGACACACACACTACTCTGGACACACACACTACTCTGGACACACACACTACTCTGGACACACACACTACTCTGGACACACACACTGCTCTGGACACACACACTACTCTGGACACACACACTACTCTGGACAGCTCCACATAACTCAACTGAATCAGAGATGGATGACTGCTACCATCACATTCCCCCTTTGGGCCTCAATAAAGTATTATCTCATGTGACCTTCTCATATCTGGTCTTACATCTCTGGGCTTAATGACATACCTGAGCAGAGCAGCAAGCTCAGCACCACCACCACACTGACTGTCTTCATCTTCATCAGATCTCCTGGGTCCGGAAATAAGGAGAGATGAAGGGAAGATAAGATAAAGGAAAGATAGAGTATAAACAAAAATGGTGTTTGATAAGCGGCACATTAGAATAGAATGCCACTCCATCTCTCTCTCTGTACCTCTATCTTTCACCTCTACATCCTCTTCTCCTCCCTCAGTTGTTATTTCTGTTTCTCCATCTGATTTGTGGCTGGGGTGGATGGGTGAGGGTGAGGGAGGGGTTGGTGTTAGACACTCAGACTAGAGATACAGGAAAGGCTAAGGGAGGGCAAGACTCTTGCTCCCTTAGCCAATTCATAGACAATGATAGCATGTTGTGGTGGTGACATCATCTCATGGTGACATCATCGCATGAAGTGGAGCCGAGAGGATGTCCTTTGGATCACTTAGGTTGTCTTGACTTAACAGAGGATGAATGCAGTGTGTGTGTGTGTGTGTGTGTGTGTGTGTGTGTTCATGCGTGTGTATGTGTGTGCGTGCCTGTGTGTGTGTGTGTTCCTCTTATCCTAACAGTCATCCCAAGATTTCTTCCTCCTCTCTGACATATCAGGTATCTTTCTCCCCATCCTTCCTGATCTAACATGATTGTTAGATCATGAAAGCAATCCACCAAATCAGTCACATTATATCAGCCATTTTAAAAGTATTCCAACAGGGACAAGGTTTTTCATCCACTTGCAACTGTCACCCCATGATAGCTTTTAGGAGGTTGCTCTTGGAAAAATCTAATTACTTAAAGAAAAAAACACTCAGTAGATATTTTAGCTACATTGAATCCCTACACCTGACATTCAGGGGAATTCAATTTACCACCAATGCGAAAAGTGTGGTTGTACAAACAATAGCCTGCAGTGCAGCACCTCCCCTGTTCCTAGAAACAAACTAGCACAGTGCTCATGTAGTGTAAATAGTTCCCAATTCATTTCCAACTCAGGGTCAATAGTTGATTTACACTACCAAGCTGCAAGCAATTGGGGCTTTAAGATTGAAAGAAACATGGACTTATTGCAACAACAAAAACAACAACAACCTATTCTTTTTCATAATCCCTTCCCTTTAAAGGCACATTGAAGCTTGTTTGAGTTTTTAAACTAGGGGTGTATTCATCAGTGCACACCATAGCAAACCGTAGCAAAACGTTTTGCAACAGAAACGTTTTGCAAAGAAAAGGAGTGTTTCTTATTGGACAAGTTCAGGTTAGTCACTCCCGTTTCGGCCTATTTGTGTCTGTTTGGTTCCTGGAGAATACACCCAAGGACGCCACTGGCTCCCACTGGATCCCAGACAGGGATTGGTATATTGATTAGGTGTCAGTGAACATGCCTGAATTAAAACAGCCTGGGAATAATTAATGGTTTTCAGAGGTAATTGGGACTGGGGGGATCTGTGTAATTGCTTGGCTGGGTTTCAAACAGAGATCCACCTTTTCCCTTCTTAGGACCCTGAGAAGAGGGAAGTGTGTGTGAGTGTGTTTGTGTGTGTGCGTGCGCACGCATGTGTGCGTGTGTGTGTGTAAACATGCGCTGAGTCTTGGAGAATTCAGATTAATTGGAGCATTGAGAGGGTTATGATGATCTGAGCAGTGAGGTGAGACTTCAGATGAGAGACATCAAGGGAAGTATTAGTCTAAATATGTCCTCTTCATACTTAGAGACTAGAGGGTTTGACAGACAAGAGAATTTAAAACCTGAATGTACAGATGTAGGATCTTAATTTCAGTTAGTTTGCTAAAGCTGGAAAAGAATCCTGCAGCAACAGGAAATGTGAGTTATTATGTGGATTATAATTAATGGACATTTTTGTAGGGGTTGATACATTTTTCGTAAGTGAAAATCAAGTCTGAAATTTTTAAGTGGAAATTACAAACTTCAGAAGCCTTTTTAAACCTCAAATATACTACACATTTTAAATGTCCTGCATAGAAGGAAAGTTCTAATGCAACAGGGTGATCAAATGAAGATCCTACATCTGTAGCGGCAGATTTAGATCCTGAACGCTAGAGATGAAAGGAGACAGCATCTAGACATTTAGACACAGGCCTGAACTGTTGGCAGTGTGTGTGTGTGTGTGTGTGTGTGTGTGTGTGTGTGTGTGTGTGTGTAGGGCGGCAGGTAGCTTAGTGGGTAAGAGCGTTGTGCCAGTAACCGAAAGGTCGCTGGTTCTAATCCCAGAGCCGACTAGGTGAAAAATCTGTCGATGTGCCCTTGAGCAAGGCACTTAACCCTAATTGCTCCTGTAAGTCGCTCTGGATAAGAGCGTCTGCTAAATGACTAAAAATGTAAATGTAAAATGTGTGTGTGTGTGTGTGTGTGTGTGCGCTCGTGTGTGTGCGTGTACGTGTGTGAACGAGAGAGAGACAATGTGTGAACAAAGCAGGAAGCATTAAGCCATCTTCAGAGACCTGATCTGTTGGCAGGAACAGAAAACCTGCTGCTCTCATTTGTTAATGAGGACAATTAGCATGTGATAATGTCATAATTCCACAACCACGCTTTCTCTCTCTGCTACAAGACACTCTCATCCAATCTTCTCCTGCATGTCTCTGTCACTCTCTCTGTCGCTCTCTCTGTTTCTCTCTCTGTTTCTCTCTCTATTTCTCTCTCTCTCTCTCTCTCTGTTTCTCTCTCTCTCTCTCTCTCTCTCTCTCCTCTCCCTCTCCCTCCCTCCCTCCCTCCCTCCCTCCCTCCCTCCCTCCCAGCCTCTTACACCCTGCACTGGGCAGAAAGCTGAGCCACTATCATAGCCTGAAAGCACAGTAATTTTATTAAATCTGAAACAAAAGACAGGACACAGCAGAGCCCCAGAGAACATGGTCCCTCAGACAACAACACCAACAACCACACATCAGTTGTGTCCCTTTGGTACAGCCATTCACACAATAACAATGGCATCCACTCATTTTGTCTCTATAGGTTGATTCTGCCTGGGACATGAAGTTGTGAACACCTTGCTGTGTTCTTATTACTAAAGAATTACATGGTACTAAGAACATGTTATATCATATATCATATGTAAGTCGCTCTGGATAAGAGCGTCTGCTAAATGACTAAAATGTAAATGTAAATGTGTGTGAACACAGGCATGTGAAACATGTTGATCTTTGTGTCACTACAGCACCTAAGGGGAATGTATCTGCGCTGACGTTTTTTAGAGGACCTGTGAAGCAGATAATCCAAGATCTTCTACTCCATTTAATGAGGAAAAAATAGTGTTTCGAATCATTTGGGGCCAGAAACCTTACAAAAAAACACAATCAATCATGTGAAAAAACATGTGGTTTACAGACACGTGTGAACACAGGTGTAAACAAATCGCGTGAAAAATGTCACATGTAAAAAAAAAAAAAACATTCACATGAGTCAGACGTGGTATTCGGACACCTGTGATGTTTCACATGAATCTTCCACATGTGAACAAATCACGTGAAAAATGTCACGTGGGAAAAACAGACATTTGAGTCAGACTTGGTTTTAGGACAAATTTGACATGTTTTTTTTTGTAAGGGAAACAACACACTGGTGCTCGCCTCACTGAGTTTACAGTGACACACACACACACACACACACACACACACACACACACACACACAAACATGCCTCCTCTCCTTTGGGCTGTTAACCATGGGCTGCCGGACTGGGCCATCTGCTATCCTTCACTCCCTCCCTCCCTCTTTTCCTCCCTTCCTCTTTCTGTCCCCTATTCGCCTAGACTGCTCTATTTGTCACTCTCTCTTCCTTCCTCAGTCCCTCTCTATCTGTCACGTCTTTCGCTCTTTTTTTACTGCCACCCTCTCTTTATTTTATTTTCCTTCCTCCCTCGTTCTCTGTTTCTTCCCACATCTCTTATCCTCTTTCCCTCCCTGCATCATCATCTCCTCTATCTTCCAATTTGTCCCTTTCTCTCTTTTTTTTTGTCAGACTGTTACTTTCTCTCCTCTCCTACTTTCTGTCCTTCTATCTTTTCTCATTCTATTTCCCGGTCTACCCCATGCCACTCTCTCTTTCTCCCTCCCTCTCTTTCTTATTTTCTCCCCTTCTCTCCCTCTCTGTCTCTCTCTCTCCCTCCCTCTCGCTTTCTCCTCTCATGCCCCTTTCCTCCTTCTTATCTTATAGAATCTCAGCTCCAGCAGCATCCCACTCTGAACTCAAAGACTGTGTCTGTCTTCATCTGAGCTCTGGGATTTGTCCCAAATGGCACCATATTCCCTATGTAGTCCACTACGTTTGACCAGGGTCCATATGGCTCTGATCAAAAGTAGGGCACTATATAGGGAATAGGGTGCCATTTAGGATGCTGCCTCTGAGTCTCTGGTCACTAAGAAGGGAGAGAGGAGGAGGTACAGACAGGCCTTTGTTGAGCTCCTTTAAAGAGGCGGAAAAGCCTTCAATGACTGCAGATGCATGAACCCCACAAAGATGTCTCTGTCTATCTGTCTATCCTTCATTCCTTCACCTTGTTTCCTTAATTCTCCTTTTCCTCCTTGGCTTATATAACCCCAGTGGTCGTGCATCTATCCCCTAATACTTCTGTCACTGTAGTGAAGGCAAAGTATCCAGTCAGGCTGCAAGGAAACGCACACCCCTAACACACACACACATTAGATACAATACACACATGCACACACACTTGTCCATAAATACTGTAGACACAACACACATGACCAACACCCGCTCCCTCTCTCCCTCCTCTCCTCCCTCACCAGAAAATACATTCTTAAATCATGAAGCGTCAGAAAAGCAAAAGGTATCACTGCGCCAACAGAACAGTACACAGGCTGAATGTTTACTTTAGATGGTTTACTGGAGATCATGGCTTTCTGGTTAGCTGAAATGACAATGGGTGCATCTCAATAGTCTGAAGAGGCTTCCTCTCCTTGTCTCATTTTCTTCATCTGCTCTGATGAGTGTGAAACTACTTGATAGTTGACAGCAGATTCCCAACAATACACATCGACCATCTTGTTTTTATCCATCCTTTGGCAAGGAGACGGATAAAGGAAAGGAGACAAGGGGAAGAAGCCACTTTAGACTGTTGAGATGCAGCCCTGGGCTGCCTGCCTGCCTGGAAGTGTTGTGTAAATCCAAATGGATGATGGATGAGATCTCACATCACACAGATATAGACTGACTCTTCATTTATCCACTGCATTCCCTTCTTAAAGTACTCTAAAAATATTCTCTCTATCGCTCTCTCTGTCTAGGTCTCTGTCTCACTTTATTTCTCTCTATCCCTCTCTCTCTCTCAATCACGCTCTGTCTTTCTCTCTCTCTGTATTTCTCTCTCTCTCTCTCAGCCCCCCTCTCAGTCTCTCTCGCTCTGATATATGAAAGGAGTGGACAGGTTTCCACCATATTGCTTTCACCTGTCAGATCTTGTCAGATCAGAGGTCATGAGGGGGAGGAGTGCTACAGTAAATGTCCTTATCCTCAACTCATCATTGTCTTTCAAGTGAGGACATAGAAAGACAACTCACAGATGAGATGTAGCTTCATAATTTCCTAATTGTGACAGTTGAAAATAGGCCATTACAGGCATAAAAAGGCTTGAACAGCAGTGACATACAGGCCAAGGCCATCCTTGAACAGCGATCGGGTGATGGGTGATGACTGATGACCAGCAGCACACACTGTACTATCCTGTACTATACCGCCATGTCCCTGAACTGTTGGCTATTGTAACATGCAGGCAGCGCAGACTCAGGCCACCATATGTCATCAACATATAAGCCGCGGGGGCGACATTGCACAGCACCGGAGTCAGCAGCGCGCCGGTACAGGCTGACTGCAGGAGCACATCGTTACATTTATGATGGATGGATGCTTTAAAAATAATGGATTCAGTACAGGCTAAACCATTTCATTAAAAAAAAAATTGTCCTACATATTAAGATATACTGATTAGAGACAGGATCCATAGGCTACTCATTTGCATTGATTAGATGTGGATTATGCATCAATAATCTTACAGGACCAAACTGAGTCATACAATTAATCTCTACATGCATTAACAGGTACTGCGAATTAAGGCGACATATTGCATTCCATGATGGGAATATTCTGGGATATTTCAAATAACATAGCCTATTGCATATCCCTATTAGGCTACATTGTTTCAGTGATTTTTTCTTATCATAGGCTATGGCTCAAATTCTGAAGCAATATTTTACATTAGGCTATAGGCCTAATCTAAATGGTCATAAATTGGGATAGGCATTGGAAGGGCACTAGCCTATCCAAACTGTGTAGCCTAATGATTGTCCCCTTGTGTGGCATTCTGTAGAGCAGACTGTGAAATTAGCATGGTAATGCATTATTGAATGTTTGTTCCATCATACCACCATCCCGATTAAGCGCATAGTCTGTTTCAATCGTTCCCCCCAATAAACGTGAAAGCCTAATCACAATTTTCTCACCTTTCATCTTCTCCGGAACAAGCACGCCCTGTTTTCATCCAATAAAGCCCTTATCAGATAATAATCGGCTATTATCCTAACATCTCAATATGCGGGAAAGCCAACAGACACCCTCACGAGCATCTCACCAAAAACTGCAGAATTTAACCCGTCACGCACCAGGCGGCGAATGTATTTGAAGAATCTCATCACATCCACCACACACACGTAAGAAATAATTATCCCCTTAGCTCACTCACCTTTAAATTCACACTATCTCCTCCGTATTGTCAGAGTAGGCAACGTTATAACGGGATTGTAGGAGGAGAAATATGGAGCCTAGCCTATTGATGCATGTATTTCTCTCCCTTCTTGGCGTTACCCTCCCTCTCAACCTCGCACCCCCAAGAGCAGCACTTGAAGACTGGGGCTGAACATTTGGAAGATGATCAGAATATGTCGGCTTTTGCTCTCGGTCGGAGCCACTCGACTGATGTCGGTAAACACCGGATTCGATTGCCTCAAGCAAGGCAGCGATTGTTGGTTGTTTGTCTTTTTAACTGAAGGAATTCATCTTCCTTATAATAAAACATAATAGCTGTATTGTGTATAGGCTATTCAGCTGAGAGGTGAAAGTGAAGGCTGAGTCGAGGGATTTAGTTAAACCTCAATCAAGTATATCTATTATGTATTAAAACATCCCAAAGCCCAGACTGTGACTAAATGAAGTGACAGAACACAGTAAACATTCGTCCATTGACTGCCATTAATTGGCCTAAAAACACTTAATGAAATGGTAGCCTACATATTATAAAACACAGCATAATAACAAATTACTCAGAGGTTCAGTACAAAAGGTTTATTGGTCAGTAAATAAAGACACATTTAACTCCTAGCCATACAAAGATGTAGATGGACGAGCAGCATTAAAACAATCAGTTCAGTCCTTTCTCTAAGATTGAAGCAATGTCCCTTCAGCAATCACAGCTAGGGAAGACATATCTTCTATATTCAACATTACCCTCATAAAATAGGCACTAATATATATATATATATATATATATATATATTTGTTATGTTTCTACAAAGGCCAGAGGATGTCTATTAATCAGTATAAATAAAGGAGCAGGAGATGGAGGGAAGAGACAGGAAGAGACAGATAAAAGAAATATGACCGGGATAGGCAGTCTATTATCTCTTGTATTGCTCAGTCTCTTCTCTCTATGTTAACTCATATTTAGAAAAAATTAACACAAATCTATTCAGAGCATTTCTCTGCATTTATTTTCTCTACCCTCTAAACATAGGAATACATTTCCATCTCTTGGGGTTGTTTTTCTTCTTATCTGAGTGAATACATTCTCAACTATCTAGTCGGTCATACAGGTGGATGTGTCCTCTCACCAGCCTTTTACGTCTGCGTCCCAAATGGCACCCTATTCCCTATATAGTGCAGGGCTCTTGTCAAACGTAGGTAATAGGGTGCCATTTGGGATGCTGCCACTGTCTCTTGGACAGCCAAATCCTCATTCTCCTCTCTCTCAGGTGTGTAACGGTCTCTTGCCTCTCCAGGGGTGTAGTACTGTAGGCCACACACACCACACACACACACACACAAGACAACAGACAGACAAGACAGAGACAGACAGACAGACACAGACAGACAGACAGACAGACAGACAGACAGACAGACAGACAGACAGACAGACAGACAGACAGACAGACAGACAGACAGACAGACAGACAGACAACAGACAGACAGACAGACACAGACAGACAGACAGACCAGACAGACAGACAGACAGACAGACAGACAGACAGACGACGACAGACAGACAGACAGACAGACAGACAGACAACAGACAGACAGACAGACAGACAGACAGACAGACAGACAGACAGACAGACAGACAGACAGACAGACAGACAGACAGACAGACAGACAGACAGACAGACAGACAGACAGACAGACAGACAGACAGACAGACAGACAGACAGACAGACAGACAGACAGACAGACAGACAGACAGACAGACAGACAGACAGACAGACAGACAGACAGACAGACAGACAGACAGACAGACAGACAGACAGACAGACAGACAGACAGACAGACAGACAGACGTCTGCTGTCTTCTCTGGAACTGTAATGCCTTCCTCTCCCTGGCCCTGTATACAGGGTCATATTCACCTAACGGAAGAAAACAGACTAAAACAGGGAGGGATTACCTGAACTTGTCCAATAACAAACACTTGTTTTTGTTTTCTGTTGCATAATGTTTTGCTACAGTGTGCACTAATGAATACCACCCAGGTGAGTTTCGTCTTTCTGTTACGTTTTCTTCCTGCCCCTGGCCTGGCCTTTGCCTCCTGGCTGAGCGCTGGGTTTGGGGGCTGAGAGGACATGGGTTACCAGGTCCACTCTCTGTTGTAATATACCAGTTAGCAGGAACTCAGCACTGAGGACGGGGAGAGAAGCAGAGAGAGCAGGAGCACAGAGAGACCAGTCCTCCCCACACGATATCACTACGGTCTGGGCCTGGGTCTTCTGAGTGGAGGGCATCTTGGAGAGGAAGCGAGCTCCGCTACAGGTGATGATGTCCTTCATCTGGGCCGGCTCTGGCAACACTGACCTGGTTACATGGACCTCATAACCCTGAGAGAGGAGAGGGCATGCTCTTATTTTGAGTTTTTTTCCCCCCTTTAATTTACAATCAGTTTCTTCATGAGGGCTAAGAGGCCAGTTTCATAAACAGGAAGTAAAAAGAAAAGACTAAGATAATAGATAATAGCCTGCTTGCTGCTCAGTCAGAACTGAGCTAAATGGGAGAGCTGCCCATTAAACCTAACCACAACATTAACAGTTAATGCAGCCTGCCTGCCCTGCCTTCTCCAAAAGACCATGTGATCTGGTTTTTATTTTTCATAAATTTGCAAAAATTTCTAAAAACCTGTTTTCGCTTTGTCATTATGGGGTATTGTGTGTAGATTGATGAGAGGGAAAAATAATTTAATCCATTTTAGAATAAGGCTGTAACTGGTACCCCTTGTATACTCATTGTGTATCTATTATCACTTTTATTATTACATGTTTTACTTTTCTATTATTTATCTATTTTCTTTCTCTCTACTTTGTTGTGAAGGGCCCGTGAGCATTTCACTGTTAGTCCACATCTGTTGTTTATGAAGCATGTGACAAATAACATTTGATTTGATTATACAGAAACTCATTCATATTCTCAGGACATGGCTTTAGTGTGTCTTGTGTTTTCAACAGTCTATGGTGTGTAGTCATAGATAAAAGGAGCCCATTGGGGAGTGTGGATTGTTCACACAGTGACAAACCCGTCTAAATGATTCAGGAGAATGTATGTGTGCAGAATCATTCCTGGGTTCCTGTGAGTCATTATTTGCCTAGTGCCTGCGCTCTCCTAGGGGTGTGTGTGTGTGTGCATGTGTGTGTGTTGCCTATTTGAATAAACAAGAATTGGGAAACACAAAGATACAAGCACAGCGGGGAGCACGCACACACGCACACACACGCACCACAAACAGAGTTGGGACATTAACACACAAACATAAATGGATGACTTGGACAGATGGAGGGAGGAGAGGAGGAGAGAAAGTGTGTGTGTGTGTACCTGTAGAAGAGGCTGGGTGCTGGCGGTCCTCAGTGATTCCTCCAGACAGAAGCTGAACTTGTTCTCCTGCTCTCTGTCCTTCACCAGGTACCTGTCAGTCGGTAGGAAACGACCCAGCTTACCACACTGAGGGAGGAGGGGGAGAGAGGAGGTGTTGGGAGGGAAAAGAGGCAGGGTGTGTCGGAGAGAAAGAGAAAAGAGAGGGGAAGGGTTTGAGAATAAAACGAGGCTCTGACTCCAACCATGATCAGATAGTGATTATACTAAAAGCAAAATGTCTCAGATGTTCTTGTACAAAATTGTCCCCAATTGTACAAAAGCACTTCCAGAAAGAACTCCAACCACCCCATTACACAGAACAGTGATGTGCATTCTATTTTTACAATCTTCAGGTCATACATCTTCACTTCCTGGTGGGGGGGGGGGGGGCAGGACTAACCTTATCCAGCCAATCGGTGGTGACGACGGGCACGCCGCGGGCCACAGCACACAGGAACTTGACGGTGCGTCGGACCCTGTCAGTCACCAGGTGGGTCATGTCGGCCACGCCCTTCGCCAGGCTGCCCCCCAGACGAGACACCACCTTCCCCCCCTCCTCGTCCCCCACTCCTGTAAACAACACCTGAGAGGGGAGAAGGCGAGAGAGAGGGATGGAGAGTAAGAGGCAGAGGAAGGGAAGGATGGAGCAGAGGTTTCAGTCCACTCATGTGACCTATCACTACCTACGTCACAGAGCTTTCTACCTACGTCACAGAGCTTTCAAAACCCACATACACGACTGCGCATCAGAGAGATTTAACGCTCTAACGCACGCACACGCAGACACTAAACACACACACGTCCATTAGCTTACCTTGTAGGACTGCGTGGTGGCCCTAGCTCTGCACAGTGTCCCAGGGGAGGAGAGGGAGGACAGGGGAGAGGCAGAGGAGGAGCGAGGGGACTTGGCTAGCGGAGATGAGTCCACAGTGGCGCTACGCTTACCTCTTCCGTTACCTTTAGGGGTCTGGGGCACCTGAAGCAGAGAGGGGTAGGGGGTGGAAGAAGAGAGAGAGGAGGAAGAGAGGCAGAAGAGAGAAAGAAAGAGTATCTGTCAGTAATACAGGGTGTATACAAACTGATTGTTATGCACATTGGACCACTTAATTCATTACTAGGGCTGTTATGCAAAGATGGCCAGCGTACTCCTAATGGTGAGATAGAAATGTCAGTGTACTCCCATGGCTGAGAGAGAGAGAGAGAGAGAGAGAGAGAGAGAGAGAGAGAGAGAGAGAGAGAGAGAGAGAGAGAGAGGAGATGGCTTGGGAGTCACTGAATGATGTTAATTGAAATCCATTTCTCTAGTGGGAAAAGACTGACTCAGTGTATGAAGAGAGTGAAGCTGGGTGTGGACAGAAATGGCTGTATGGATGGATGTAGCTCAGTTGGTAGAGCATGGCGTTTGCAACGCCAGGGTTGTGGGTTCGATTCCCACGGGGGGCCAGTATAAAAAAATATTATAATAATAATAATAATGTATGCACTCACTAATTGTAAGTCGCTCTGGATAAGAGCGTCTGCTAAATGACTAAAATGTAAATAGAGTGCATAGCTTTTCAAAGGCTTGTCTATTAGAAGGGAGCAGATAGAGAGAAAGAGAGAACATTACCATAGACTTAGAGTCCAAAACAGATTCCTCTGCTTTCTTTATCTGAACCGTCGAATGCCTGCCTCGGACTTTCCTCTGCACAGTACCAGTCTCTTCCTCTTCCATCTTCTCACCCCGTCCTTCCATACTCTTCTCCACCTGTGCAGTGGAGGCTCTACCCCTCTTTGCTGGAGTGGATGCAGGTTTCTCCTCTTTCTCTCCTTCCTCCTTTTCCTCCTCTGCTGCCCTCCGTCTCCCTCCCCTCTGAACCTTAGCTTTTCCCCGGGGAACCTTGAACCCACTGCTCTCCTCCTTCTCCTCTTCCAGCTCCCTCTTCCTCCCTTTCCCACCTGTTTTAGACTCCACTCCTGCTTCACTTCCAGTGTCCCCTCCTGCTGTTCTACTGGTGGATTCAGGTGTGTTGTCTTTCTGGCCTCCTCTGCCCCGGCCTCTTCCATTCCCTCTAGGAGGGGAGGAGTCCTCTGTTACCTGGGCTGGAGTGGTTTCTTCACCTGTTACTTCAGGATCTGGATCATTGGCTTTGGATGTTCTCTTCTGCCCTCTAGTGGTACCACCAGCCTCCTGAGAATCAGCCTTCTTGTTAATCTCAGGGTGTGGAGCATCATCCTCTACTTTCTGGCTTCTCCTGCCTCTGGCAGTGGGCTTTGGGGCTGGAGGCTGCTCACTCTGGCTGTTACTGGGAGGGACAGACTCTGTCCCAGTCTTCCTCCCTCTCCCTCCTCCCCTCCCTTTGATCTGAGTGCTCACGCTAGCCACACTACAGGTGGGGACCTCTGAGTTGAGGGAGCTGTGGGAGTTGGTGGAGCTGGAGCGAGAACGGGTTCTCCTGGCAACAAACTGTTCACTGGAGAGAATGTCCTGCACTGTGACCTCCACAGCAGCAGGGGGCGCCACAACTGTCCCGGCCACCGTCCTTCTCCTGGTGCTGTTGCGGGTGGAGTTGTCTGGGCCAGGGGCTAGCTCTGTGGTGCCCCTTCTCCCCCGCCCTCTCCCTCTCCCTCTGCTCCCCTGGGTGCCCATGCTGGAGATGGATCTCTCAGAGCTGGAAGAGTTGGAGCGAGACCTAGTTATACTAGCTGGGACTGGTTCTGGTTGGCTGGACAGAACGTCAAGTTCAGGTTGTGGTTGCGTTGTAGGTGGAACCGTGATGGTTCTCCTGGTGGTTGCTCTGTGACCTCTCGTGGATGTTTTTGGCTCATTTTCATCGTCTTTCTTTGCCTGTGTTTCTCTCTCCAGTCTCTCCCTCTCCAGTTTTTCTTTCAGGTCTCTTTCCTTCATTTCTAATCGCTCCTTCTCTTTATTTTCCATCTTCAGTCGTTCTCTCTCCTGTTTTTTCTTCTCTTCTCTTTCCATTTTTTCCTTCTCCAATATCTCCTTACGCTCTTTCTCCAATCTGTCCTTTTCTGCTTGTTCTCCCTCTATTCTCTCCTTCTCTTCTCTTTCCCTGCTTTCTCGCTCCAATTTTTCTTGCTTTTCTTTTTCCTCCCTCTCCAGTCTTTTCCTCTCTTTTTCTTTCCTCTCCCTCTCCAGTCTTTCTTGCTCTTCTCGTTCCTTCCTTTCCCTCTCAAGCCGCTCTCTTTCCTCCTGTTCCCTTTTCTCTCTCTCCATCCTTTCTGTTTCTACTCTCTCCCTCTCTAATCTCTCATCCCGTTCCATCCTTTCTCTCTCCTGTTGTTCCTTCATAACCCTTTCTGATTCTACCTTTTCCTTCCGCAACCTTTCCTTCTCAGTTCGTTCTTCTCTTTCTTTCTCTATTCCCTCTTCCTCCTCTCTCCGTTCCATCTCAAGTCTTTCTTTTTCTCCCTCTTTCTGTTGATTCACACTCTTTCTTCCTCTTCCTCTCCTCCCTTGCTCAACCACCTCCGCTTCTTTCTCCTCCTCTTCTTCCTCAGGCAACACCTTCCCTCTCCTCCCTCCGCCTCTCGTAGTGTTCACAGCCTTCCCCTTCCCTGTCGTCTGTGTCTTCAGAGGCTCAGAGCTCTCCTCCTCTTCCTCCTCTCCTCCTCTAGCTCCTCTTCTACCTCTACTGCTGACACCGCTTGTCGCAGCCTCCGACTCTTTCCCCCGCTCCTCTCTGAACCCGTCCTTTAGCTTTGTTGTCCTCCTCCTTCTCTTCCTCAGTGTCACAAGTACCCATAGGCTGAGTTTCAGCGGTGGAGATGTGGGAGCTGGTGAGGAACTCACTAGGTTGTGTTTCCTCCTCTTCTACTGTCTGTTTTTGGGACTGTCCTCTTCTTCTGGGTGAGTCTGGTTTGGTTTCTTCCTCATCATCACTCTCTTGGACCATGTCCCGAGTTTGAGCAGTGGAGAGGTATTGATTGGTCAGCACCTCGCCAGTCTGGGTCTCCTGCTCCTCTTCCTCCCTCTCCCTCGCTCCTCCAGATCTCCCTCTCCTTACTGGGGTGGAGGGCTTGGCCCCAACCAAATCTTTCTCCTCCTCACCCTCCTCTTCCTCACAGGCAGACATGGGCAGGGTTTCAGCTGTAGCAACATTAGACGTAGTGGGGAACTCCAAGGGCTGCGTCTCCTCTCCCTCTTCATCTTCCTCCTCTATGTCACTGCGAGGCTGGGCAGCATAAGCCTGTGTTGCCTCCAGGGCAAAGTCTACCTGCCTGTTCCTCCCGAACACCGCAGACCTCCGGCCAAGGCCAGGCTCCTCGCTCCCCCCTCCAGATCCATAGGCCTGGGTGGCCTCCAGGTCAGAATCCCTATCTGGGGAGCCGAAAGCCTGGGTGCTCTCTGTGGCTACTGTCTGGGCCAGAAAAGCCCTGGAGGACGGAGTGGGAACCACAGCTCCAGCACCATACGCCTGGGTGGCCTCCAACTCCCCATCTGGGAAGCTGAATGCCTTGGTGCTCTCTGAGGTCTGGTCCCTGGCCTGGAGGTGGCTGCTGTCTGACAGACCCAGCTGGAAGGAGCCTCGGCTGGGCTGCTCCCCCCGGTCCTCCCCCAAGGAAGGCTCCAGACTGTAGGGCTGCGTGGCATCCAGGGTGGGTTCCACTGGAAGGCTGCTCTGATGGCCCTGGTCCTGGCCCTCCAACACAAACGACTGGGTCTCGGACACCACAAAGTCATCGTCCTCCTGGCTGTCTGATGCAGAGCAGGACAATGCTGCTGTAGGCCTCAGCACAAGAGGGAGAGCTGGGTCTGAGGAGGAAAGATAAGAGAGACAGGTTACAAATGAACACGGCAGATTCACAGTTTCCACTGGAAATGTATAATCTCTTGTCAAAGTCCATAGCTGTGTCCCAAATGGCACCCTATTCCCTATTTAGTGCACTACCCTATGGACCCTGGTCAAAAGCAGTACATTCCATAGGAATCAGGGTGTGATTTAAGATGCAAACCATCTAATCCACGTCTGAAGGGGTCTGAGGGACTGAAGAAGGCCTGAGTCGCCATCTCCTCCTGTACTGACGATGCCAAAGGGGTGGAGCACTTCTGATGAGGGCCAGGGGAGCCCCCCAGGGGGAGCAGCCCAGGTCCAGCTGCCCCCTCTCTGGTCCGAACTGGAGTCTGTCCCTGGCCTGCCTCCCCTAGTCCATCCTCCTCCTCATCCGTATCACTGTCCATCCTGAAGTCACTGGGCTCACTGGGGTCCGACTCCAGGACCATCCCTGCTGGGGGCTGACACCGGGGGGTTTTGGGCTCCAACCCCTCCTCCTCCGCATCTGTATCAGCATCAGAGTCCTGAGACCTGAGAGCGATTGTCGTGGTAACAGCACCCGTTGTCGTTGTTGTGTGTGATGGAAGCACGGCCGTGTCTTCCGTTACCGTAGCGACATTAGGAGGAGTAGGGTTCATTGTCTGTGTGGCGTCTTCCTCTAAGTCTGTGTCGCTGTCAGACCTGATCTCCAGAGGAGCAGCAGTTGCAGGTCCTACACTGGTGGGTGGCTTAAGGAGCTCCGCTGTTCTGCTGCTGGCCGGAGGGGCAAAAGGGTTGTCCTCTTCATCAGTATCACTGCCCAAAATAATCTCCTGGGGACCAGCAGTCCCTGTTCTGATCCCACTAGCATCTGATTCTGGAACTGTTTTGGAATGTGTGTCAGTGTCCTCCTCTTCCACATCTGTGTCACTGTCTCCGTGGAATACTACGTGCTGCACTGCAGGGGCAGAATCGGCTGGTTTCTCGACCGGATCTGATACAGAGGAGGTAACCTTGGTAGCACTGTTCCAACACATCAACAACATTATCATCATCCACGTCTGTGTCACTGTCCAGGTGTATATCTGTTGGCTGCACCACTGGGATAGAATCTACTGGTTTCCTCTCCACATCGGCAGCAGTTAGCATTAACTTAGAGTCACTGCCCATAGTATCCCCTTCCTCCACATCAGTATCACTGTCCATGTGGAGCTGGCCTGGGTCAGAGTCTGTAGGAGGTTCTGTTGCGACTGGTGGCTTAACACCGTTTACAGGTGCAGACAGCCCCATCTCCTCCTCTCCCTCTACGTCTGTGTCACTGTCCGTGTTAAACTTGTCCTCTGTAGACACCATTGGTGCGGAGGGGGTTAATCCAGCTCTCTCAGCTTGACTGACCTGGTTCACCACTTCTACTGACACATCCTCCTTTCCTCTTGTCCTTTTCCCAGTTTCCTTCTCTCCTAGTGCCTCTTTGGCTTCCTTCCCCTCCTTCTCTTCCTCCTCTTCTTCGCTGTCGTCCACTATCACTTGTGCTCTTCTCCTGTGCTGCTGTCTCGGTCCATCCATGTCGCTCTCCTCCTCACTGAAGCTCACTATTTTCTTGGGTCTGTTTTTAGCGGAGGAGGAGGGAGTGATGGGGCTCTCGTCCTCACTGTTAGACATACAAGGAAAGGTGACTTCACTTTGTATACAACGGAATACAACACCCACTGTATTATAATATATTTTTATAGTTTAAAATATAATTCAATATTTAAGTGTTCAGTGTTGATATCAGGTTACTGAAGTGTAAATTAATGGATGGATGGGAACTTTACCTCTCTGGAATGACTTTGTTTGTAGGACTGAGGAATGTAGAACAGGTGGGACTGGACATGTGGGATTCAGAATCAGAGACTAACAAAGAAAAAGAGAGAGAACGAAAGAGAGAGAGAGAGGTAGAGAGAAAGGAGAGAAAGAGAGATTTACAAACTACTGCAACAAAGCAAGATCAGAGCACCATGTTTTCAGATTACAGCAAGGGAAATAATAAACATACTTTTACCAAATAACTTTCCCTGTTTGTCTCTCCGTCCCTCTCGCTCTCCATCGGAGTCAGACTCCGATTCAGGCACCAGTGTTCTCTCAGGCTGTGTGGGGGTTTGTTCAAGCGACAGGGGTTTGGCCGGAGTTCTACCCTTTCCATCCAGCTCAGTCGGTGCCCCCATCTCTCCATTGACTCCTCTACCCTCAGTCTGTCTCTCAGTCTTTGGTGTGCCAGTCTCTCGTCCAGACCTTGGTTCCTAGGACTGGGGCTTCCTCTGAGCTGGGCCTTCCTGTCTGGCACTGTCCTCCTTCCCCTTCCAGAGTCTGCGTTCGTCGGGTTCCAAACGTGCCCCTGTCCCACCCTCTTGTCCACAGAGACATACTGGCAGGGAATGTCAGCTATTACCACACACTCTCCCTCGGTCAGAGCGTAGCGGACGTGAGGGGTCAGTTTGGTCCGGCCCTTCCTTGTCCCGTTCATGCTCCCCAGGTCCCACACTAAAGCCTCTGTCTCCATGGCGGCAACGTTGCCATGACGACGGTTGCCGCGAAACATTGAGATGGAGATGACGGTGTGTTGCTTGGATACGGAGCGGGCCACGAGGGGCAGGGAGCATGAGTCTGGGTTTCGACCCAACACATTCTCTCCCTGGTAGAGAAGCAACTCTGAGAGACAGAGGGAGGGGGGAGTATCAATAAAATACTGATTTTAGCAGCAAATATAAACATTTCAGAATATGACAACATTATTTGATGAAATACTTTGACAAACAAGTTTGGATATGAAGCTGAATATCTCAAATCTTGTGTTGATGAAACAAAGTAAGAGGGAAATCAATGCATGCAACAAAATGCCAGCAATGCGAGATATTGTACAAGTCTAGGCTTATTTGTAAAGGTTAAAAGATTATAGAAAGGATGGGGACATAACAGGGCTCTACTCACCAGTCTCTGGGATGTGTTCATTTTTTAACACCCATGAGTTTGGCCAGTGGCTCTCCTCGCTTCTCTCCATCCTCCTCCTCTGACTCTTCCAATATTGAGTCATCGATCAGCTGTGTTGCCTCCATTCACCCTTCAATCTAAAATCAGCCAAAGGGACAGAAAACATGGCAGTAAAACAGTATTTAGTTAGTCAGCTAAATTGTTTTATCAGGATGCACTGGCTAGCTAACGTTAGAAGATAGTTAGCAAGCTAGCAAACTAACTAGCTAAGTTAACAGAACGTTTCTAAATGTGACTATGAATAACTTATTCAGTAAAACAAGGCCACCAAGCGAAATTACCATAAAGAACACGTTTTACCTTCAAGCCAGCTAGGTAGGCAGGTAACTAGCTGGTAGATAAAGCAATTTGATCAGTAACATCAAAACATACTAATCGTGGTCATGGATGAACGTTTTGAATACAGATCTAGACGTTAGTTACAAATTCGATCATCAAATGCACGTTCATGGTCTAGCTAGTTAGCGATCCAGTCCATGTCTCTGGAGTCTGATGTCTGTACAAAATACAGGACAGCAATCATCAAATGCCATTTTATTAAAAATACTCGTGCAATGTCTCAATCATTTGTGGAACTGTTAATAGAACACATTTTTTTATGGATATTCACCTTTTCTTTAAAACAGCACACTTACCGTGCATGCCTTTCGAACGATGAAAAACAAAGTGCATTTCCGGTAGAAAATCTGCCCACCGTCAGTGGGTGGGTCCATAAGACTATTGGTCGAAACGGCTGTTAGTTATGCTCTGATTTGTGATGATTGGGTGCAAAGAACCTCGATCATTATATGGAAGGATTTGATTGGACATGAAAGGTATGACTTGGGCATTTCTTGGTGTTCCGGGTGGACCAATGGAATGGTCTAAAATGTTCAAACTCCGCCTACCCTGGGCACCCGGCCATGCAAAACAAATTCGACAATTTTTTTACCGCGCTGGATAGACAACGGGGCGTGCATCTCCACTGAAGCGCATTTTCCCCTTTCGGAGCAATCCAATGACATTTTACTTTTATTATAGGAATAGGAGTGAATATTTTAATTAATATTCGGATAGTTTGGGATCCGATATCATTTGCATCAGTGTTTACACAGTAATTTCCCCTCTCTAGTGTCTGTTCTCTGTTCCTTTTATGAACATGTAGTATTTTAATGCATTACTCTGTGACTATTGTGTACACATTTCCCAACTCATTAATGTTCCCTTATGCTGTTTCCTTGTATATGATAACAACTGAATGGGAAGAGTAAGAGAATACCATTCTTAAATATAATTTTTCTGTATATTGCACCAATACTAATACAGGCCTATTCTATTGTGTTCATGAACATTCATAGTTTTGTTCCATTTTGAGGCAGTTCAAGCCTAATTAATGCGGCACTTAATCTTATCCAGATGCAACTCTGTTCTCATAGCGGGGAATAGCGCTGCTTTGGGCCTGTAATATGCTTTCATAATGGAAGAATTTGTGTTCATTCACATGCTGTGAGATTAATGTTATTCCAATGATATAACTAACTTTCCTCCTCTCTGGCCCATGATGATGGTATGCATCAACAGCCCCCCTAGTGTATCTAACCTTGTGACTCAAAGCACTCATAGTACTCAACAACAAAAAAACACATATCTCTCTATCACAGATTTCACATTGTGGATGGAATGACAACTTGTAATATCTGTCAGTCAAACAGTATACCTATTGGTACAGGACAAATGAGGACAAGACAAGAGATTAACATTAGGTAATTTATTCGCAGTCACAAGGGGTGTGTCTACTTTCCTATAACACTTTCCATTAGATTAAAAAAATGCTCAACATTGTTTTTGGGACACCTTTAACTTTTTCTTGCTTCTAAGTTACTTTGAGGTTGTTTTTTTCCCATGTGGTTTCACAGCTTAATTTGGCCCTTCGAATACAAACTTAATCTTCAAAGCTCTGTCTTTAAGCGTCATCATCTTCAGCCTCCTCCTCGAACTCTCCCTCCTCCTCAGCGGTGGCGTCCTGGTACTGCTGGTACTCAGACACCAGGTCGTTCATGTTGCTCTCTGCCTCAGTGAACTCCATCTCGTCCATGCCCTCTCCGGTGTACCAGTGCAAGAAGGCCTTGCGGCGGAACATGGCAGTGAACTGCTCAGAGATACGCTTGAACAGCTCCTGGATGGCTGTGCTGTTGCCGATGAAGGTGACAGACATTTTAAGACCACGGGGCGGGATGTCGCAGACAGCGGTCTTCACGTTGTTGGGGATCCATTCCACAAAGTAGCTGCTGTTCTTGTTCTGGATATTGAGCATCTGCTCGTCCACCTCCTTCATGGACATTTGGCCCCGGAACACTGCGGCCACAGTAAGGTAGCGGCCGTGGCGAGGGTCGCAGGCGGCCATCATGTTTTTTGCATCGAACACCTGCTGGGTAAGCTCGGGCACGGTGAGGGCGCGGTACTGCTGGCTTCCCCTGCTGGTGAGGGGGGCGAAGCCGGGCATGAAGAAGTGCAGGCGGGGGAAGGGCACCATGTTGACGGCCAGTTTGCGGAGGTCAGCGTTGAGCTGGCCAGGGAAGCGCAGGCAGGTGGTGACGCCGCTCATGGTGGCTGACACAAGGTGGTTGAGGTCACCGTAGGTGGGCGTGGTCAGTTTGAGCGTGCGGAAGCAAATGTCATAGAGGGCCTCGTTGTCGATGCAGAACGTCTCGTCTGTGTTTTCCACTAGCTGGTGGACGGAGAGTGTGGCGTTGTAGGGCTCCACCACTGTGTCTGATACCTGGAAAGAAAGAAAGGTCGCGAGAGAGATTAGAGTACTTTATCTTATCCGCCTCATTAAGAACATTTGTATTGAAGCATTAGAAAAATAATGTACAAAGAAGAAACACTCAATATACATACTACATTTTTTTAAACTGTAAGATATTAAACACATTTCAACAATACATGTTTATGGGTTTCTTATTATGTGATAAATCAGTGCACAAATGGCCGCAGCGGTCTGAATTGCAGGCACGGCTGACATAACAGTACCTTTGGTGAGGGCACCACGCTGAAGGTGTTCATGATGCGGTCAGGGTACTCCTCTCTGATCTTGCTGATGAGCAGGGTGCCCATGCCCGACCCCGTGCCCCCGCCCAGGGAGTGGGTGAGCTGGAAGCCCTGCAGGCAGTCACAGTTTTCTGACTCCTTCCTCACTACGTCGAGGACAGAGTCCACCAGCTCTGCTCCCTCTGTGTAGTGGCCCTTTGCCCAGTTGTTACCAGCACCGCTCTGGCCTGAAGGAAGGGGAGAAGGGAGCAATAGGAAGGAGAAGACATTTTAACTTATATTGTATATGAAACAAATAAAGTCATGATAATCAATACCCCCCCCCCAATAAATTATTACATTCTACTGGGTTCTCTTGGGTGCCCAGTTCTAACATATATTTTTCATACACACTAGCTGAAAAATGTTCTGTTATATCCATCCCCATCCATTGTCTACAAACAGGTCGTATGTCCACCTACCGAACACAAAGTTGTCTGGCCTGAAGATCTGTCCAAAGGGTCCGGACCTCACAGAGTCCATGGTGCCAGGCTCAAGGTCCACGAGGATGGCCCTGGGTACATATTTACCACCTCCATGAGAGACAGAGACAGAGGGGAGGAGGGGAAAGACACCAGCTGAATACTGCAGGAAACCATCACTAAAAACAACTCTCCTCCAGGATAGCCATATAGACTGGGTTAAATATGCTACTTATTAGAATGTGGCAGGATCATGGCAATAGATTTACTGGTGTGGTACCTGTTGCCTCGTTGTAGTAGACACTGATTCTGTCCAACTGCAGGTCCCCGTCTCCATGGTAGGTGCCTGTGGGGTCGATCCCGTGCTCATCGCTGATCACCTCCCAGAACTACAGACACAAAATGGATGACCGCACATCAGTTTCCTAGGCATTTTGTACATATGCCACACGTTTTATAGAGAGGAATACATAGCATGCAAAGACCGAAGCATGAGCCGAAATGTCTGAAATCACTGTCTCTGTTGTTGTGGAGAATGATGAAAACAACAGCAAATTCTTGGCTCACTAAACCAAATGTAACCAGTGCTTTACTTGGGATAAAATAAGTGCAGGAGCTGTCTTTTTCCAAGACGGTCCTTGAGATTATGTTCACCTAAATTCACAAATTACATAATGCTATAGAGACCTCTGATTATTCATTGTTAAGGGTTCAAACACATTTTCGATGCGTCCCTTCATGACATTA